GACTCTGTAGGGATGTCCATGAGGCAGGATAAATAGTTCAGTCAGGGGCTCATATGGGGTTTATGGATCAGAGTCTCCTGGACTCATGATGATGTGATTGACTCAAGGCTTGCCGATGGACGGCCTTTGTCTTTCACAACTATTTAAGTTATTCAAGTCTTCAAATAACCCGAAATTGTGAACCTTGTGCGCCCTACTGGCTTCGCAAGAACTAACGGGCACGTACCAAGGACGAGAGTGCAGGCCATGGGCCGACCTGTATGGCCCTACTTTCCACACGACGGACACTTACAGGACGTGTTTGCAACCTGCACCCATGCAAAGCCTCGCTTGCAACACAACTGCGCCTCCTGTGATCATCGTTGCCACGTGTCCGTTACTATCTGCAACCGATGACAAGTTTGTTTGACAATAATTTTCTATCTTAAGGGCTGCACTGGTAGAAGTTGTTCGTGTCCGCCCACCGGACTGGTGCCGCTTAAACGCATTTTTTGCTCCGCAGCCTCTAGGCAGACACCTGCCCGGCATGGATGTTCAAAACACTCGCAGCTTTCCACATAACTTTGTGCAAAATCCGCTGCTAGCTCTGGTCCTTGTTTCAGAGCCTTGGACACCATGGGCTGCACCAGCTCCTTGGGGAAGGAGCCGCGAGCTGCGCGCCTTGAGCTCAGACACTTGCAGCTCAGTGAACAAACAAAAGCGACCTCAAAAATCAGCGGGAAATTTGCTGGATTAAAAATGGAAAATTCTTTAAGGGTCGTGGAGAACGAATCCTCCTGGTGTCATGGCAGAAAGGCCTTGTGCCTCGAAGGGCTCACAATCTTTGCGGGACAGCGAACAGTTTAAGCAACCTTTTTTTGAGAAATTGCAGGAATTGAAATTTGAAAATTCCCAGACCAGAAGCTTTTGAACATTTAGGCGAAACAGCCCCCTGCTGTCATCTCAGCAAGGGTAGAAGCTCTTGGGGTAGCCTAAAAAATTCCTGTTTCTGAGTTGCCATGACCCACAACCTGATTCCAGCCAACGGCTGTTGGAGCCAGGCAGGTGTCAAGGCAGGGTGTCCTTTAGCAGTTCTATTTTGCCATTTTTTGCACTTTTTTTGGGATTTCCTAGCCTTGAACTTTAAACGGCCGCGTTGTTTGAGATTTTCTTCTTGCGGCCTTCAACTCTCTGTGAGCATGGTAACTTGGTAGCCCTGGCCTGGTTGATGTGGCTGGCTCTGCAATCCTGGTGTTGATTGAGGCCGCTGCGAGGTCCTCTCAGCAAAGTGAAGTAAGTGTGGCAAGCCCTTGCATGTCAAACCTTATGCCCTCGAGCCTCTCAAGGCACCCCCGAGCCACGCCACCAAAGCAAGTTACATGACGTACGAGGTCTGTGCCTTTGCCTTTGCGCCCTGTGAAGTATCGATTGACACCAGACTTCCTATATTGATGCCTGAAGAACAAAACTGGACACTTAAGCGCTGGGTTCACAAAGAGGTCCGACGCAGCGTGCCGCCGGACAAGACCAGGAGGTCCACTGTGTGACACGCCATATCGGGGAGGTTTCATGGGACGCAGAGCTTTAGGGCCTACTCTAGTATCCAGGGGTCCCGCCCCCCCCTTTCCCCCAAACAATTCTGGGGTATCCTCTAGAATCTGGGTTGGGGTCTTGGGGTAGGGCGGGTAGGGGTCGAGGATTGAGGGGAAGCCTTGAGGCTTGAGGGTCTCAGCTTTCCAGGTTTTGTGGCTCCCTGTCCAGGCTGCGGAGAAATGCCCTTAACCGAAACAGTTGACTAGAGCAAATCAGGGCAGGTAGAGGGCTGCTCCCTTGGAAAATTGTTTGATGGGCTGTTTCGTAATGAAATTCTAAAGAGGGAATTTAAATAACGCCGGACACCAGAAAATTCCGGAGCTTCTTATTCAAAAATGTTTTTGTTTTCATTTTTAGTTTTTGGCTCCCCGGCCCCCCGCCCTTCATCCCCGGGCCGCAAACTTCGCAGAATTGCTGACCACCCTCAGGGGGTACCCGGTCCCCGAAAAGTTTTCGGGAAAAACGCTTATTATATAAATGGCTCCCCAATTTACTAAACCGGTCCAACATTAAGGGCTCGGGGGTGTGCAGCTGTGTGAGGTCTAAGGATTTTGGAGTCCTCACGGCCTTTGTATTAGGACATCCTGTCATGAAGCATTGTCCGAAAGCGGTTGCACCGGTGTTTCCTCCTTGTTAGGGTGTGGCGCCCATTGCTGACAGTAGGATATGAGGAAAGCTTGAGGGGTTGGGGCACTTGGCTGTCTGATATGCATTTGTCTGCGTGCCGCGTGAGCAGCGCGTGAGTGCTACATAGAACCATTACCATTGCAATTTAAATGTGCTTCTCATACTGGTTTCTGCCATGAATGTTGCCCCCGCTATTGCAACTCTGAAATTTTGTTGGGCCCAGAAGCCTTTCAGCCCCAACATGCCGACACTATGCCATGCTTCACGATCCGATATTATACTCATACTCATACAAATACAATAGTATACTATAGCCACAGTGTGACTACGCCGAGACCTGACCCTTCACCTCCAGACGGCTTCATGGATGAAAGACCCTGCTTAGACATTCGCAGCATGAACAGGACGTCGAAGCGGCGCTGCTGGCACCGACGCTTGCCCGCAGCGCTGGTCTACATCGAAGCCCCGGGTTTGCCCTCAGCAGCCCCGCGCTACACCCCGGCAAAAGCATCCCGCATGGGGAGTAGTCTTACATAGGTACATGGCCTGAGCATTCGGTATTGTTCATCTATCGCACGCTGCTGGCCACTCCACGCATCTGCGTTTCGTTGAATGGAGGAACATGGGTTTGAGGCTTTTGCAGCTAGAGGCTTTGGGGAGTTGCAATAACAAGGCCCGCTCTGCAGTTAAAAGGCCTGCCTGGAGCAGGCCACATCATTGTCACATCATCCGTCCCACTGTCCCTGCTTGTGCGAAAAAGCGGGGGAGCCTGCCGAGGACGCTCCTGACAAACCGAGAGCCAGAAGAAGCCGCGGAGAAGGCTCGCTTCAGACCGATTATTTCAAAGTTGGCAAGGTTTAGCCCACAGCGCAATTCCGGCAGACACTGCCGTCAAGTCTTGCCTGGCTTCTGCGCGAATGTTTGCCGCCACACCTGCAACCTGTGCATGAAGACAACTACATTCCAGCTGCCAGCTTGTGTCAGGGACCCGGTGATTGCTCCCCCGAAGGTGCCCACGGGTTCCAGGGCATCAGGATTTCGCATGTTCTGGTGGGCCATCGTGGGCATGACGCGCGAAAGTCGATCTGTGTGAACTGTGATAAGTTCCAGGATGGTGTGTTGAAAGTGTCCTTGCAACATGCCTGCCTGGCAAGAAGCTACAGGAGTAGCCGTGTCAGTAGCAGTAGCAGTGTAGAAGACGCCCTGTCGGCGAGGCCTGACTTCGGCCTTGCCACCAAGCCAGGAGCAGGCCGGCAGTGCGCTGACAAAACTTAACCGAATGCCTTTACACTGGCGCTTGGGGCATTGTGCCTTGTCCCATCACACGACCACACGATGCCGATAAGATTTGTGCCACAATGAGCTGCCCGCCAATGTGCGCTTGACGTGACATTTAGAGACAAGGGCATCAGAGCTTACAGTCCAGAGGTCTCAAACCACTACGCGCGCGAAAGTTGAGCCCTTGAAAGCTTGCACGGCTTGCACCTTTGCACCTTTACCACATACAAGTCACATCCCCTTCGGCTGCAAGGCCACTGAAGCGTACGCACACGTGCTTGAGATCATTGCTGAGGAGGTGGGTAGCTTGTCGTACCGTATGGGTCCTCATCCATTGGCTTCCAGACCGTCCTGCCGAATCCAACCTATAGCTACTGTGGCACGACGACGTTACAACACGTACACTGTCATACTCAAAGCCCCCCTAAGATTGTGTCTCTATGCCACTTGTCACACAGAAGCCTAAGGTTTGTGTACCCAAACTCCCGGAACTGGATGCCGCATGGGATATGTTCGTGTTCATCAGAGCCGAGCCCCCTCCCAACCCTTCCTCCCTTCCGTCTCCAGGAGAGCGGCTCTGAGGCGAGTGCCGAGTCCAATGGTGCCTCGTGGGGCCGCCCAGGGGACGCCCAGAGACTTCGGAGGATCGGAAGTTTTCCTGTTTTCCAGCCCTGCAACCATCAAAGAGTGCCGGAAAGTTTCCTGAGTGCGATTGCAGATGTTTTTGAGGGGGGTAGGGTTCCAGGGTCTAAGGGTGCGAGCTGAAGCGAGGCTTGAGAGGGCCAGTTGTGTTCCGTGTCATTATCACATTTTTTCCCGGGGTCGGGTTGTCCATAGAGTACTAGTAGCATCGTGCAGGAGTGCAGACCGCATCGTCTGGCACAGAACAGTTCCGTGGGACACTTGCCATCCTTTGCCTGGCGGTTGGAAGCTAACCTCCTGAAAATGCCTCGGTTGCATCCGGACGTCTCACTTCGCCCCCCCCCCCCCACTCTCCGTACGGTCGTCTGGATTTTATGAATTAATGTGTGCGACAAGACATAGTAACATAGCACGTAGCTTGCTGAGTCAGTCTAGAGCATGGCATCTATGCATTATATGCCACGCCCGAGGGAACCTCGAGCACTGCAACATTTTACAGTGTAGTTGCTGGTAGATGCTGGTAGTTATGCGATCATGAGGCAGTTCACTTTCTGCGGAGTGGACATCCGCCCGGCACTGCCAGTGGTCAGAGCCTCGAGGTTTTCGGGGCTTTCGGCGCTTTCGTGTTTTTCAGCTTCGGAGCTTGGGAGCTTCGCAGCCTCCAGCCTGCTTTTTTTCATGTGTCCCAGGTCCTTCCGGTGTCCACTGCGGGCGCCTGATTTCTGTTCTGCGCACCGTCGACCACGCAAAACTATACCGAAATATCAGATATATCCGCAAATCGAGTTTAGTTTGGGAAAGCAAGATCTCCGCAGCGCAACCATCCGCCGTCGACCACACGCATGGAGCATGCGTAGAGTGAGGCCCTCGGCGCGCTCTGCATGTTTTGCGTGCAGCTTCAGCTGCTACGCTGTGTGCGGGTGCCCAGCGCCTCCCAGCATGCAACAGTGGGCATAGCAGGGCAATGCAAGGAGCTTCGTTTGTGGAGTGGGGAGCGGTCAGCTTCCCGAAGTGGCGCCCGACTCTGTGACCTTTTGTAAACCGCAGGGCAGGGGGATTGGCATTCCAAAGGTTGCGATGCTCGCAACCTTTGGCCTGCTCGTCCTGGTCACCTTCCTTTGCATGATGTGCCCCCGCTTTAGGGACTTCAGGACAAGGGTTCGGTTGGTTCGTAGTAGCTCAATATCCGCAGTTCAGCACCACTTCAGTATACTATGACAGGATCCAGGAAGTAGGGCAAACCTTCCCTTCTACCCCAACTTGCGGCTTAGGCATGAACAGCCTCCAGAATCTTGCCAGGTACTGTGCGTTTGCGGATCCTGGCCAGATGATGGAGGAGCCGGCGGATCTCGAGGAGGCCCTCCCATTCCGCCCTTCCCCCCCTCCCCCTAGCTCATGATCCTCTCAAAATGCCGGGCGCGAGATCAGGGGTTGAGGCTTCGATGAAGGGCTGTGAGCGCTGCAGTCCTTTCCGAGCATGCATAAGAACTCTCACAATTCACCCTGAACTCTAAGGCCACAATCTGCTTTGCCTGAAAACAGCTGTGGCAGGGCGCGCTTCCTCGACGTGCTCACAAGCCACACCTTTAGCACCCTGCAGCGAGCTGGATGCCATCACAATGACAACTTAATATATTGATCTGATTGTGCGCACTTGTATGCAAGACATAGAAGTAGCAGTAGGAGCAGGAGTAGAAGCAGGAGTAGGAGTAGGAGTAGGAGTAGGAGCAGTAGCAGTAGCAGTAGCAGTAGCAGCAGCAGTAGCAGTAGCAGTAGCAGTAGCAGCAGTAGTAGTAGTAGTAGTAGTAGTAGTAGTAGTAGTAGTAGTAGTAGTAGTAGTAGTAGTAGTAGTAGTAGTAGTAGTAGTAGTAGTAGTAGTAGTAGTAGTAGTAGTAGTAGTAGTAGTAGTAGTAGTAGTAGTAGTAGTAGTAGTAGTAGTAGTAAGTAGTAGTAGTTAGTAGTAGTAGTAGTTAGTAGTAAGTAGTAGTAGTAAGTAGTAAGTAGTAAGTAGTAAGTAGTAAGTAGTAAGTAGTAAGTAGTAAGTAGTAAGTAGTAAGTAGTAAGTAGTAAGTAGTAAGTAGTAAGTAGTAAGTAGTAAGTAGTAAGTAGTAAGTAGTAAGTAGTAAGTAGTAAGTAGTAAGTAGTAAGTAGTAAGTAGTAAGTAGTAAGTAGTAAGTAGTAAGTAGTAAGTAGTAAGTAGTAAGTAGTAAGTAGTAAGTAGTAAGTAGTAAGTAGTAAGTAGTAAGTAGTAAGTAGTAAGTAGTAAGTAGTAAGTAGTAAGTAGTAAGTAGTAAGTAGTAAGTAGTAGTAGTAGTAAGTAGTAAGTAGTAAGTAGTAAGTAGTAAGTAGTAAGTAGTAAGTAGTAAGTAGTAAGTAGTAAGTAGTAAGTAGTAAGTAGTAAGTAGTAAGTAGTAAGTAGTAAGTAGTAAGTAGTAAGTAGTAAGTAGTAAGTAGTAAGTAGTAAGTAGTAGTAAGTAGTAAGTAGTAAGTAGTAAGTAGTAAGTAGTAAGTAGTAAGTAGTAAGTAGTAAGTAGTAAGTAGTAAGTAGTAAGTAGTAAGTAGTAAGTAGTAAGTAGTAAGTAGTAAGTAGTAAGTAGTAAGTAGTAAGTAGTAAGTAAGTAGTAAGTAGTAAGTAAGTAGTAAGTAGTAAGTAGTAAGTAGTAAGTAGTAAGTAGTAAGTAGTAAGTAGTAAGTAGTAAGTAGTAAGTAGTAAGTAGTAAGTAGTAAGTAGTAAGTAGTAAGTAGTAAGTAGTAAGTAGTAAGTAGTAGTAAGTAGTAGTAAGTAGTAGTAAGTAGTAGGTACTAGGTACTAGGTACTAGGTAGTAGGTAGTAGGTAGTAGGTAGTAGATAGTAGGTAGTAGTGGTAGTAGTAGTAGTAGTAGTAGTAGTAGTAGTAGTAGTAGTAGTAGCAGTAGCAGTAGCAGTAGCAGTAGCAGTAGCAGTAGCAGTAGTAGTAGTAGTAGTAGTAGTAGTAGTAGTAGTAGTAGTAGTAGTAGTAGTAGTAGTAGTAGTAGCAGTAGTAAGAAGTGGTAGAAGTGGTAGAAGTGGTAGAAGTGGTAGAAGTGGTAGAAGTAGCAGTAGAGGAGCACCTGTTGTTCTGATTATGTTCTTTGGGCAATTGTTTGAGGTTTATGGAGAAGATTGGCTTAGACACATATGCTTTTATTGGCGGCCTAGTATGGCAACAGTATGGTGTGCTTATTTTATACGACTTGTTTATCTGAACGGTGTTCGACGGACGAGGTGAGTTGCGAATGCTATCAAGAATCACGAAGAGCGGAGCACTTTCGTGGTTTGGCGTTGGTGCATGAGGTCATGGCTCTACCCACGCCCAATCCTGCGTCACGACCACTATTGCTTTTCGGCTGCATGCCAGCGGGCTTCCGGCGACATGCATGTCCAGTTGGAAGTTTCAACTGATTGTTTGGGGGCAGCAGGGAGTGACAGAGAGTATCGGCTGCACCAGGCAAGTGGGTCCACAATGTGATTGGCCGGGTGCCCAGCATCTCGTAAGGAGGAAATCTTCCAAGCATGTCTGACATGTGCCCCCCCCTCCCCCTGGGTCATCCTCCTAACTCCAGGTGGGTTTTGGGTTCGTTGAGGTTTTGGGATGCAGAAGTCAAGGTGTGGCTGCTTTCTCTCTCTCACTCGGAAGAATCCCGCAGGCCTGCGGAACCATCGAGCATTCTTTGTCATGGTTCTCGGCCCGGGACCTGCAGTGACCAAGCCTCGCTTCCTTGCACCTCCTCTTTCCCTGAACCGCCTGGACCAGTTCCTGCCGAGGCTTGGCCTTGATGGGCGCGCCAGGGCCTGAGAGAACAGCTGAAACCGCGTGTGGAAGCCTTATAATAATGACCCTGAAGCCGGCTGACGCTTGCGCCTTAGAGAGCCTCCTCCGAGCGCCTTCGAATCAGAGGGACCCCGATTTTGCCCCGCCCCTGGCCAGGGTGGGTGCCTCGGTGGACGCCTACCTCTTGGCCTCGCAGCTTGCCAAAGAGGCTCCGCGGGTGGATTTGAGCAGCTCAGCTGACCCCGTGTGAGAGCCTTGTGGCTGGCTTACTGCGTCCTTCTGCAGGGCTTCATCTTCCAGCCCGTGCAGCTCCTGTTTCTGCCCTCGCCTTGTGTTGGGCTGGGCATTTGGAGGCACCTACAGAGCCAGAGCTTCGCACCGGAAGGGCTACAGGGGAAGAGATCTCCCCACATCCCGCGGAAATCTCCAAAACCGTACAGCCGTACAGAACATGCTTCAACACGCTTCAACGTCAGCATGCTTGAGCCTGCTTCAAGATTCCAGGCTGCACCTGGGCTACAGCCTTGCGCTGCTACGCCTGGACCTGTTGGGCACCGAGTTGGAGTCTGGTCGGATGTCCTTCTTTCAAGTTTTGTGCTTGCTGCTGTGTCTTCTAGCTCCCAAGACGTGGCATGTTGTCGTGGGAGCACACGAGCATGTGCGAGAGCTCTGAGATGCAGTGCCCTCTCGGTCTGCTTCTTTTCTTCGACTCGAAAAGGCCCATACTACAGATCCACGTGGGCCTCATTTCAAGGCGCGGGCTCGGGCTCAGTGGCTCACTGGTGGCTCGGAGGGTAGTGACCAGGTAGTGAGACTTTGCCGCGCCAGGAACGAGTTGAACTCAGAGTGGAAGGAGGACTTTTTCTGGAATGCTGCGGGCCCAGAGCCACGAAGGGTGGATGCAGCAGACCTTCGTGCAGCCTAGGATGAGTATTATGCTTCAAAACTTGAAGCCAGATATTCATGCCTCTAAGCCGAAGCCGAACCTGTGGCCACAGTGAGCATGGGCATCTAGCTGGCAGCTTGCCGAAGAGTTGGGCCCGAGGCCCCCGGACCAGGCCGCGTCTCGGCGCGGGAGCTGGACGTTGACGAGCACCCCGACGCCACTCCAGGGTTTACTGCTTTTGGGCTGCGCTGGCGATGGGCAATGCTCCCGGCTCGCATGCCTGAGGTACAATGCTTTGCTCGATGCGGATGCGTTTGTGTACGACGCCAGCAGGAGATGGAAGGGGCCTGCTGTGCATTCGTGATGCCAAGTCGGGACCCAAGCCGTCCGACAGGAATCCCTTTGACAAGGGCGTTGTTACCAACTGCGCGAACTTCTGGCTCAAGTCGCGGTCCGCCGGATGCTTAGAAGTGCTCCTTGCTGCTGTAGACTTGCGGTCTGAGCCTACTGCTGCACCTGAGGATAGCTTGGGCGACTGGTAGCCAGCTCTGACTGAGCCTCCGTAACTTTAATGTTTCAAGATGTTTCAAGACTAGGAAGCTTTCCTGGCTCAGGGAGGGAGGAGGGGGTACTGTACTGTAAGGGCTGAGCCTCAAGAGCTTGACCTGATCAATGGTCTTCCCTTGAGCCCATTGTGCTGCCACATCCTTAACCTTCTATGACAGCGCTCATTGCCCAACAGGGGCAGTGTTACTACGCACTTTGGAAAGAAGCTTGTCCGTGGGACTCGTGCGCTTGCGCCTTGGAGCCATGATCTTAGCTTCTGTTCGGTGAGAACTAAAGACACAGCCTCGTCGTCGGCATCATTGGGTTTGGGCGTAGCGGCGCTTCGTTTTTCAGATTCGGTTACGATGGGTGGGCGGGGCTGGGGGCCGAAGGGGGGGGGGGGGGACAACGATTTTTGCAGCTGCAGTTTTTGGACCTATCCGTCACTGGAGCAGGAGTGAATCGCCCATCATCCGCCGAGCCTTTTTGGTTTCAGATCAGTGCACGTTAACTCGCGGATTGCAGCAGCAGCTCCGTAATTGATATTCGTGGCACAAGTATTGACCTGGTAACTCATTAGCGTAGCAAGCGATGGCTTCCTGCACCCACAAGTATGGGCAAGCGCTTGTCAGCAAATGCCGAAGTGTTTGTTTGGGTCGATTGGTCCGGAGGTGCAAGTCCACATGTCTTGCAGACCAGCCAGCGGACAGAGGCCGATGCTTGAAGTTGTTCGGGTGTCAGGATGGGGGCGTCATCAGCAAGGAGGAGCTGAAAACCAGATACCTGAAATTGGCCAAAGAACTGCATCCGGATGCCTCTTTACGCGGGCCCGAGGATGCTCAACATGCCGGCTTTCAGGAATTGCAGCATTGCTACCAGCTTCTGTTGAGTGAGCACTCCAAGAAGAACGAGCCGGAGTGGCTCCGCAAGCTGCGAGAAGATTATGCCACCAGTAAAGACCCTTTTCCTTGAGCACGGTGCCTTTGCACTAGGTGCTCTTATCTTGACTTCGTATCACCATGAGCGTCGGCATTTCCAGCGTCAATGTGGATGAAAACTGAAAACGACCATCGACAGCCGCCTTAGCACAAGTCTGCACAGTTGGCAAGGAAGCTGCGCCACGGAGAGCTGGCGGTTTTGTAAAATGATTCGTGATGCAAATTCATTGTGTTGATTGCACTGTGCCAGAACGTGTCAGCAACATAGGGCTGTTGGTGTCAACATGTGCCCGCCTAACGGCATGCGGCTTTGTCAGTGCAATTGTTTGAAGCAACCTCTATTGTACAAGGGCTGTGCGTGGTCTGCTGAGCTGTAGCCGCCTAGCAGACTTGCCATGCGCAGATAAACAAATGCTGCAGTCTGGTGTCCCATTGGCGCGACGGGTCCCGCCACCTGGGCCAGGCACTTGCAAGAATTTGGGGTTCTGTGGCCATCCTCTGGACGACAAGCTGCCACACAAAGTTTGTGGCATTTTGGCGCTTTCTGGTTTCTTGGCGCGGCCGTCGGGGAGATGTCGCATGCGATGCGATGGCGATGGCGGGAAGGAGCGCCCATGGGTAGCTCCCGTGGTGCAAGCGACAGGTGCGCCTGGAGAGGGCAACGTAGCCCTGGGAGCCATACAGCAGGCCGCAGATGGGTCTTCCATACTGCACGGGCAAGTGTACGATGAAGATGCCGAGGGTTGGAGGCCCGTCCTCCTCAAGCGAGTGGGCACGTCCAGCACATGGCAGAGCAAAGATTTGACCCTCGAGCTGCCACTGGAGAAGATTGCGAAGATACTCCCATCCCAAGTCGATCTTAAGAAGGAGCTGCCATGCTGGCCTTCGGCCTTACGCAAGAGCTTGGAAGCATGGCCCCTGAAAGGCCCAGGCACCGTGATCCTGGATCCACACTTTTTCACCCAACGTGCAGCAGCCCTGGCTTTGCTTGGAGGCCCTGTGGTGTTCCCGGGAGCTGCAAACGCAATGGGGCTGTCTTCCACCCGCATCTTGCCTTAGTTCGCTGGCAGACACAGGTTTTATGTTAGTCCAACCATTTTTAGCATTCTTTGCCGATTGCCAGTTCTTGCCCTCCACTCAGTCACCTTGCCGGCTTTGCCCTACCAGGTTGCATCCAGTCCCTTAACAAGCAGCTCAGTGGCCGCCATTTGCGATCTCTCTTCTGCAGCGAGGCTGGCAATTTGGAAGAATTACTGGCCAGCATCCCAGCAAGTCTCCGCAGCGCGCATTTTGACGTGGCCGCCGCCTTGGGCCGGGGCATGGCTTCGGAGGATCCTGTCGTGGTCCAGCTCCACGTCCGGTGTCCAAAGAGCAAACAAAGGAAGCTTAAGTGTGATGCAAAGCCACTGCGGAACTGTTACTGCCTCAAGTCCTTTCAGACTCTAATTACACTGGTAGAGTTTTCTATTGAGGCGAAGCCGTTGGAGCTCCAGTGCGAGAGTGCCTCATGGACATGTGGGGCTGTGCTCCGTCATGTGGCCCCTGGGGGCGAGGCCACTGTAAGAGAGGGGCACTTTGAATGATTTGAAGAATGATTCTTATTAATTAGTTATTAATTATTTATTAATTATTAATTAAATATAAATTAAATACTGATTAATTATTCATTTTTTTGTCGTATGATGAAAAACGTTGAAGGCCGAGCGGGCTGGGTGTCGCGTCGGTGACGTCATCATCAAAATCGGGGACTTGGATGTGACCCAGATCCCCTTCGATGACATTCAGGACGAAGGCATGCTTACCCAGTTCCTCTGCAAAGTGCGTGAAGTCTGCTTGAAAGGTGATGCCCAGTTTTTTGTAATCAACGTTGCCGAGGTTACAGGTCTGGCATGTTGCAAGCCAAAGTGTGCAAAAATGTGTCAGTGTAATTACCGAATATGGTCCCACAGAGTATTCGCTTTAGATACTGCCCATAGGCTGCAGAATGGGACGCTCCTCGGCATGCTGTCCAGGACCAGCTTGAAGGGCCTGACTCAATCACTCTGACACTCAGTCGCCCGAAGCTTGCAGACAAGATCTACTTGCGAGAGGTTCCGGCCTCGGACGATGCGCTGTCGAGCCTGTCCGGCACACCGTTGACTCTCCAAGACTTGGTGCCTAGCTTGGGTGAATCTTTCGGCACGAACTACGTATATTTTTCAGAGCAGACTCCAATGCTTTTTGCTGGAGACGGTGGGACTGCCTCCCATCTTCACATTGACCGGAAGCCTTTACTGCAATTCTGTCACGTGTTGCACGGCACGAAAGTCTTCTGCGTCGCACCTCCGGAAGGACGGGCGCCAGGGCCAGTCGTACCTTGGGCAGAGCCAGGTGGGAGACCGGCACATGAGGCTGTGCTCTCCACTGATACAGACCTGCCGAAGGGAGCTTCAGAGTGGCTTCAGCGGGAAGATGTGTCCCTTGCTGTCGTCCGGCCAAGTGACGTCCTGCTTTTCCTGGGCCACTCTCTCCATGCAGGCTGCAATGGTGCGAGTGAGCTTTGTGTAGCTGTTTTCCACGGTGCCCAACCAGTTTCTTACATGGCGCAGGGTGTGTTCGGACCAGCCTATCAAGCGCTGGCCAAAAGAATGCTGGCTCGCTGAGCACGCCGGCTTCTATCCTGTGGTGGCAAAGCCATCGTCCCCGAGGTGGCACGCAGAAAGCATGGAAGGGCATGGGGTTGCTCATGCATTGTGCTTGTCAAGGCTTGTCGTTCTTGAGAGCTTAGTCAACTGCTGAATGGTGGGTGCAAAACGTACTTTGCCGCGGCACTTGTGGCTTAGCTGGAGAGGGGTTTGCGGCCACCGGCCAGAAAGAACGGTGGCTCCTATATTAATTGGACAAGATGTACGGATTGCGTCTCATCAACAACAACTACGTCGCCAATGGCACGGGCAAGGTGCCAGCCTCGACGTCTTTCATGTCTCTGCACTGGCCAGGAAAAAATTGGAGGTAGAAGTTGGAAGTTGGCAGCATGACAAGCTGAAGGATGTCACCATCACTTACGATCCCAGCTTCCGCGGCGGCAGGCGATGAGCACCAGAATTTGGGAGATTTCGCCTAGGAAATCCGGTATAATCCGGCTGTAAACGTCCGATTTGTGCAAACCACAAGGCTTGGGAGCGTGAATCAGATGCAGCATTTTCCGCGCCCTCAAGCCAGCGGCTTATGTTGAATTTGTGCAACAATCAGTACAGCCAGGGCGAGTTGCAGTTCTTGCATCAGGCGGGGACCGTCAAGCTGCGCAAGCTTCCTGATGTGGCGGCCTTGGGCATCAGAACTTGCACATAGACTTTCCAGGATGCATGGAAAAATACCAGTGCTGAGACTGGATTGGATGCCCGGGACGAGGGCTACAAGCAAATTCTGAATTGCGGAAGATCGGCGGGGTCGACGGTGAAAGAAGCAAAGGCGGCGAGATGACGAAACCCCCCCCCCCCCAAAAAAAAAAAAAAAAAAAAATCCCGAAACTCCCGAAATCAGCCACAAAGCATGTTTGAAGAACAATGTCTAAAGAAATTTGCACAGTCCGCTTGGTAGCTTTGGGCAGGTGAAGATCCGAGAGGGCAGTAAGTTCAGGCTGAGCCCGTTGCATCCAAGCCACTGGGGTGTCTCTGGTCTCTGGCTTCCTTCAGAGCGGCGGAGCAGGTTCCGTGATGACGCCAACCAAACGTTTGGCACCGTCATGTCCTTGAAATCCTTGCCAGCCAGGGCCTCAAGGTTTACACGGCTTCGTTGCAAGAGAGGACGAGACATATGCGATAGGAAAACGAAAAGAAACTCTGAGAGAGAGAGCCCCCCGTGAGCCCCCCCCCAATTGCGCGTGGGAAGTCAGAGCTCCAGAGAGCTCAGAGCTCCGCGCAGGCCAGCCGCGAGCTGATTCGAGCATCCTCGGCTCCGAGTCTTCCATCCGGCCAGAACTTCAGGTTCCCTCTCGAGATTTCCCCCGCGGACCGAGCCGAGATTACTACAGTTAATGAAACCTTTTGCAGGACACGCTGGAATCTTCCCGCGTCAGTGATTGACAATGGCGAGGCGTACTGGGCATCGGATGTGGCAAAAGCCCTCCCCTCCCCGTGTTCCCTTCCGAAATTTCAGCGCTTGGCCATGGCCCCTATGCTGTCCTGCAGGAAGCTCTGGCTCGCCAGGTGGGACATGCTTCGTGGTCACTGCTCAGGCGTTGTATTGAGATTCGCCAGTCGGAGAACCCTAGGAGGAGAAGACTCCCTTGGCCGAGAAGAGCTTGCTTCCCACCTACTGGAGGCGCCTGTGGTGCGAACCTATGTGGCGCTTTGAAAGAGAGAGAGAGAGAGAGAGAGAGAGAGAGAGAGAGAGAGTGAGTGAGAGTGAGTGAGTGAGTGAGAGAGAGCGAGCGACTCCTGAATCAAGAGCGTCGCAGCGTGGGAGGCCCAAAGACCCCGCACTGGACTGGCCAGCGCCGGGATTCCTGCACCCATGCCATGGCTTCTCCAGGAACGGCAAGTACCATAAGTACCATCAACTACCAACCTCAGATCCCTCCGCAGGTGCTTGTTTGACAGGAGCCCAAGCCTCAACCCGTCCAAGCCACCCTCGAGTCAATTCCAGGACGGATGGAGGGATGCCATGGCCGAACTGAGAGATGGCTGAGTCTAAGTTGATGCTGGACGCAAGCCGTGGCTTGTGAGAAATTTGTCTCCAGCTCTGAAGGAGCTGGTGCTTTACTACACCCTCCACGGGCCCTGCTAAACTCCAGAGTCCAATGACCAGAAGTGATATATGCATATATACACATATATCTATGCATACACAGATATCCATAACTAGGTGCAATCACCGCAAAAACTCTTTCGCGATTTGGCTCCCAGCTTGGCTAGCAGCTTTGTCTAAGCTGTGCCCAAGGCACTGCTCAGACAGGAGAGGAACAAGCTGGGGAGCAGGAAGAAGGAGGAAGGGTCGCGATGTCTATCGGAGTCTATCCACACCTTTGCTGCTTGCATGCACCATTGTGATGGAGCTTTCAGCAGAAGCAGCCTACGATGAGCGGCTGCCAGATCTGCCACGCACACATGTGCAATTATTCAACGAGCTGCCATGCCAGTTTGGGAGATGCTCTATTCACTTGCCAGCGTAGTTGATTGTGGATTCTCCCAAGCGGGCTTCGAGGCAGGTGAGTGATCTCCTGGACCGCTTGCCAATCGCCTAAGCAGCCTGACATAGCCTGACTTAAAGGTGGCCGTCCGCTTTAGAAAAGAGACATGCGCAGACTTTTCGGCGCGCTGGTTCTGGAATTTTGATGAATGTCGAGGTCCCTTTGAAGCATCGCTGCATGTCACGCCCGGGCTTGGCCCAAGCACTGCACGGAAGCGGTGAAGATGTAAATGATGTAAGAAAAAAGAAGGCAGGGGGGGTGTAGCCACCGAGTTGGCCGCACAATGGAGGGCACCCAGATGAGCGCAGAAGTGCTTCAGCAGCTCTACCAGAACGACATGCAGCAACATCTCAGCCCCGAGATGCAGCAGCAAGTTCAGATGCAGCAGCAGATGCAGTGGCAGCAGATGCAAATGCAAGGAGAGGGGAACCAGGGAGGTGACTACGAGGGTGCCTATGACTACGGGCAATCGGATTCCAGGGAAGACGATGCCCAAGGTGATGGTCAGTATGGCCGGGAGTACCACAGCCAGGAACAAGAGAAGTACTCGGAGGATTACCAGGCAGAGGGCGAAGACGAGATGACGGACCAGATGCACCAGCAACTGCAACAGCGAATGCAGGCACAAATGCAGCAGCACATGCAGCAGCAGATTCAAGCAAGGATGCAGCAACACCTACAACATCACATGCAGAACCAGCAAAACCAGCACATGCAGAACCCTAACATGCAACAGCAGCATATGCAACACGAACAGCACAACCAAACACCTCAGCCTCCTGAGCCCCCACGGCAGAACCAGAATCCGCTGACCGGAGCTCCGCCAGAAGCCCAGTTTTAAGAAGCCAGTGCAAAAGAGTGCCGCAGCTCCTCTCTCTCTCTCTCTCTGTGCGTCTTTGTGTGCATGCTGCGTACCTGAGTAGTTGTTGGTGAAGTGAATCTTTCAGGTACACCCCTCGCTTCTACTACCTCCTGGAAAAGCGGCAGAGACTGCCGGCCTGGATGGCGAGGCAAGATTTCCTGAAGCTTATGCAAGCGAACCAAGCCACTTGGCACTTCCCCAGCTGAAATCGTGTGAAGATGTGCGAGCGAATTCGAGTCTCTGCTAGATGCAGTCTCGGCTCAGGTCCTGGTGCTTGTGGGGGAACCCGGCTCCGGCAAGACCACACAGCTGCCGCAGATCCTCCTCGATGCCGGCTACCACGTTCAGATGGGCCAGGTCCGGGCAATTTGCTGACGCTTGCCCGAATTCGAGGATAGGTCGGATAGGTGGCTCCAGGAAGTATCTGGCAGGTTAAAGGAAGGGGCGTTGTGCTTTCGTGCCGCGTCGGTGCCTGGATGTTCTCCCAAGGCGTGCAGCCTACCCCCTTGGCGACGTTGAGCGCCTCACTTCGAATATGCGAGGAACTGGAGGTGCAGGTGGGAACTTTCGTCGGCCACGTGACCCGGTTCGAGGCACTGCCATCACTTGTTGAGACCAGCTGTGCTCTTTGCTCCCTCGTGTTTGTTCGACCTGGGGCAATCTGGGGCATTTCAGTCCGCAGGACCGCACATCAGCGGACACGCTCCTGCGCTTCCTCACAGACGAGGCGCTCTTCCGGGAGGCCATGGAGGACCCACTGTTGGAGAGGTATAGCGTCATCATCTTGGACGAGGCGCCGGTCTCGCAACAGCCCAATGGCTCTCCGCTAGGCCGCTAGGCCTCGCCAAGGCCTGACTCGGTTGATTTTTTCTTTGTAGATACCCCTGGAGGTCCACCAGAGGACATGCGAACTAGATGTACTCATGGGCATCCTGAAGATGGTGATGCAAAGACGGCCAGAGCTGAAGCTCCTTTTGCTGTCTTCCTCCATGGAGGTGAAGAAGGTCCAGGCCTACTTCGAGGGAGGTGCCCCGCTGCTGCAGATCCCTAATCGAACATTTGCGGTCGAGGTTTTCCACTGTCAGGATGCTGAGAAGGATTATCTGAAGGCTGCCGTTCGGACGGTAGCTCAGGTTCACACCACGGAACCTGAGGGCGACATTCTCTTGTTCCTGCCACTGGAAGATGAGATCGACTTGGCGTGCCAGCTGCTTCGGAAGGAGTCGGTGCACATGATGAACTTTGGGGATTTGCAGGTTCGGGCACTCTATGTCGGGCTTCCGATTATGGAGACGCAGAGGGTCTTCGACCAAACCGCGCAGATGAGGATGACAGCTGGCAAGCCATGCAGGAAGGTCGTGGTTGCAAGCGCCATAGCAGAGACATCCCTGGCTGTAGATGGGATCACCTATGTGATCGATGCAGGCCTTGTGAAGCAGCGGGCCTACAACCCGCGAACGAGGATGGAGGTGAACGTGGTGACTCCTATCTCCAAGTCTTCAGCACTGCAGCGAACAACCCTCGCAGGCCGCCAGCGCCCGGGAAAGTGCTTTCGCCTCTACCCAGAGCAGGCCTCTAGCGACTGGCCAGAGAAAGTCTATCCCGAGATCATGCGGCTGGGTTGCAGCACTTACTGTTTTGAAAGTAGTCATACGCGAACCCTAAGTTCCAGAGGCCAAAGCGAGATAACGTCAATTGAGTGTCGCGAGGAGATCGAATCTCACCACCGTAGTGCTCATGTTGAAGCGCTTGGGCTTTGACGATGTGGTCCACTTTGATTTTGTGGACCCGCCATCCCCAGAAGCGCTGATGAGGGCACTGGAGACTTTGAACTTCTTGGGATGCGCCTCCCCTTGTCTTAGCCGCCTTTTTTTGCACGGCGCGTCGCACAATGATAGGCTTCCTGCCTCCCCAAAGTGGCTGCCTCTGTCCCCCAACAACGCATAGCAGCGACTCGCGCCGACAGCACTCAGGCATCGACGACAATGGGAACATCACGGAGGTTGGCAACCAAGCGTGCAGGCTTCCAGTGGACCCACAGATAGCCAAGATGCTCATCGAGGCGCCGCAGCACCGATGTAGCCACCTGTCTAACCCTGCGCCGACGAGCATGCAGTTGCTTTTATGTGGCTTTTTGCTGCGCACCATGCATGCAGCGTAGTTACAACATTTACCTCGACGTCCGCTTGAAATCCGAGGTAATGAGGCATTGTCCATAGCGGCAATGCTTTGCTCACTTCCTGTTTGGCTCAGACCCAACGACGCCTTTCGCGCAGCGAACGAGGCGCTTTTGAATGCTGTTCAAGTTTTCAAGATCAGTCTGCAACTTTAAGTCTGGGAAGCTCCTCGTAGCTGAGGCCAAAGCCAGGTTTGCCCACATGGATGGAGACCACCTGACCTTGCTAAATGTGAATTTATCTGCAAACTATGTTTGAGGGGTGCTCTTCGGAGGTGTCAGTCTTGTGACAGTTGTGTGGCTGATCACGATGACTTGACTCTGAGCCTCTGAGGTTTTCCATGCCTACAAGCAGCAGATTCAGGACGGCCACGATCCGTCCAGGTTTTGCGCGGAGAACTTCATCTCCATCCGGGCGATGCGCCATGCGGAAGTGGCCCGCGACCATCTGAAAAGGATCATGGAGAGCATCGGGCTGCAAATGATCAGCACTGACTTCCAGGCAGCTCGAGGGAGGGGGGGGGTGCTAGCCTCTCGTCAAGAGTCATGATCAAGTCACATTGCAGGACAAGGAGTACTATCCCAACATCCGGAGATGTCTCGTGTCCGGGTTTTTCATGCAGATTGCCTGCCTGGAGAGCGAAAAGCGGGGTGCATACAGCATGCTGAGAGAGGGTCAGGACTGCCGAAAAGCTCAACACTGCCAGTACCGTTCAGGGCGTCTGCTTCTGCAAGCTTCACTGCTTCAATGCTTCGCCTGGGCGCAGGAAGTGATGCTGCACCCATCGACATCGCTTGGGCACCGACCGGAGTGGCTTGTCTTCCACGAGCTGGCTTTGTCTTCGAAGCTCTTCGTCAAGACAGGCCATCTTTACCCCGATTAGCTCGAAGCTGGGCTTGACTGCCAGTGTATGCTGGGCGGTGCATCAGAACTCTTTCAACATCTCTGAGAGAGCGTACTGTCCGATACATCCAAAATATCAGAGGGGTCAAACGGATAAGCTGCATTTTGAATCAAATCAGCAGCACATGGAAAGCAATTCACTCCCTCCCGAAGGCACGCAAATCAAGCCAGAGTGGCTGGTCGACATCGCGCCCAGGGGTTATTTCGATCCCCAGAAGATCTCGGAGAAGAGCTCTGCAAGAGGGAAAATGGAGAAGCTGATGGCTCGGCGTCAGGGCCAAGATGGCTAGTGGCGGCTGGTAAGCGGCTATAGTAAGCGGTTCGCACGAGCACTGAAGGGAGATGTAAACAGATGGCCAGGTGACGTGAGGCGCTGGGTAGGTAAGAGGCCTTTCGCCACAGCGCTCGCGCCGACGGAAAGACACCGTCTAGTGCGGCACGCAGGGATTACTGGAAGACGGCACAGATACTGCCAGCATAACCACCATAACTCTCGGAACGATGCAAAGATCCCGAGACATGCTCGTAGTACGAAAAAGAACGGGCACCTGTGCCGATTTCCACACCTCCGGCTTCCGCATGGCCCGTGGGAGTGGTAGCGACCTGAAATGCTTTTCGTGCTCGCTGGATGTCCTGACCGCCAGAAGCACCGCAAGGCTTCAATTGCCAGAATTGGATCTAAGCCCTGCGACATCCTTATAGACTGCTTACATCAGCGTGTCCAAAATGGTGCTTTGGGATCTGGTGTCCTTGTTCTGGTTAGGGTCCAGTTCGCTTGGGGAAGTCGCCTCGGTGACTTGGTTTGAATTGTCCGATTTGGCGAATACCTCTCTCAGCCCTAAGATGTAGGTCAGGCATTGTCAGTCGTCTGCCGCAGCCGGGTCGCTCGAGGCACGGGGCCGTTTGCGCCGTTTGGGGATTGACCCGGTCCAGGTCAGATCTGGCTCGAATGTGGTCATGTGCTCCATGCTCAGCAATGCCGAGCCCACTGTGCCAAACGGCTGGGTTCTGGGGGACAGCTTGGTGTTTGCTGCTGAAGACATGCAGCCTCATGGCAGATGTGCTTAGGTTTGGTTTACAAAGCATTGGCAGCAGCTTGGTGGCATTGTGCACAGAAGCTTCTGCGGGACATCTGCCGGAAGTGCACCGAACGTCCTGGGATTTCTTTCGGAGCAAAGCCCGGCTCGCGGAAAGCGGAGAAAGCGGACACACCGAACTGCTTGAGCACGTCGGATTTGCTTCTGCTGCTTGGCTGTTTCTTGTCTTCAGTCTTTGGCAAGTCTTCAGCTTCTTTCGACGAACACTGTTTCGCTCTCCGGAAGTCTTGTTCTTCCCTGATGCATCTGGCAAGAACCGCCGACACATTTGCTTCTTGCTACGGGAAGCTAGGAGGAAGGTCTGGGTGGCAATGTTCGCCCTGACCGACGACCTACTTTCCGACGAGCTTCTTGCTGCTTTCAAGCGGGGCGTAGACGTCAAGGTCATCGTGGACGACGAGCAATGTGGCATGCTTGGGGCAGATGCGCCCAAGCTGCTGGATGCGGGGGTCCCACTCCTCATAGATTCATCGCCAGCTCGCATGCACCATAAGTTCGCAATTGTTGATGGTTGCGTGCTGACTGGCAGCTTCAACTGGACAAAGCAGGCCAGCACCACGAACTGGGAAAACGTGTGCATTCTTCGGGATCCATCCATCGTTGCACCGTTTGCCAACGAATTCACATCTTTGTGGAGGGAGTTTTCCGGAAGGTCTCAGGACATGCCAGAGTCCCCGACATCGCCAGCCAGACGGAAGCGTGATGCCACACCAGGCAAGCGACGGTGAAGTCTCAGCCTTAATCTTGGGATGCCGTCTTAATTCAGCACCTTGGACTACATCGAAACAGCCCGGCCTTGCAGCTTGCAACGCGCGTGGCAAGCACTGGGAGCAAGACGCAGACAACTCGTCCGCTGGGAACTAGCGGACCATAGCGGACCCCAGGCGCACCATGCTAAGCGAGAGAGCAGCGAGCCTGTGCACAGAAAAACAGGAGCGCAGAGCTGCTGACCTTGGATTGACATCCAGTGCTTATCTCCATGGCCCCTAGCCGCCCTAGCCGTCAAGCGTCATGGTACACAATAGCAGCAGTGGTAGCAAAAACATGTCAGTTTAGACTTCTTCCCCTACATTGATTGCCTGTTCCTGTGCGAGTGGTCCGTTCAGATGTGCAGATGGCAAAGAGACAGCCTATAAATGACTTTGGACAGGGCAACGCGAGTGGCTCAAGTTTTGGACCTTGTGAGTAAGATGGTGGAAAACAGCATCCAGCAGTTGGCAGAAGTCCGGCAGCAGCTCAAAGAGTCGGCTGCGAGGATTGATGCCTTGAAAGATCTGCATCGAGACTGGCAAGGACTGACCCCATCAGAATGTCCACAAAACACGTTTATAAACACGACTCAGCTGACCAAACCATCTTTTAAGACACAGTCCAAATTTCAAAGTGCTGCTGCTGGCAAAGGGTCCATCGAAGTCCTGCTGGAGCGGGTGGACACGACCCTGACGTCTCACGATGCTGCCCTCGAGCAGCTGGTGCTGCCTGATCCCATAAAGCCCCGCCGAGAGTCCAGGTTGATCACGGACGTTCGATCGAGCGATACGAAGGCTGTGTCCCTGCATCATCCACTTCTAAAGCCTCTTGAATTTGCCCAGCACAGGGTTTTTTTGATGGGGTTTTCATGGGTTTCCGTAACTTGTATCCGCATCTTTCCCTTCAAAAAGGGTTCTCTTTCGCACCCATCGCTGCAGGTCGCGGAAGTCGGTCTTGCAGCATGCCCCTGCCGGGCCACTCCGGAAGCTCCTCATGGAGCTGCTGGTGGACCAGTCAGAGGCACCCTGGGGGATCAAAACAACAAGCAAACGGGGTGTCTTCTCGTGTGCGCTTATGTGCTCTCTCATGTGTTCTCTGGTTCTTTGGCACCTTTCTGTGAGGCCCAGGAGAAGTTGCAGTTTTCGCGGCTGGCCAAAGCGCGGCAGCATGTGGCGTCCCTGGTGTCATCCAGCTTCTTCGAGTTCTTCTCGGGCTTTGTCATCTTGCTGCAGCTTGGCATATGTTTTGAAATTAGATTTTGCATCGTCCCGCAGTGGGCAGTAGGTGGCATATGAACGGGGTGAATCCCACACAAGCCGATAAAATGGAGAAAGAACGAAGTGAATGCAACGCATGCAACGCAAGATCAAGAATCATTTGTAACAGTATTAGTATAATTAGTATAAGGCTGTAGATGAAAAGATATTGAAACTAGAGAATAAATGAGGTGAGCGTATCAGTGAACGAACGAAGGACAATAACAATGATATGTTTCCAAGCTGTTTTCCCAAGTGAAGAATTGGTTCACAAGAGGCTTCTGAAACTAGGATGGTTAAGGTGAGTCTAACGAACTGGTACAAGAGCGAGGGGAAAACCCCCATTAAAAACCGTGTCCGCGAGGAAGGGTTAACGAAACCGCCGCAAGGCCGGTACACTTGCTAGGCAAAACATGTCTGATTCGCAGCATGCCACTCGCTGAAGGCGAGCTTTCTGGTACGGCGTTCCTTCCCTCGAAACTCGTACTGTGTGGGTGCGAAATCCTCGAAACTCGTAGTCACCCAACCCCCCCTCTGCTGAGCGGATTTGGACCGGCAGGGTCTTTGCAGTGCTTACAGAAGTGATGTGCGATGCCTTTGTTCTCAAAGACCCAAAGAATGTGCAAACGAAGCTTCCGTCGAGCAGGCAGGGAGGTGGTCTTTCCATACAGTAGGGGCTTAGAGCGCCCGGGGGACTTGACGACATAAGACAATGACAAGTGCGCTGCGGGAACCGGTGTCAGGCAGGAAACTTCCCATCTCCCTTTCGTCAAATGTTCTTCGCTTCATTTATACCTCATTCCTGCAGGCACCTCGTACAAAGACTGTGCAGGATGCAGGTTTGCAACACAGCCTTTGGTCCATCGGGGTGCCTTTCGCCGGGTTGACCCAAATGTCCCGCAATGTGCCATATTGAGGGATTAAGTTGGGCCGCCTTTCGCTGGCAGGAACCTGGTCGCGATTGGGATCGAGGCAGAGATGTCATTGCAGGAGACTCTTCGTAAGGTGTGTGTACGGGTCGCTTTTGGAGCCGAGCCTGAACACATTGTCCAAAAAAGGAGAACATTGAGTTCGAGGAGGACTTCTGGTTCAGCAGCATCGAGAGCATCTTTCTGGGGATCTACTGCCTAGAAGCCGGCTTGCAGCTCTTCGGCCGGCTTGGCACTCAGGATCCAGTGTTCTTCGTCAGTACATTTCATGAGCCTACATGAGCCTACATGAGCCTTATGCCAGTAGCGCCACCAAGGGGCCTTATCGTGTTCCAAGACCTTTGGTTTTTGCTGGATCTTTGCCTCATTTTGGTTGGCCTCCTGGCCCTCTGGATCGTGCCAGCCTTCGGCCGAGAAAGTGCCACCTCCGGATTTGAAAAACTCCTGGTCGTCAGGGGCGTACGACTCCTACGCTTGGTGCGAGTGCTCCGGATGGTGCGGCACTTCAAGATAATGTGGCGCCTGGTGTATGGACTGCTAACCGCTGGGCAAACAATCCTGTCGACTACCGCCCTGATCCTCGTGTCGCTCTTCATCTTCGCCTGCGTGGCAGTCGAAGTGATTGCCAAAGATGCTGATCTGCTGGCCGACTCGGTGACCCGGGGCATTGTCGTTGGACGCTTCCGAGGTGTAGGACGCTCTATTCTCACACTTACCCAGGTGGGGCCTATTGGGGCCTATTGCCATTCCCGTGTTAGCGGTTCTGTCAGTACATGTCAGTAGAATCGTTTGCTACACCGTATGCTGTTAACAAACGCCCTCCACTCTCACCTGTGCAGTTCGTAACCTTGGATGGGCTGTCCGACATCTGGTTCCCCCTGATTGCTGCAAAACCTTGGTCGCAGCCTCACCGTGCCGTGTTGTGAGCCGTGTTGTGAGCCCCTCGTGAGCCCTTGTGAGCCATGACAAAGCGTGACCCAACTCTTGACAGAGCCGCTGATCATGCCGAGGCTGTGGATATATTTCTTGCCAATCTTGGATCCTCGAAGCACTGGGGGCATCACCAAGAGACCGCACATGGAGAGCCCCCTTATTTTTTTTTGGAGCTGTCCAAGACTTGCGATGCGGGGCCAAGGTGTTCATTTCGATTGGCCTTCTGAATTTGATTACCGCAGCACTGGTGCTGGGCTCAGCCATGCCTGCAGATACCTGCCATGCCTCTTTCCTTTTTTCTCCCTAGTCACATAATATGTCACATCATGGCATCCGAAGGTGGAAAATGCCATGGACAATGCGTCGCTGAGCATGGAAGAGGACAGGCTCAGAAGCGGAAGCGTGATGAACGGAAAGCCTGGACGTAGTTCGGGCAAGACCCCTATGTTCACCCTAGTCCACAAATAGACGTAAGAGTGGGGGGCGGGGTGGGGGGGAAGGTGGAAGCTGTCAAAGCGAAGTAAGAGACACAGGTGTGCTGGCCAATCTGATGGAAATGGTAGTCGCGCATGAGCCAAGCAGGTACGCAGAAACAGGTTGGTCTACATCGGCTAGTCGCAAACGGGTGTTTGAAATACGGTCCTTTTGATGTGAGCCCCACCCATGAAACGAATCGCCTCTTGTCTTGGGAAGGAGCGAACCAAACTGAAGCGAAAGGTCAGGGGCGCCTCTCAGCAGCCATAAAATTCAGCCATATCTGGATGTTTGGTGCATGGAGCATCGTGGAGTGTCCGAGGCCTTGCCAGTGCTGATCGACATTTTCCAAACCCTCGACGCAGACCACAGCGGCCTAGTTTCACGGGAGGAGGTATCGAACGTTCCCATCGACATCTTGCCTCCACGTGTGCTGGAAGCTGTGTGTGTTGACAACATGGAGGACATTTTCGATTTGCTGGATGTGGATGACTCCGGGTTCCTCACACAAATGGAATTTGTCGAAGGCTTGCTCAGCTTGTCCCTGCTGGACATGCCAATGTGGACGTTGCAGGGTCTTCGAATAATGAAGCTTGTGAACGCTAGGGTTTCGAACATTCAACAAATGTGCGAGCAAATCTACACATACCAAGCCGCCAGAGACGGCGATGATTGTTCACACTTTGAGCTTTGATGCAGCATACGGCGCGCCCGGAAACGTTTCACTGTTTCACCCGCCATGCACATACCTGGATCCCCGCCCCTACCACTCATCCCAAGCAGCCTGGCTTGTCCCGGCTTTGCTTGCTGCGTCATGTCGTACTTCCAACACTTCGCCCATACTCGAATCTGAAAGGCGGCGCGCTGTAGCTGCCAGAGAATGCCCCAGAGATAAGGAGAGAATGAGTGTGGCATAGTCTGGCACTGCAGAAGCTGTCTGTCCAGAAATACCACTCAGCTCCCTCAGCTTCCGGCTCCAATACACATGTCACAGAGGTGACCAAACCCCAAGCCCAGATACATCACCCTTGTCAGATCAATGGGTTGCTACAACGTAATTTCGGTCAATCTCGCACACAAGCAACTCTGTAATCAAGAAGCACGCATTCTGCTTGCGAAGTGCATGCTGACATCCGTAACCCAGGAAGAGCGCCTGCGGGCTGTACAGTATTGCCGCTGGCTTTCGACGCACTATGGCGCGCCCTGGGAAACGAGGGCGAGGAGACATGCTCTTCCGAAATGTGGGAGATGACAGCGTGCACCTTCGCCGGCAGCTTTAGAAACACGTCCTCAGTTTCTGTAGGAGTTTTTTGGGAAAAGGCATTGAGTTGACAGCCTCAGGTGGGCGCAAGCGCAGCTGTCGCAGCCGAGCAAGGCCCAGAAGGCCCTGAAGGCCCAGGAGGCCCAAAAGGCAGCCAAAGCGGCGACCTCCCAAGGCTCAAAAGCCACGCCGAAGGCTGGAAAGCCCAAGTCTGCCCAGGCCCAAGATGCGAAGAAAGTGCCGGATACATGTCATGGTACGGTGGCATACATGTATATATACACATATATATATGTGTGTGTGTGTACATGTATATATGTATGGATATCTAAGTATGCAGATGTATAGATAGATAGACAAAGAATAGGTATATACATTATATACATATACATACTTTATATAACATATGTATATATATATATATACATATACATAAATAATTTGTCAGTTTTTGGTGGTGGTGGTGGTGGTGAGCTTATGTGAGCTTGCACATGTTTCCCCACGGGCCTGAGAGACTCTGTTGCGCTTCTTCTTGCCCCTGCTTGGCCTCCGCTTGGTGAAAGTAGGCCTCCGCTTGGGTCTGTCAAGCTGCTCTTGTGAACGGCCCCACAGCCAGCGACCGAGATGATGCTCCACCAACGTCTTGCCCGGCCGGATGCGGCCGCGCGGCGCAGTGTTAGCGGCGCGCGGCATGCGCGGATGCGGACCATGTCGCGCATGAATCGCAGGGCCTCGCCATTCCAGCGACCCCCGACCTGCGAGCCGAGCACGACGCCCGTGCGCGTCAGGGGTGACACGAGGGTAGCGTCGCAGCAGAGCGCGATGCCCAGGGTGCCCTGTAAACCAGCATGTCCAGCCGCCTGCGGTCATCTGCTGCGACTCCTGGAGCCGAGGTGTGTCGTCCCAACCATTGCTGGGGCACCACTTGTGTTTCCCCCCCCCCAAGCGATGAGATGATGAGTTGGACAAATTCTTTTTTTGTCCGCACCTTTGTGCATCCGCAGTATTCCGCAGTGATGGGTTCGGGGGTCGGGACCGTCATCGGCAAGCATGGTGCTGGAGTTGAATCGTGTGGGTGCCGGGGGGCTCGCCCAACCACCACATCTTTGTGCCATGTCGGTGCACGCATTATGTGACATGACGTGCACAGCAGGCAGTACGGCTTTCAGCCTGGGCAACTGTATCGGAATGGCCAGGGAAGCTCAGGCGACAATCGTCCCAGAATGTTTCCGCACCAGAATGTTGCGACTTTCAAGCAAGCCAGGCTCAGGCGGGCGGGCAACTTTACCGGAATCTTGCCTGGCAAGCAGCTGAGCCAGAAAGTTGGGGCCCAGGGCGCATTTTGCCTAAACAAGCAGGCCAGGGAGGCTCCGGCGGGCAGCTGTACCAGAATGTTGCTTCAATAATAGGCAGACCAGCAAAGGCTCAGGCGGTCAACTTTAATGGAACCGGAATCCGGAGTGTAAACCCTGAAAGCTGTGTTTTGGGGACAGGGTGGGGATGTCCGAAATGGTGTTTTTTGAAGCTTCTTGGCTCTGCGACTGTTCTGCCTGCAGGAGATCTTGGCCGGCTTCCGGAACAACTGGCAGGACAAGGTTGTGGTGGCCGAAGTTGCGGAGGAGGAAGCTGCCATGAAGCCCGAGGAGCAGGTTTGGGATCCAATTCGCAACATTCTGTGAACGAGATAGAACAAAAGGTGCATTGAGCGAGCATGTGAATGAGCATGCGAGGTGCCGGGCAAGGTGGCCGGCAAGGATTCCAAGGATTCCAAGGACTCCAAGGATTCCAAGCATGCGCCCTCCGAGTCCGAGGGCTCAGCCAGCTCAGCAAAGCGCCAGAAGTCCCGGTGGTCGCGGTCCTCTTCATCAAGCTGACGCGGGAGTCGACGGAGTCATAGACGGAGTCATAGACTACGGAGACTGTGAGACGGAGGACGAGGAACGGCAGGAGAAAGGCTCGCATGGCAGAACGGTCGGGGTGACCTGGCATGACATGCAAAAGCGAAACCACCTGCCACATCTCACACTTGCTTGGGATCAAGGATGTGCTGGGCAAGTAGCCGAGTAGCAGCACCGAATGGCATATGATGATCTTATATGTGTAGTCAAAGTTTGCCCTGCGCGGCTCAATTCGCACAGTATGTATACTCACTAGCGGATGGCCCGAGAGCCAAATGCTCAACTTACCTCTTGATTTGTGTTTGGGCCTGAAATCTAGACGATCACGCACACGCATCAATTGGCCAGCTAACTCCACGATGGCCGCCGCGACGGGGCTTTTTGCCAAGCTGTCCGAGGTCCAGGAGCAGCAAAGGGCGTCCTCTGCAAACCTGGAGCTTCTCCGGGACCAGCACAGAGAGTGGCAGCGCTCCGTGGAAGAGCTCCTCGCTGGCATCCGCACGGAGGCGCTGCCAGTGCCGGTGCCTTTGGCGCCATTGGCGCCATTGGCGCCTGCAGAGACTGCGGTTACCACGGTGTCTCATGTGACTCATGTGTCTCTTCCAAAGGCCGCGCAGGCAGAAGAGAAGGACACTAAGGACACAAACTCCACTCCAAGCGAAGAGAACAACGCGAACAACGCGCATGTCGCGCCTGACGATCCAAACAGAGCAACGTTCAGTCGAAGATCCATGAGCACGGAGTCGCTGCTGAGGTCTGGTAGAGGGCCAACCCCAATCAACAAATGAGAGGTCTTATGAGTCTTATGATGTCTTATGTTTATGTTTTCTTGCAGCATCTTGTTGCATGATGTGGGGCCCAATGTGGGGTTTGAGTCGAGGTCGCGGAACACCGTGGCTCAGAATTTCCCTGCTGGGCCGCTGCGAAAGCTCGTCACCGAGGTGCTGAACGACAGCAAGGCCTCGGCCCTCCTTTTGCTTTCTTTTGCTTCCTTTTGCTTCTCTTCGACGATTTGGCCTCCGCACTCAAAGCCGGGTTGTTTTTTTGTCATCAGACGCCGGGCCAGGCAGCTCCCAAGGAGCTCTCCTTCCTCGGGTCTCTCCGCCAGAAGGCTGGGAATCAATGCCAAAGATTGAAGACGTTGACAAAGTGCTTGAAGAGAGCGGCACAGCGCATGTTCTAAAGTCTTACATTGGGGGTTTTCCCAGCCCCCGCATGACTCCGATCCTTGTGAGGTTACTGTGATCGTCAACTCGTCATGGTTCGAGTTCTGTGCGGGGGTGGTCATCCTGCTGAGTCTGGGCATAAGGGCGGATTCTTAAGAGATTGGGCCATGTCACCTTTGAAGACTGCGCAGGATAAGGCGGATAAGGCACATAACTCACATAACCAGCCGACAGAGTCGCAGCTTGAATTTCTTGCGCTGGCCCTCCTTTGCCTCAGTCCAAGACAGTTTCTAAGCTGAGGGGAGGGGGGTTTCTGAGGCAGGGGCCCCCTACTGCAAAACTAGACCCCAGTCCGTTATCTCTTCTTCCAGCTAGATGGGCGGCAAGAGTTGAGAAAGCAGAAGAGGGTTACATGTTCCCACGCAGGCCACAGCCATCAATCAGCAGAGTATATTTCCGGCCAAATGGCCCCCCTAGACGCCAGACCTTGCAAAACCAACTGCCCCAGCGATTGTGCGCATACCAGCATCAGTTGGGCATATTTCCGGCCCCCTCACAACCAGCTGCCCCAGTGATTGTGCGCATTTGACGAGGCAGGAGGGGAGCATCATGAGCATCGGCTGGGTACATGTCTGGCCACAACATGGCCTCCCGAGCGATTGTACGCATTTCACGAGCATCAGTTGGGTATATATCCGGCCACATGGCCCCCTACAGACTTCAGATGTTGCAAAACCAGCTGCCCCAGTGATCGTACTTCCGGCCAGACGGCTCCCCTAGACTCCAGATGTTGCAAAACCAACTGCTCCAGTGATTAAATGCGCATCTGACGAGGTGGGAAGTGCGCGGGCTGATAGGAGGGAAGCAATTTTGCAATAAGTCGTGCTTTGTTTACAATGTCTTTACTGCCCCAAGTCTCCAAGGAATTTGGTCACGATTGGCATTGAAGCTCAGCTCTCCTTGCGTAGCGGGGAGACCTATGATGACGACTTTTGGCCTGGAGGCTGTGCATGTGTTACCACCAAGACAGAGAAGTGCAGCATGTATAGCTCTGAATGGAACTATCCCTATATCGTGATATGTGTGTATATACATACCCATGTACACTTTTGCAGTGTGGGAGCCAAAACAAGAAGTGAAGTCGGTTTGAGTTTGGAGCGGCAGAGGCGTGGAGAGGATTTTCTTGGTCTTGTACACCATCGAGGCGCTGTTCCGCCTGGTGGCAGGTGGCCTCCCGATCTTCATGGACCTCTGGTTCTTGACGCACAGCCGCGCTCAGAGAAGCTCCCGTAGAGTTCCCTAGGCCTTTGAAACCGCAAACCTCGGAAACCCCAGACCCCCCCCAAAACCGGAGCACCAGCCCCAATCCCAAAAATGTCCTCATGCACTGGGGATCTGAGGCTGGACCTTGCGCTGATCATCGTTGGGCTTCTAGTGCCCGTGATGAAGTTACGGGCTAAATGGATGCCTTTGCACACTGATCAGTCGTGCTGCAGAGCACGAAACTTGCGGGGCTTGTGTGTGAGAGTGAAAGAGTGAGTCAGAGATGAGTATGAGTAGGTGCCAACAAAACATTCCCAAATCTCTTACAGCTACTTCACTTGTGTGAACCTGGAGCTTGTTACATGGACTGAACCAGGCACTCCTAATTGTTCCGGCTGTGGCTGGCAACTCGGGTGACATTGATGGCTTCGAGCGGCTACTGGTGGTCCGAGGCCTGGGACTCTAACCATTTCTGGACTTCAGTTTCCCACAACAGTGGGTACTAGTGAAATAGTAGGTACCCATTTTGGAAGTCCTTCTTTGAGAGCCCCAAAAACTGGGTCAACGGGTCTGAGGGCTTGGCCAATCGTCGCAGGATGTTGTCATTGCTGCTCGGTGATGACTTAAAGGGCACACAAGACTCAAGTGGGGCGGCCATCCGCATTTCATTAGTCGCGCATCGAAGCTCTGCTGAGCCCATCGGCCCTGCGCGCAAGTAAAACGGCCCCAGAACGCAAGCAGTCACAACCAAGCCCGAGTTGCCAAACCTGACATTTTCACAGTTCTGCGTTTGGAGCAGATAATTTTAGCCTTGATAAGGTTCGTGAGAGCCCGGTGGATTTGGCAAATTCTAGGGCCAATGAAAAGGCTAAGCCGGCCAGCCGATTCCAAAACCTTGTATCGTCAGCATTCAGACCCCTTTTGCCAACGCAAGAGTCCCGCATCAGGTCTTCGCTTATTCCGCTTGGTCCGAGCATGGCGGATGCTGCGTCACTTTAAGGCTGGGTTCAACCAAACTATCGCTCAACAACTCGGTTCAGGGCCCCTTGTGTTCATGGTTACCCCCAACATTTACGGGGCACGTTTTTGATACTGCCCTTGAGATCGTGTGGCGGCTGATCTATGGGCTCATGAACGCTGGGCAGACGATCATCTCTACAACTATGTTGATTCTTGGCCGTCTTGAGAGACAAGTTGACTGGCTAGTCTTTCCGGGAGAGAGTCGCCCCGAGTTGAGGATCATGGTCTCCTTGTTCATCTTCGCATGTGTCGCCGTGGAGGTCATCGCTAAGGATGAGTACCTGGCAACACAGGCAGCCACAGCGGAAATCGTGGAAACGCAGTTCTTTGGCTTGAACAGGGCGATGATGACGCTGATTCAGTTCGTGACACTTGACAACATCTCGGAAGTGTACTACCCTCTCATCATGCACAGACCCTGGCTGTCGGTATACTTCTTCCCAATATTCATTTTCATTTCTATTGGGCTGATGAATCTTGTCACAGCAGCCCTTGTGGAGAATGCCATGCAGACAGCAGCACACGAGGTCGGAGTATTGACATTCATTTCTTTCCTACATGCAGGATGAGTCCAAGCAGAGCGAGCGAGCGAGAGAGAGAGAGAGAGAGGCAGGGAGAGGGATAGAGAGAGAGAGGGAGATTCAGGCACCTTGCAGCGGGGGGTGCCAGGGCTGTCACTTTAAAGCCGCAGAGCCACATGTCGTGAAGCATACCTTCACCCCATCCGGTTGCTGGCGAGAGGTGAGGAGATTATCTGTACTATGGGTACGTTGCTTCGGGTGGACCACACTAGCCAGCATCTCCCGAACACACAGAGCACAGAGAAGGACACCTCAATAAGAGGGCAACTTCCACTGTGTGTTCCTCGGTTGTTTCCACCCCGACTGGACCGCTTGGAGGAAGGAAGGAAGGAAGGAAGAAAAAAAGAGAGAGAGAGAGAGAGGAAAAAAAGGGAGAGAGTGTACGAGGCAGGAGGGGGGCATCATGAGCATCAGCTGGGTACATTTCTGGCCACAGGGCCCTCCTAGACGCCAGGCGTTGCAAAACCAACTGCCCGAGTGATTGCATGCATTTGACGAGGCAGGAGGGGGAGCATCATGAGCAGGGGAGCATCATGAGCATCAGCTGGGTACATTTCTGGCCACAGGGCCCTCCTAGACGCCAGGCGTTGCAAAACCAACTGCCCGAGTGATTGCATGCATGTGACGAGGCAGGACGGGGGCATCATGAGCATCAGCTGGGCTCAGCTGGGTACATTTCCGTTCACCGGGCCCTCCTAGACGCCAGGCGTTGCAAAACCAACTGCCCGAGTGATTGCATGCATTTGACGAGGCAGGAGGGGAGCATCATGAGCATCAGCTGGGTACATTTCTGGCCACAGGGCCCTCCTAGACGCCAGGCGTTGCAAAACCAACTGCCCGAGTGATTGCATGCATTTGACGAGGCAGGAGGGGGGCATCATGAGCATCAGCTGGGTACATTTCTGTCCACAGGGCCCTCCTAGACGCCAGGCATTGCAAAACCACCTGCCCGAGTGATTGCATGCATTTGACGAGGCAGGAGGGGGGCATCATGAGCATCAGCTGGGTACATTTCTGGCCACAGGGCCCTCCTAGACGCCAGGCGTTGCAAAACCAACTGCCCGAGTGATTGCATGCATTTGACGAGGCAGGAGGAGAGCATCATGACCATCAGCTGGGTACATTTCTGGCCACAGGGCCCTCCTAGACGCCAGGCGTTGCAAAACCAACTGCCCGAGTGATTGCATGCATTTGACGAGGCAGGAGGGGAGCATCATGAGCATCAGCTGGGTACATTTCTGGCCACAGGGCCCTCCTAGACGCCAGGCGTTGCAAAACCAACTGCCCGAGTGATTGCATGCATTTGACGAGGCAGGAGGGGAGCATCATGAGCATCAGCTGGGTACATTTCTGGCCACAGGGCCCTCCTAGACGCCAGGCGTTGCAAAACCAACTGCCCGAGTGATTGCATGCATTTGACGAGGCAGGAGGGGAGCATCATGAGCATCAGCTGGGTACATTTCTGGCCACAGGGCCCTCCTAGATGCCAGGCGTTGCAAAACCAACTGCCCGAGTGATTGCATGCATTTGACGAGGCAGGAGGGGAGCATCATGAGCATCAGCTGGGTACATTTCTGGCCACAGGGCCCTCCTAGACGCCAGGCGTTGCAAAACCAACTGCCCGAGTGATTGCATGCTTTTGACGAGGCAAGAGGGGAGCATCATGAGCATCAGCTGGGTACATTTCTGGCCACAGGGCATCCTAGACGCCAGGCGTTGCAAAACCAACTGCCCGAGAGATCAGCTGGGTACATTTCTGGCCACAGGGCCCTCCTAGACGCCAGGCGTTGCAAAACAAACTGCCCGAGTCATTGCATGCATTTGACGAGGCAGGAGGGGAGCATCATGAGCATCAGCTGGGTCCATTTCTGGCCACTGGGCCCTCCTAGACGCCAGGCGTTGCAAAACCAACTGCCCGAGTGATTGCATGCATGTGACGAGGCCGGAGGGGAGCATCATGAGCATCAGCTGGGTGGTTTGTTTTCTGGCCACAGGGCCCTCCTAGACGCCAGGCGTTGCAAAACCAACAGCTCGAGTGATTGCATGCATATTTGACGAGGCAGGAGGGGGGCATCATCAGCTGGGTACATTTCTTGCCCGAGTGATTGCATGGATTTGACGAGGCAGGAGGGGAGGATCATGAGCGTCGGCTGGGTACATTTCTGGCCACAGGGCCCTCCTAGACGCCAGGCGTTGCAAAACCAACTGCCCGAGTGATTGCATGCATTTGACGAGGCAGGAGGGGAGCATCATGAGCATCAGCTGGGTACATTTCTGGCCACAGGGCCCTCCTAGACGCCAGGCGTTGCAAAACCAACTGCCCGAGTGATTGCATGCATTTGACGAGGCAGGAGGGGGGCATCATGAGCATCAGCGGGGTACATTTCCGGCCACAGGGCCCTCCTGGACGCCAGGCGTTGCAAAACCAACTGCCCGAGTGATTGCATGCATTTGACGAGGCAGGAGGGGGGCATCATGAGCATCAGCTGGGTACATTTCTGGCCACAGGGCTCTCCTAGACGCCAGGCGTTGCAAAACCAACTGCCCGAGTGATTGCATGCATTTGACGAGGCAGGAGGGGAGCATCATGAGCATCAGCTGGGTACATTTCTGGCCACAGGGCCCTCGTAGACGCCAGGCGTTGCAAAACCAATTGCCCGAGTGATTGCATGCATTTGACGAGACAGGAGGGGAGCATCATGGGTACATTTCTGGCCACAGGGCCCTCTAGACGCCAGGCGTTGCAAAACCAACTGCCCGAGTGATTGCATGCATTTGACGAGGCAGGAGGGGAGCATCATGAGCATCAGCTGGGTACATTTCTGGCCACAGGACCCTCCTAGACGCCAGGCGTTGCACCAACTGCCCGAGTGATTGCATGCATTTGACGAGGCAGGAGGGGGGCATCATGAGCATCAGCTGGGTACATTTCTGGCCACAGGGCCCTCTTAGACGCCAGGCGTTGCAAAACCAACTGCCCGAGTGATTGCATGCATTTGACGAGGCAGGAGGGGGGCATCATGAGCAACAGCTGGGTCCATTTCTGGCCACAGGGCCCTCCTAGACGCCAGGCATTGCAAAACCAACTGCCCGAGTGATTGCATGCATTTGACGAGGCAAGAGGGGGGCATCATGAGCATCGGCTGGGTACATTTCTGGCCACGGTCCTCCTAGACGCCAGGCGTTGCAAAACCAACTGCCCGAGTGATTGCATGCATTTGACGAGGCAGGAGGGGGGCATCATGAGCATCAGCTGGGTACATTTCTGGCCACAGGGCCCTCCTAGACGCCAGGCGTTGCAAAACCAACTGCCCGAGTGATTGCATGCATTTGACGAGGCAGGAGGGGAGCATCATGAGCATCAGCTGGGTACATTTCTGGCCACAGGGCCCTCCTAGACGCCAGGCGTTGCAAAACCAACTGCCCGAGTGATTGCATGCATTTGACGAGGCAGGAGGGGAGCATCATGAGCATCAGCTGGGTACATTTCTGGCCACAGGGCCCTCCTAGACGCCAGGCATTGCAAAACCGCATTTCACGAGGCAGGATGGGGGCATCATGAGCATCAGCTGGGTACATTTCTGGCCACAGGGCCCTCCTAGACGCCAGGCGTTGCAAAACCAACTGCCCGAGTGATTGCATGCATTTGACGAGGCAGGAGGGGAGCATCATGAGCATCGGCTGGGTACATTTCTGGCCACAGGGCCCTCCTAGACGCCAGGCGTTGCAAAACCAATTGCCCGAGTGATTGCATGCATTTGACGAGGCAAGAGGGGAGCATCATGAGCATCAGCTGGGTACATTTCTGGCCACAGGGCCCTCCTAGACGCCAGGCGTTGCAAAACCAACTGCCCGAGAGATCAGCTCGGTACATTTCTGGCCACAGGGCCCTCCTAGACGCCAGGCGTTGCAAAACCAACTGCCCGAGTCATTGCATGCACTTGACGAGGCAGGAGGGGAGCATCATGAGCATCAGCTGGGTACATTTCTGGCCACAGGGCCCTCCTAGACGCCAGGCGTTGCAAAACCAACTGCCCGAGTGATTGCATGCATGTGACGAGGCAGGAGGGGAGCATCATGAGCATCAGCTGGGTGGTTTGTTTTCTGGCCACAGGGCCCTCCCAGACGCCAGGCGTTGCAAAACCAACAGCCCGAGTGATTGCATGCATTTGACGAGGCAGGAGGGGAGCATCATCAGCTGGGTACATTTCTTGCCCGAGTGATTGCATGGATTTGACGAGGCAGGAGGGGAGCATGATGAGCGTCGGTCTGGCCACAGGGCCCTCCTGGACGCCAGGCGTTGCAAAACCAACTGCCCGAGTGATTGCATGCATTTGACGAGGCAGGAGGGGGGCATCATGAGCATCAGCTGGGTACATTTCTGGCCACAGGGCCCTCCTAGACGCCAGGCGTTGCAAAACCAACTGCCCGAGTGATTGCATGCATTTGACGAGGCAGGAGGGGAGCATCATGAGCATCAGCTGGTTACATTTCTGGCCACAGGGCCCTCCTAGGCGCCAGGCGTTGCAAAACCAACTGCCCGAGTGATTGCATGCATTTGACGAGGCAGGAGGGGGCATCATGACCATCAGCTGGGTACATTTCTGGCCACAGGACCCTCCTAGACGCCAGGCGTTGCAAAACCAACTGCCCGAGTGATTGCATGCATTTGACGAGGCAGGAGGGGGGCATCATGAGCATCAGCTGGGTACATTTCTGGCCACAGGGCCCTCCTAGACGCCAGGCGTTGCAAAACCAACTGCCCGAGTGATTGCATGCATTTGACGAGGCAGGAGGGGGAGCATCATGAGCAGGGGAGCATCATGAGCATCAGCTGGGTACATTTCTGGCCACAGGGCCCTCCTAGACGCCAGGCGTTGCAAAACCAACTGCCCGAGTGATTGCATGCATGTGACGAGGCAGGACGGGGGCATCATGAGCATCAGCTGGGCTCAGCTGGGTACATTTCCGTTCACCGGGCCCTCCTAGACGCCAGGCGTTGCAAAACCAACTGCCCGAGTGATTGCATGCATTTGACGAGGCAGGAGGGGAGCATCATGAGCATCAGCTGGGTACATTTCCGGCCACAGGGCCCCCTGGACCCCAGCGTTGCCCGAGTGATTGCAGCATTGACGAGGCAGGAGGGGGGCATCATGAGCATCAGCTGGGTACATTTCGGCCACAGCCCTCCTAGACGCCAGCGTTGCAAAACCAACTGCCCAGTGATTGCATGCATTTGATCATGAGGCAGGAGGGGGGCATCGTGAGCAGGAGGGGACATCAAGCCTCAACCAATGGCAAAAAAACCAACTGCCCGAGTGATTGCATGCATTTGACGAGGCAGGAGGGGAGCATCATGAGCATCAGCTGGGTACATTTCCTGCCCGAGTGATTGCATGCTTTTGACGAGCCAGGAGGGGGGCATCATGAGCATCAGCTGGGTACATTTCTGGCCACAGGGCCCTCCTAGACGCCAGGCGTTGCAAAACCAACTGCCCGAGTGATTGCATGCATTTGACGAGGCAGGAGGGGAGTATCATGAGCATCAGCTGGGTACATTTCTGGCCACAGGGCCCTCGTAGACGCCAGGCGTTGCAAAACCAACTGCCCGAGTGATTGCATGCATTTGACGAGGCAGGAGGGGGGCATCATGACCATCAGCTGGGTACATTTCTGGCCACAGGACCCTCCTAGACGCCAGGCATTGCAAAACCAACTGCCCGAGTGATTGCATGCATTTGACGAGGCAGGAGGGGGGCATCATGAGCATCAGCTGGGTACATTTCTGGCCACAGGGCCCTCCTAGACGCCAGGCGTTGCAAAACCAACTGCCCGAGTGATTGCATGCATTTGACGAGGCAGGAGGGGAGCATCATGAGCATCAGCTGGGTACATTCCTGGCCACAGGGCCCTCCTAGACGCCAGGCGTTGCAAAACCAACTGCCCAAGTGATTGCATGCATTTGACGAGGCAGGAGGGGAGCATCATGAGCATCAGCTGGGTACATTTCTGGCCACAGGGCCCTCCTAGACGCCAGGCGTTGCAAAACCAACTGCCCGAGTGATTGCATGCATTTGACGAGGCAGGAGGAGCGCATCATGAGCATCAGCTGGGTACATTTCTTGCCACAGGGCCCTCCTAGACGCCAGGCGTTGCAAAACCAACTGCCCGAGTGATTGCATGCATTTGACGCGGCAGGAGGGGAGCATCATGAGCATCAGCTGGGTACATTTCTGGCCACAGGGCCCTCCTAGACGCCAGGCGTTGCAAAACCAACTGCCCGAGTGATTGCATGCATTTGACGAGGCAGGAGGGGAGCATCATGAGCATCAGCGGGGTACATTTCCGGCCACAGGGCCGTCCTAGACGCCAGGCGTTGCAAAACCAACTGCTTGACGAGGCAGGAGGGGGGCATCATGAGCATCAGCTGGGTACACATCCGGCCACAAGGCCGTCCTAGACGCCAGGCGTTGCAAAACCAACTGCCCGAGTGATTGCATGCATTTGGCGAGGCAGGGGGAGCATCATGAGCATCAGCTGGGTACATTTCCGGCCACAGGGCCCTGTTGCAATCATGAGCATCAGCTGGGTATATTTCCGGCCACAGGGCCCTCCTCGACGCCCGGCGTCGCAAAGCCAACTGCCCGAGTGATTGCGCGCATTTGACGTGGCAGGAGGGCAGCATCATGAGCATCAGCTGGGGATATTTCCGGCCACTTGGCCCTCCTAGACGCCAGGTTTTGCAAAACCAACTGCCCGAGGGATTGCGCGCGTTTGACGAGGCAGGAGGGGAGCATCATGAGCATCAGCTGGGTACATTTCTGGCCACAGGGCCCTCCTAGACGCCAGGCGTTGCAAAACCAACTGCCCGAGTGATTGCGCGTATTTGACGAGGCATGTTGCAAAACCAACTGGCCCAGTGATTATATGCACATTTGACGAGGCGGGAGGTGAGTGCGCACGCATCAGGGCTTAGGAGGGGAAGCAGTCCGCGAATGGTCCCAATATGGGGGCATTAGTAAGCAGGTATCAACCCCCACCGGAAATCACCAATCGCGCCGAACACCAGGCCACGCTTAGCGAGCAGGGGCGGCAAAACTTTTTCAAAGAAGGAAAGATGCCTCGGCAGCCACATCTGAAGGAAGCAAGCACGGAAGGAAGTAGGGAAAGAAGAGAGACGGACAATAAAGCAAAGATGAGAGAGTACCCCAGTGCCAGCAACCCGCGGAGTTGCCCACCGACCCCAAGCCTAGAGACAGATTCTCAGATGAGCCTGGTCGCATAACTAATCATCCTCTGACATCGTCCCTGCAGTGTACGTAGCAACTGCAGTGTACGTAGCAACTGCCAACGGATGCACTTATCGAGGCCCAACAGTAAACATGACAGAGTGAGAGAGAGAGAGAGAGAGGGAGGGAGGGAGGGAGGGAGGGAGGGAGGGAGGGAGGGAGAGACTGACTCCTTTGGATTTCGTTGGGCCAGGCCGAAGAAGAGCGCCTGAAGCTGAAGAAGAGGGTCCGGGGCGTCGGGAACTCAGATGAGCTCAGATCCCGGCATCCCTCTAGAGCCAAGGCCAAGACTGTCCCTAAGGTAGAGTTCATAAAGGACTACTCCAATATTCGCATATACTAAGACGTGCGTATATTAAAAAAGCGAATACAAATAAATTATAAGCATTAAATTGATATAGAACATATATATATATATATATGTATGTATTTATCTATATGTTTATGCACATGATATACTTCGACTTCGTGATTTTTTAAATCCATATGAAGCATCTCCTACCAACCTGAGGCTTTGCCGTCACTGATCGAGATTTTCCATTCCCTGGATAAAGACCACAGTGGGCTTCTGACACACGAGGAGGTGGTGAATGTTCCTTTGGATGTGTTGCCCCCCAGGGTCTTGGATGCCATCTACGTGGAAAGCATGGCCGATATTTTCGACTACTTGGATGTCGACGGAACAGGGCAGCTCTCCCAAATGGAATTCGTTGAGGGCCTGCTGAACCTCTGCTTAATGGACATGCCGATCTCCACCATCCAGTCATTGAAGTTGCTGCAGTTGATCCGTGGACTTGTTGGCAAGGTGGAGAAGGAGGTTCTATCTCTCAAGGTACAAGTTCAAGCCCTTGCCGAGGCAGGCCAGAATGAGCTGGTGTAACGTCGTGTTCGTCGGCAGTACCAGTCGGCAGTTTCACGTACCACGCAGCGTCCTGCTGACAGTTTCACCATGCTTGTTGTGAAAGAGACTTTCGCCGCGGCTTGCGGGGGCCTGCCAGGATCTAAAGCGCAAGCACCACGAAATCAGCAAAATTGCAAGTTCAACTTATGTCAAAGTTTTCACTGGCATCTTTTTGAATTCTGGCATGTTTCTGTGGACTTGAAACCTCCGACCCCAAAAAGAACGATAAGCCCACATTTCCAGAGGCTTGAGTTTGCATTCACCAAGTTCGGCTCATCCTTAGAGCAATGTCAACGCACATGCAGTTTCAGCTTAGCTCAGTCAAGTCAACAAAAGACACTGCCTGTTGTCCTGAAGCCATATATGGAAAGAGAACGCTTCAGATACATGGTAGAAGTATGATCTGTAGCACCTGATAGCATAGAGGGAAAGATGGCGTTGACGGGCCATACGGGCCTTCTCGCCAAGCTGTTCGAGGTCCAGGAGCAGCAGAAGGCCTCCTCTGCAAACCTGGAGCGTCTCCGGGACCAGCACAGAGAATGGCAGCGCTCCGTGGAAGGGCTCCTCGCTGGCATCCGCACCCACATAGATGAGGCAGCGCTCGCTCCTGCTGCTGCTGTCTCCCTGGAGCCTCGGAACCTTTGGCTGCACTTGAGGATGTGAAAAAAAACATGCAAAATGCAAAATGAGCTTGCACTTGCTTCGGACACTCTGCAGGTGCCAGGTCGCGCCGGCAAACACGCATGGTCCGCATGGTGCGCATGGTCCCACAAGCGTTCAGTTTACCCCAGCCCCTACATATGCCTCCGAAGACAGTGACGTGAACCTCACGGACTCCGTAATGCTGAATAGTCGGGAGATCACCAATCCGGGATTTGTCAGCCCTGGGCTGGCCAGTCCTTCTGACGACGAGGACAACGTGAAGCAGAGGCGGTCATTGACAGCACAATCGTTGCTGCAGCCTCTTTGTCCGCACAGCCTGCACTGGCATGCGCCTAAACCTCCCCCAGTACCTAAGGCTCTTAGATTCTTAGATGTTCGCGTCAACATTCGGTCAAGAACCAAAATGCACTTTTTTAAGACCTGCAGGGATTGAGCCGCACCGCGTGCGGCAAATCTACACGCAAATGCCCGACGTGTTTTTAGACACTAAGCGGCCTTTCCCAAGCCGCAAGCCAGACTCCTGCAACACGCTGCAACTGAGGCCTCGAAAGTCGGTGGTGCAAGCGCTTCCCACAGGGCCGCTGCGGAAGCTCGTATCCGAGGTCCTCAGGGATGCCGAGGCCTCTTCCTGCCCTTTTTCGCTGAAGTGCTTTTGTACGTAGTATTTGTAAGAATTGGTTTCGGGTTGGTGTCCACAACTTAGGAGGTTGCCTATCCGAGGAGGCTTCACACACCACCAGGTGACATCCGCACTCCGTGACCCCAGCAAAACGATTGAACGAGGCGGCGCAGTCACGGAACTGCTGCTTGGGTCACCAAGGTAGCTCCTGCAGGGAACCGAACAAAGCTCTGCTACCGGTGACGACTTCGGGTTTAGGAGCGCGCCACAAACTTCGACACAGGGAGGTAGCAGTTGACTGCTCAAACTCAGGCAAATCACAGCATGAGACGCGGGTGCTCCAATGGTTTCAGCGTCAGAAGGCTTCTTATGATTCCTCGAGTGCTGTTGTATTGCTTAACTCGCAGGAAACGTTTTTTGTCCGGTTTTTCGGTGACTAACTTGGGGTGTTTGCCTCGGCCCTTCGTCCTGTTTTTTTGGTGCGGGGCGAATCGATGCGCAAAGATAGCAAAACGCGCAATGTCTTCGTTCGAGAGGCGACGTCCACGGAGATTTCCCGGATGGAAGCCCTCCGCCAGATGGTTGGCCTGGTCGTGAAATCCAACTTCTTCGAATTTGTGGCAGGCACACTCATCCTCCTGAGCCTTTCCGATAAAGAGCTGACGCGCGCTACTCAAGGCTTGTAGTGGCCCCTTAACATCCCGAAACCCTGAAAAAGTACCCCGTAAGCATCCCGAAGCCCTAAGTTTCCTGGGAGCAGAGCAGAAGAGAGAGAGAGAGAGAAAAAAAAAAAGGGGTTAAGTGCTGTGGAAGGAAGAGAGAGAACTGCCTTAAGTGGCATAGCGCCCAGGAACCTCATCTTCATCGGCATTGAGGCCCAGGTCTCCCTCCAGACGGGCGAAGTCTATGCGGAGAACTTTTGGCCGGGAGGAGCCTATGTCTGAAAGAAGAAAACTTACGAAAACGGGACAACATGTGCCACCCCCACGGACCAACTGAGCCGCACCCACCGAAAGTCAAAAATCTCAGGCTGTTTGTTAGGCCTTTGGAGGCTTTGCCCCTACCACGCTCGCGAAGAGTTCTCGTAAAAACCCGAGGAGTTGAGCGCATCTTCCTCGTCCTTTACGCGATCGAGGCGCTACTGCGGTTCGCCGGCTTCGGCTGTGCGGTATTCAAAGACTTGTGGTTCTTGAGGCTGAGCTGAGTTCTTATCCTGGTTGTTTGAAGGCATCAGACATCATCAGACAAACAGCATACTTCAGTCGCTTTCTGCGGTTTTGTTAAGGATGGACGTGTCGCTGATCATCATCGGTCTGCTCGCGCTGGAGATCGTGCCCCGTGCGGCGGGCCCCGGAACAGATTCTGAGAGCTTCTATTCCGTCCTCGTGGTGCGTGGCTTTCGCTTGTTTCGCTTGGTACGAGCGCTGCGGATGCTCCGGCACTTCAGGCTGATTTGGCGATTGGTCTATGGCATGTTGTCAGCCGGGCAGACTATAGTCTCCACAACAGTGCTGATCACTGTGTTCTTGTTCATTTTCGCCTGCGTGGCGGTGGAGCTTATTGCCAAAGACGAGAACTTGAGATCCCTCGATGAGACGGCTGGCATTGTTAGAGACAACTTTTTTGGTCTGAACCGTGCATTGTTAACGTTGATCCAGTTTGTGACCTTAGACTCCATTTCAGAGATCTACTTTCCACTGATCATGAACAAACCATGGTTGTGCTTCTTCTTCATGCCAATCCTGGTTTTTCTCTCGGTGGGCCTCATGAATCTCGTGACTGCAGCACTAGTGGAGAATGCGATGGAGATGGCGGCCCACGAGGCTGAAGAAGAGCGCCTGAAGCTGAAGAAGAGGGTCCGGAGCGCGCTGCCTTCTTTGATCGACATCTTCCATTCCCTGGACAAGGATCGAAGCGGCCTCCTGACGCGTGAGGAGGTGGAGAATGTGCCCCTCAGCGTGCTGCCTCCAAGGGTCTTGGACACGATCTATGCAGATAGTATCTCGGAGGATAAGGTGGGCGCGGCCATGTAGTCCATAGTGGTCTGCATGAACATAAGCTGCATGAGCAACCCTGTGCTGGAGGCTTTAATCTATCATGCTTTCCGCGAGCTGACTAGCTAAGGCATGGCCGACATCTTTGATTACCTTGATGTAGACGGCACAAAACAACTGAGCCAGATTGAGTTCGTGGAGGGCTTGCTCAATCTTTGCCTGATGGATACACCCATCTCGACACTCCAATCCCTGAAGCTCTTGCAACTAATCCGGTCCATCGTAGGTCAGGTGGAGAAGGAGATGGCGACCCTCAGGCGGGAAATGCAGAAGCTGCGGATGTATGTATCGACTGTTGGCCTTTGATTTGACCTGTGCACCTGCGCTGCGAAGCAACGCAAAGGGAGAAATAGTCTCAATGTTGTCAACAGAGCACCTCTAGGACTTTGGACAAGCCTCCTCCAGCCACAAGGAGCACACTGCTTCCTGCGTTTCACAGAGGCCAGGGGTCAACTTTAATCCGCCGACTTAAGTGCGTTACAAGCGGCTAAGCCCATCGCCATGCGACAGTCCCAGACCCGTAGAAAATGGCCTCCCAGGCCCAGCGCTCTGCCGTGGTTGCAGTTGCGCTTGATGTGGTTGCGTCATCAAGTGGTGGCTTGGAGGCTCAAAACACAGGGTGAAGGTGCCCCGACCGACACACTCCCTATGCAACGCGTCCTCAGGCAACGTCACTGGCGGGATGCCCCTGCAGCGGTCGCAAGAAATCTGCAAGGCGAACGAATATTCAGAGAGCAAGCTCGCTACCTACCAAACTTAGTCACACGCAGTCTACGCAGTCCAACAGCTTCCGACATAAGAACATAAAGGTCCACCCGTAATGCTTCCTGCCAATCTGCTGAGCAATGGTGCGAACAGCAACCTCTACGTGGCTGGCTTGCCTCCAAGCACCAGCGAGGATACACTGCGGCAGCTGTTCAATAGTTTCGGTGATGCTGCTTGGCTTCACCTACAGTAGGCATCTAGCTTTTGCAGTCCAATAGCAGCTAGCGAAACGGCTCGTGAAGAGCAGCAGTGGCAGCAACGTAAGATACCACTTGTTTGAGCCAGCGATCATGCCGCCAGAAGGGATCAAACCTGGTTTGGATTCAGAGTGTGAGTGTGATTCGTGACCACCAAGGCGACAGCTGCCGCGCGACACGTCTGAACAGCGCCAGGTGCAGGCCGCCATGGGCAGGCCTATGATGACAGATGCCCGATGATGCAGGTCTGCATTGAGCAGCCCCCGCCATTGCCCCAACATTAGCCAACATTGGCCCAAACACACGTCTTCGACATGTCTTGCCGCTTTGCTTCCACGTCCCTCAGATGTCTCATGCAGATTTCTCATGGGATGCCGGCAGACCTCATGCAGATTTCTCATGGGATCACGGAAGACGAGTGTTTGGACCTTGCTTCCGAAGAGTAGCTTGCAGTGCCAGGCAGTGACGAACCGACGACAGAGTTGCAGCCTGGGGGCGTTCATGGAGTGGGTACCAAGCTTGGCAAACGGCCAGCGTCAAGAGATCCCTTGAAGGATTGTCTAGAAACCTAGGCGGCTGCGTGAAACTTCACGGCCCAGCTGCATGGAACTCGTGCTTTGTACTTGCCTTTGCCCAGGCTTGGAGGGAACTGGGAGGAATATGACCAACGTGTAGGACCGTAGGATTCCTTGCAGAATAACCGGATCTTCACAGAACCCAAGCAGGGTGACCTCTGCAACCCTTTCTTGCGTACACGAAGTCGTCAAGCAGCTAGATGTCACCTCCTGAGCAGCCCTAAAATCCTTCCTTGGAGGCCCGGCCAGCTGCAAGATGCCGTTCGGCTAGGAAGGCTGAGGCGTGGGCCAGTGACCTCCAAGTAGTGGGGTTTTCGCGTAGGCAAGACGGGCATTGCATGAGGGACCACGGCGAGATGTCAGACACCGCTCCCCAGGTCCAGCTTCGACAAGAAGATGCATGGCCAGGCGCTTGTCATGCGTTGCACAAGCTCACAAGCCACTCAGTGTAGGCGATGAGATACTGTGACGGAAGAACTTGAACGGTATAGCGGTGGTCGTGCAACCGTCGGCACGATTGTATCCAAAAGCCTTGACGCGCCTGCCAGAGCAGTTGTCGATCGCTGACTGGTGCTGTTGTTGTTCTGCAGGTGCGACTTCTGTGTAGGGAGGCGAGAGCGAGCGTCGAAAACTGTCATGCCTGTCGCGGGCGTCCTGCTCAAGCCCATTCTTTGCTTTTCCAGGGAGGGCGCCTCCAAGAGGTCCCTCCTCGCGTCGTATCGACTTTATAGCTTCTCAAATTCGTACCTTTTCGTACCCACTCCCTAGGAGTCATGGGAACCGCAGCACGGGCCTTGTGTCTAGTGGTCGTGGTCGGCACCGCAAGTGCTGGGCTATCGGGCTCGGCCGAATGCCCTTGCGTCAACCACACCCGTGACGACTACGGCTTCGGCTGCAGAAGCCACGACATGAATGGATCTGCGGGCTATCCGGAGTGCCGCCCTTACTGCCTTACTGTTGTCAGTGGCTTGTCCAGGCTTGTCGGTTCCGTCTTCTGCTTTGACTTGCTTCGCACCTCGTCCCGAAACCTTGCCAAGAAAGACAAAAAAGTCAAACGTCACAGTTGTCCAAATCAGCTGACGTGTGGGTGACAGATTTCCTCACCTCACAAAGTGCTCTGCAGTTGCCCTTGCGGCTTAGTTTCAATTCGGTTTTTCTTGCAACACACAGGAGTCACGCCAGCCTCAAATTGCATGGCTGCAGGTGCAGTCAGGTCTCTCCGCCAGCCTGGTGCGGTGACAGTTGGTGCTACGTTACGCGGCAGGGCTGCCAAGTCACGAGTGAGCCCAGCGATGACCATCCAGATCTGGCTTGGTCCTACACAACCTGTGGTTACCGCGACCGCTTCTCACGCGACAACATTACAGGTAGCCTTCGTGGCCAGAAGCTCCGAGTGCAGTTCCTTGGTAACACGGGTGGCTGGAAGGGGAACTATTGCTCCGGCTTCACAGGCCAGCCTTGCGTGGACCAACGAGGCCATGGGCCTGTGAACCGCTTCTTCGACCTTGTCGTTGGTTCAGCAGGTGTCAAGTTGGAGCAGATCTCAGAGGTCCCTGGAGCCGTCCATGCACAGCTTGAGCGCATGGGCCAACGTTCCAAGTTTGACCTGTGCATTTGGGCCACAGGAATGGGATTTCTAGATGTTTGCGTGGCTTCTTTGGTGGTGTTGCCGAGACGAACCGACGCCTCTCCCTTTGTGATTCTGTGGTCGGAGCCGACCATCCTGGTGGGTCCGCTGGTGCAGGAGTCGAAGGAACCTACCTTCGGTGAGATGCTCAGCGCAGCTTTCCGGCCATTTAGCCCCAACCTTTGGCTAACATTGTTGGCCGTGGTCATATCCAGCTCCCTTATCATCACATACTTCGAGACCTCGCCAGATGGACAGTTCGCCTATCTGCGCAGCAAGAGGGAGAAGACGACAGAAGCACTGTACCGGGCCCTCTACAGCCTCTTCATGTGTGAGTCTCGCTTTGAACCTTGCACTTTGGGTGGCCGCATTGTGGGCCTGGGTCTTGCCTTCATGTGCATCCTCTTCGTCTGTGGCTACACAGCCACTTTAGCATCCTTCTTGGTTGAAGAGCGGCGACTTGTTCCAAATGTGGAGAGCTTGGGGGATGCCATCAGGCTGAATTATCGCATCTGCGCCCACCCCAGCCACATGACTACTTTGCAGGTCCAGGGAGTGCCCGAGGCCAGCATTGTAAGCATGAGTGTGCGCTCGGCAATTCTGCCCGCCATCGGCTCGGATGAGGACAGCATTTGCCAGGTCGCAGTGCTCTCGGAGGAGGACTTCGTCTCCGCGCAATCAGCCAATGGCGGTAGCTTCTGCAACCTGCAGCGTATCGGCGCGTCCGTGGGGAGCCACATGGTGGCCTGCCCTCATTCCTCAGATCTAAGCACAATCACAAGATACATGAACTGATTTGAACAGCAGTCTTTCGCATGTGCCCGGCAGAAGAGAGCTGTCAGGTGGGGCTCTCAGTCTCGGAGAAGTGGTCGCGACAGCTGGGCTACGCTGTCAGTACCGCTGCGGCCGACGGGCACGTAGAGCGAGCCATGAATGAGTATCGCCCGACGGAGCGTTGTCATGCATGTGCTTAGCCGCTCAGCCCATGTGTCCAAGCCACCATGTCGCCTATTACCCCTGCTTTCCTTTTGCGGCAATTTGCCGGCAGGACTACTGCACTGCCATCAACCAGGAGCTGCGAAACAATGCGGAGCCAGAAGCCTTGACGGTTCAAGGTATGCTGGGGCCCTTCTTGGTGACCATGCTTTTCACCATCTTTGGAGTTATTGCCCATGTGTCGCGCATGGCCCTCTTCAAGACCATCCAGGAAACCCGAAAAGTGAGCCGGCATGGTAACATCCGTGATGGCCTCAGGGAGGCTGCCTGGCAGAAAAATCGGCTTCGGAGCTCAGGGCCTCTGTGGGTTGTCGTGGAGCTGTCACTCAGGTTGCGGACGACATTCAAAAGGTAGCTTCTGAGATCATGCACCACAAGACCTCGGACCCATGCCTGCAACTTTGGGTCCGTATTCGTGATCTCGGGAATCATCGGGTCGATGAACAGCCCATGAAACATCACACGTGCACCTGCGGTCGAACTTTATTTCTAGCCAGAAACGGCAAGACCTGTTTAGAGTCGCAGATACATCTTAAGAAAGTTGGAATCCTGGTGAGGGTCTGAAAGAGAATCCGTATTCAGCCTGCTCCCATATAGTAAGTGCAAGGCTCGACCGCACACCCTCTTTCCCACAAGCAAGAACGAACGAGCTGCATCAAGCATGGAGATTTGCGCCATGCGGTGCTAGATCGAGTACGAAAGCTCATACATGCATGGCCCAAAATTTCACGCATCCAAGAGCAGCCGAACATGGCTGCGATCAAGCATTCTCGAAAGGCCTTTCTTGAATTAGGGCTATTGTTTGCACCTGGAGGGCCGCAGCCATCCTTTCGGACGACGCCACAGTATAAGATGTTGGCAAAGACTGGCTCCCCAAGTCCCCGCCCCAACCCACCGAAGGTCCAGCACCAGCTTCTTCCGTGTCTTATCCCTTGCGACTGTTTCGCACTCGGACCAGTGAATGGTCTTGTTCTCTTCATACCATCCTCCAATATGTAGTCCGGCCGGTGCTGCAAAGGAGAAACCAGGCGAAAATGGTGCGAAGTTAAGAAATCATACCTATAGTAGTCGCATGTTGAACAGTTTAGCGTCGTCTACCAGTCTGCGAATCGTGCTGTTGCAACTCGGACATCTCAGGATGCCGATCGAAAATATCGCAACGACAACCACGAAGAGTCCACGGCCAGTGGGGACGTGACGCCACAGACCACGCCGGCGTTGCAGCACGAGAGCAACTCGTCTGCAGTTGGAATGCCCCATATCTACATATGTATATACACATATATCGCTTTTTTTGAACGCCCTCAAGAGGTTGAGGGGTCGAGGGTTGAGATGCTTAGCTTTTTGCGCTGTCGAGGGGGTTATCAAATGTTGAAAGGAACGCCACTTGAATCTTGAGGGCCTCAGGTCAACCTTCTGAGTCATCAACCTTTCCCTTTTTCGTTCGCATTCTTCCGGGTCACGCAGCTACATCGGGAGCAACATCACGCAGCTGTAAAGTAGCATCATGGCATTGTAGCACCACGGCTGTGATGCCGTACTTGTACGATCGGCTGACCCCGAGGCAATGATGTGGCTCCAGAGTATGATCACGCCGTGAACATGTTGCTGCGCTCGCAGCAGTCTTTCCTTGAAGCGCAGAAAGCTGAGCAGAGCAGGTCCGGGGAAACTCAAACCTTGAAGAGTCTACCCCTATCTACCCTAAATCCGATAGGAAACCCTAAGAAATCTGCCCTCCCTGCACAATCTCGGCTTTGCACTCCCGTGAGGTCAGCAATGATTTTGGAGAGGTTGGAGAGTCTTGGTTGTCCAATGGGCACTCTTGGTTTAACAAAGCATGCTACCTCTACAACATAGCGCATGGAGACATAGTCTTCTAAATGTTTTCTGCGTGGTGCAATCGTACATGGTTTCTGGTTCCCACAAACCTGGACAAGTAAGGAGAATCGAGGAGTTCCTTCAATCTGATTCGCAGGGCTATGTGACAGTGAACACGTGAGAGCTTCCATGAGCTGGGAGCTGGCCGAAGGAAGCAATGGACTCTACGGAATGAATCTCCGTTTTTGTGTGCCGGCATTCGCTGAGCGATATCTGCTGTCCAGTATTTATGCCAGTGCCGAGATTGGCATGACCATCGCCATCTCGCCAATCAGAGTGTCATCCGCAGAAAAACGGTGAACCAGGCAGTCTTTAGTAATTTAGCGGCAGACTCAATGTCGAAGCATGAAGCCGTCCCTTGAAAGGTTCTCACCGACATCTAGCACCCAGGCGGCTGCGGGCGCCTCTACAATTTCGAGGGAACTTGTGGGAAGGATCTGATCGGGGGCAAGCAGTGCATGGGGCTCTAAATTAATTAGCGCCGCATTCACGCCAGATCGACATTTGCATGATGGATCATGCGGTCTATCTTGCACCGATGGATCATTGATCGCTCCTCCCTTCAGCAACTGCATGTCTTGACTGGCTAAGGCATGGCCGACAATGGCCGACGTTTTTTGATTACCTTGATGTAGAGGGCACACAACAACTGAGCCAGACTGAGTTCGTGGAGGGCTTCTCAATCTTTGCCTGATGGATGCACCCATCTCGGCACTCCAATGAGACGGCGACACTCAGGCGGGAAAGCAACCGGGAATTCTCTCAATGTTGTCAACAGAACAGCTCTAGGACTCTTGGACAAGCCTCATCCAGCCACAATTCCAGGAGCACACTGCTTCACGCACGCACGCCATGCAGAAGTTGAATCCGCCGGCAAGTGCATCACAAGCGGCGAAGCCCGTAGGCATGCGACAGTCCCAGACCCCCATATACGGCCTCCCACACAACTCTGCCATGGTTGCAGTTGCGGTTGCGTCATCAGGAGGTGGCTTGGAGGCTCAAAACACAGGGTGCCCCGACCGACACACTGCCTATGCAACCCCTCCTCAGGTAACGTGCTTGCGGGATGCCCTGCAGCGGTCGCAAGAAATCTGCCAGGCTAACGAATATTCAATAGATCTGTACTGCCAGCAGGTGGGCAGGCAGACCAGTTGCTCGAAGCTACTAGGGTGAGAGCAAGCTCGCTACCTACCAAACTTAGTCACACGCAGTCTACGCAGTCCAACAGCTTCCGACATAAGAACATAAAGGTCCGCCCGTAATGCTTCCTGCCAATCTGCTGAGCAATGGTGCGAACAGCAACCTCTACGTGGCTGGCCTGCCTCCAAGCACCAGCGAGGATACACTGCGGCAGCTGTTCAATAATTTCGGTGATGTTGCTTGGCTTTCAATGGCAGCTAGATTTGACGAAACGGCACTCCGTTTGAGTCGTGAAGAGCAGCAGCGGCAGCGGCAGCAACGATACCACCCGTTTGACTCAGGGGCCAAGAAGGCAGTGAAGCATTCGTTCACGACCTCCTAACATGCCCCTGTCGATAATCAGTAGGGCAAAAGCTGAAGGAAACACGAATTAGAGACCTTGAAGCCCCGAAATGCTCTGAGGCACAGGCAACAGCTTCGACAGCCTTAAAGACTTTGACCTTAGCTTCTTCCGTGCTCATTTAATTTAAGGTGGCTTCGGTGCGAACATTCTTCGGCAAGACGCCAACAGCTCCAAGCTATGGATTCGTGAAGTTCCGTTACGACGCCCAGGTAAGCTTGAAAGCTCAACTGTGATGCAATATGCTCACCGTGTGGTGGCGTCATGTCATTTGTGATGCCTCACAGGCTTTAGCAGCCATCGCCGCGATGAACGGGCGCGACTTCAACGGGCACACAATGACCGTCCGCCTCGCAAACAACGACACCACGGGACCACATCCCAGGCCCGCATGCCATCCCATGCTCATGCAGTGAAGCACTACTGTGGCGCAAGTCCGATCTCACAACATGGCAGTGTGTCTCGGGTGTGTTTGACAGGAACGCTGCACCACCCACGGCGCCGGCGATCGGAGGTACGAACCTGTATGTTTCAGGTCTTCCCCCTGCGCCTGGTCTGACATTCGGTTGGAGTGGGGGCTCTTGTGGTGCCTCAGAGAATGCACCAGCCGAGGACATGGATGAAAACGGCATGAAGGACATCTTCCGCAAATTCGGAAATGTCGTGTCGGTCAAGCTTGCCAGGGAGGCAACGGGGAGCACCAAAGGAGGTTCAACTGCGTGGAGCGTGTAACATGTGTCAAAAAGCCATGGGGGCTTCTCAGGCGCGGATATACAAGCAGTATGGCTTCGTGCATTACACCAGTCCTGATGAAGCGGAAGCTGCTATAAATGCCATGAACAACAGGATCATTGTTGCTTCGATGCATTGGGTAGAAAGCTTTGAATAGCTGCGAATAGCTTGGACACGGAAGGAAGATCCACAACCGTGGCCGCTGAGGATAGAGATTATCAGCTCACAGTCAAGTACGCGAACAGCTCTGAACGGGCTTGGCAAGCGAGAGTTGCTTGGCTGAAAGCTCGACTGCCGGAAGAGCGAAAACCCTGAAAAGAAAACACCCAGTTTGCGTGGATTCTTTCTTTCGGCGAAGGGGAACCAAATTGGAGTCAGGGTCGACAGCTTCCCAGGAACAGGCAATGGCTCCAGCAGCAGCGGTAGTCGCCGTGGCGCAAGCCCTGGCAGCCGCCGCCGCCGCGGCGGCGCCGGCGCCGGCGGCACCACATTCTCCCGGTGCCTTGAACTGCCCTACGTCGAAGTCTCGCTTTGGGCTCAGGGATTATGATGGAATGGGGCCTGGGCTTCTGGTATTTGCGTGGCATTTGGCTTATCCCAATGGCTACCAGCCTGCAGCCTCCAGAGCATCCGAAAGCCGTAGTAGCATGAGAGTCGCATGATGAAATGAAGCCTTGACCCTTGATACTTCATTGATCTACTGGGCTGGCTAAGCTGACAAGCTGATGAGACCAGCTGTCAAAAGTCAGCAGTGCCATGTTTGTTGATGCGCCTGTGCTTCTTGAAGTGTTGTGCACGGCTTATGCGCTGATTGCTGCCCTATGTTCAACCACTTGAGAATACAAAGATATGTGCTCCCATCTGTACTGACTGTGTCGCTGTGTGATTCTGTGTAACCAGTCCCAAACCGTGTGAGATCAGTTGCAGGCGAAGATGCGCGGCCTGGGGTCACCTTGCATGTCACGGGACTACCACAAGGCATGGCCCCGTGCAGTCTAGATTGAAGAACCCCTTTAGTTCATGACAAATTCAAAATCCTCTTTCAGGCACTTCCAAGGAACAGCTGGAAACGTTCTTTGCAGCTTTCGGCCAGGCACGATGGCATCAACTTGCAGCTTGTCAAGCTACAGTATTCGTTGACGCATGCAATGGCAAATGGTTATAGGTAAGGGGCACACATATAAACAGCAGCAAGTAAGCTGTGGTCGCCTGTTTTGCAGGTTTCAGCGAAACTCCTGGATGACGGCATGGCCAGCGGCAAAGCCGTTGCCGCTTAGCTTCACGTGGCATTTCATCCCTCGATCGGTCCGTCATGTGAGCAGGCTCAGTTCTTGGGGTGTTACCATGTGCTACTGCTTAGGCCCTTCTGCGGCTGTCGTCTAGGGACGAGGCTGACAGACTGGTCATGGAGTACAATGGCAAGGTGCTACCAGGCCGACAGTTGTTCCACCTCCACTGACCACGGTATTCTTTACCGGACGTACAGGGCCTTGACACGAACTGGGCCCCAAGGTGGCTACTACATGCACCCTCAGGCTGAAGTATCTACTCGCGACGTCATGAATTGTAAGATGATAACATTCGTGGAAACATATATGCAATTCCTGTATAGATACGCATGTGTCTATTTTTAAATGTCGATATGTATAGATGAGAGAGAGAGAAAGAGAGAGAGAGAGAGAGATATATATATATATATATACATATATTTATGCCACGGGCGCATGGACCCTGCAAGTCCGGTGGCCGCAGAGGACTGGACGCACCGCTCGCCGTTCGCCTTGCAGAGGGCCGGGAGGCGCCTCCGCCGCGGAGCGCGGAGCGCTACGAGCCATACAAGGCACAAGCCAGGGCTTGTAGGGCTTCTGAGGTTTATGATGGGTTTAATTGTCGGAATTCTCGTAGTGTATGGCTTCCGAACAAGACCGCACCGGGCTTGCTGGAATTAGGCCCATTAGGCTCCCGGGCTTGTTGAGGCCTATGCAGAATCTGGTGGGCAGCCGGCTGCCGGAAGCCAGCCTGGCAGCTCCGCTCCCCTCCCGCGGGAGATGCGCTACCCCAGCCCTGCGAGCATCCTGTTTGCAGCTGCAGAAAAAGAGGTGTCGTGTTAAGTCGCGATGTCCGGAAGCTTCCTAAGCATGCTTCGCATGCCGGTTGCTTGTCACTGCTTTGCTATAAGGCTCTGAGTTCATGGTGGCTGTGAGTGAGACAGCCCCTTGCCAGCAAACAACTGTAATTAACGTTGACATGCGATTGATAACCCCCCTCCCCAGCCCATTGATTCCATCCCCCCCTTGTCCTTTCTTGAGGGGTCGGCTTCTCCCTTTTGAATTGGGGGGGGGGGGGAGGGGGGGGGGGGGGGCGGTGTAAATCTGAAGTAATCTGAAGTCGACATCAAGTGAGCGCATTCTTGGATGTACGAAAGCAAAGAGCAGAGCAGATGCCTTTCTCAGAGGTTCCAGGTTCCAGGGACTCGAAGTCATCGGTGGAATTGTTTTCCAGGAGCTGTTTCTGTTGCTGTGCAAAAAGTCGCATGGCGGTAGCAACTCAGGTGTCTCGAGTGAAGGGCTTCAGGCCCGTCCTGGCGCACACGATGGATCCCACGAACCTCTACATCAAAGGCTTGCCCAACAATGCGGATGAGCTTCTTAGTCCAAGAGCGCTCCATATGTCCCACTGCCACCCTCTTAGAGGATTCTAAATTTCCCAGCCGAGGCTGTACCTGTACTCCATCTTCTCACCTTTTGGAGCCATCCAGAGTGTTCGGCTCCTGAGGGATGGCGCAGGGGCCTGCACTGGCGCCGCACTGCTGAAGTTTGGCATCACGGAGGATGCCGACTTGGCAATACGAACCATTTCGGGCAACAAGTTGCCAGACGGCGTGGTGCTGGATGTGTCCGTGAAGACAGTACGTTCTTAGTTGAGCTTCTGGCAGAGCCGACCGGCCCCCCTCCCCCCCAAAAAACAACTGGGCCAAAAGACAGGAAGTGGGCGAAGAAGGTGCAACAAAGACCGTGCACTTGGGCCATGCAGAGAGCCATCGCACCATGCCATGGCACGTGAGACATCCCTTTTCTTGCCATCTTAAGAAGCGTCCCTTTCCCCATGCAGCCCATGCATCTCCCTTTTCGGCTTCAGAGCTCAGCTGAGCCAAGCTGATGCCTTTGTGTTGTGGGATAGCACAACCAACGAATCAACGAAGCAGCGGGTGCCGTTGCCTCAGAACGCCATGCGAATCCATGTGCAGAGCTTCGGAAGGTTCAGCTTGAAGACTCAGTGTGAAGATTCAGCAGATTCAGTGATTGATAAGTCTAAGGCCCCTCGAGCCCTTGAAGGGGCCGGCCCCCGATGAAGGCCGCACAAAGAGAGAAAGGAGAGGTGCATGTCTCTCTTGGCCTTTGCAAGCCGCCGAAAGTCCACATGTGGCTTTTAACACATTTCTTGATTTTGATGCTTCTTGCTACGTGCAGGTTATTTGGTTGGCGCTGTGCCTTCCAAGTGCCTTTGTCACAGCGGCCAAGTTGCCGCGGAGGCGTTGATGTCTTCGGGACTCCCCATATCGGAGCATGTCTAACCCCGAATTCCCCGAGGACCAGCGGCCCCAGTCTCCAGCACGACCTGGTCAAGGAGCTTGGGTTATAAGAGGTCCATTCTGCGTTGCCTCCTGAACTGAAACTTGGGGGGGGGAGGGAGCAGGTAGATCCACATTGCAGGCCCGCCCCCCGGCGCAGAAGTTGGATCACAGCCATTAATCATTAATCCTCACAATCCCCTGACCCCAGGAGGCTGCCGCCTTGGCACGGCTGGCCTCCCGAAGAGCTCAGAAGGCCCCGAAGTCGCACCCCGGTCAGCAAGAGACTTGATTGCGGTGCCTTCAAATCAGGGCCCTCAGGCGGCCCTCATATGCGGATATGTTGGGATCCGAGAGTCATGGACATGCCATAAATTTTAAAGTTCACGCAATGTTGCAAGCAGGCGGAGGAGGCAACATGAAATCTTCGTTGGCGCGAAGGGAGCTCCGTTCGAGCAAGCAAGCACAAAGTCAACCAACGACACCTTGGCAAATCAGCCGCGCACCCACACAACACAACATGTAAAGACCCCCGCCCCCTTAAACATGTAGGATGGGGGAGGGGGCGCAGAATTGTAAAACGCTTTTCCTTACAATTGTCATATAACTGGCGTCCGAGGAGTGCCGCACATCACGGGGGCCCCAAGTTGTAAATTACGATTTCAGCATCCCTCCCCCCCCCCCCCCTCTAAGGGGTTGGGGGTATGTACAGCGCATGGGGTCCGACAGGCCCGACAGCTCATCCCAACCGACAACCGAGCGAAACGCGCGCAAGGAATGACTTGGCTTCAGCACCCAAACAGAGCACAGGTTGCCTCATTCGGCGCGAATCATCTGCAATGTTCTGTAAACCGCCGGACACGGCATCTTGGGCTGGGTTGCTTGGAGGTCTGCCAAGGTAGCGGCGAACTACAGCGAAGTTAAATTGTAGCAGCCCCCGAACGAAAAAGAGTGGGCGCGTGCATTTCGCAGCTAAGGCACAAAGCCGGAACATCTTGTCCAGACAATCAGTTTCCGCCAGTTAACATCACTGTTCAGGGAGTTGCTCCGCATCTGCACCTAGTTCAACGAGTGGGTATCCTTTTTTTAATGCCCTGTATCATGAATGGCATTGCTCAGGGCTACCTGGAAGATGTCCTATCTGCAGACCTCTTGGCGCAATTGCAGACGAATCTAGCTGGCCATCCCGAGCTTTGGCTTGACGTCGGGGGGGTTTCAGCGCCGGTGTCCATCAGGTTTGCGAAGCCCCATGCTTCCAGAAACCCCGCACAACCTGCTCACTTGACTAGGAGGTGAGCATCATTCATGAGCATCATCTGGGCAGACTGCGGCTCATGCCCCGACTGGTCGTTCGCATTTGACGCGGCGGGGAGGTGAGCATCCCATGAGTTTCTTCTGGGTGGATTGAGTGGCCTCAGACTCTGCAAAAACCGATCCAGCAATTATGGCATATGACGATTGGGAGGTGGCATCAACTGGGTACATGTCACATGGCCCCCCCTGCAATCTCCAAATGCTGTGAAACCAGATGCTATCTCACATAATAAGTTTTTCCCACTCTTGCAAGACCCCAAGAAATGTCAGTGACTGTGAAGCTGAATATAGGCAAGGTGGTGTTAATTTAGAGTGGGAGTGCCGCACATGGCAGCACCACCCGAGGTGATCCGCACTCTGGCGCATGCCATTTTTCGGGGAAAGTGTGTTTTTGCCCAGGCAAACGAAATTTTTGAATTTCCTTGGCTGCTTGGAGCAGCCAATGTCGCGCAGGAAACGAAGTTTTTGCACGGTAGCAAATTCAGAAGGCTTTGCAGGAATTGCCATCCTTGGAGCAACTGCATCTGCGTGTTGAACGCCGGAATCGAGTAGTAGTGAGTAGAGTACTGCTTGAAAGGAAGATGTTCGAGACTAGTGCCAAAGAACAATGGACAGTGAGTAGCTAAAGTGGGAATTGCTTTCTGGCGAATCGTCCTTGTCAGGACTGGGAGATTGGCAAACCATGGACGTTGAGCATGGTGGCCGATTCTGTCGAACGCCAGATGGACCGGAAGTTCGGCTTTGCCGGCGGAGAAGGTTTCAATGCCGCCTTGCCCGCATGGCCTCTCTTTCGAGCTAGGGTTTTTGCCGTTTTGCCCAGACTTTCCTTGCACCATATACTTTGATTTCTTGCTATGCGGCTCCTGCGAGCGGCCTCTCGCAGCCAGGTCTTCACTGTGAAGAAAGCACAAGTGGGCCAGCTGATCACAGTCACCGACAAGGTCAAGACTCTAGCTGCGAACACTCGACTAGAATATCGTGGGCACGACCCCATCACACTGGAGGATGCCATCCATCTCACAAATATCTGCTTGAGCGGCCCGGCGGCATGTAGAATGCAGCCTCTCTAGACTAGCACAGGCCTCATAGCTGATCGCATCACTCTGCTAAGCCCAGGGCCAATGACCTGCGATGCTTTCTTCGAGCAGCACAAGACAGAATGCTTGGATGACGACCTCTGGAAGCGGCGCAAAAACCCCGAGGAGGTCACGGGGCACACCAGGCCCTCCCTGTCAAAAGCAGCGAAGAAGCAGACCACCTCAAAAAGCAAGCAGAGCAATATGGCCCATATGAGTGGCCTGAAGGCTTTTACGTGCGACTCAGGGCATCTCAGCACGACAAGGCAGCAGCAGAGCATAGCAGAGTGGTCCTGCCCAGGAGCATGTGCTGCGAGCGCATGAAGTGCAAGGAAGAGGCACCATGCTCACCGCCGACGATGTACACCAAAAGGCTCTGAGATGGTGGAGCGTCGTGCCCCATCGTGCTTTGAGGGATTGCGTTGGGCATTGGAATTTCTCGTGCGTCTGCGAGGCCAGACTACGACACCGCCTTTGGAAGCAAGCTGCTGGGCCACGATCGGGCACATGTTTTGGGAGCTAGTATGTTTGGTGATTGGGTGGTAATGATTAAGTTTAGGCGGGTCATCGCGGTGGCTGAGTCATCTTGGCCCGGCCTGCCCGTGCCTGCGAGGCCTGACCAGTGCTGCGTCCCGAAAGCGTGTTCCGAAGACCTGTGCAAATCCAGCCTTTGGGTGGCGAAGCCGGGCAACGTCTTGGGCAGCACCAAAGATGAGTGTTGTGTCCCGCTGGATTGCGACGACTACAAGTGCTCCGCTAAGTACGTGAAGAAGCAGAAAAGGCGGGGGGCAGGTATACTGTAGGTTTAGAACGGTGTGGTGGGGTTTGACAAGGTCATGGGGCCCATGGGGTTTACGATTCCCAGAGGCGTGGCCAGGATGGCTCCCCACTCCTCATGCAGGGGAGCACTGATTCCGAATGCTGCGAGCCCATCTCATGAGACTTGGCGCGAGCTCGGCTGGTTTTGTAACTTCTGTACACAGGCAAATAGAGAGTGCCTCGATTGGTGCCTGCTGGGAACCCGAGGCAAGCACATCAACTGCGAGGCCACGGATGAGTGGAAGACGAACGAGAGCGCCACTGTTGGCGCAAGCCTGGAGGACACGGGGATGTGGTTGAAACCGTTGCAAAGAGGGGTTCTGGGAATCGGATTTCCATGATTTCCTCAGCCCCAGGCAAAAAAAGAATCAATTGAATCCACTGCACCCTTGCTGAAGGACTGCTGCATTCCTCAATTCTGCAAGCACCACAGCTGCGAGCCCGTCACAAAATGGGAGCCGAAGCCCAAAGCAATCCTTGGCAGCAGCAGCTGTGTGGCAGGGAGAGAGGGGCACGCGTGCAGAGTACTAGCATTGACAAGTGGGCCGCTTGAGATCGGGCTCACCCTTAGCGGCTTGAAGGTTGCAGGCAAGTGCAACCAAGGGGTGCGTAGATCCTGGACGAAGCACGGCCTCTCAGGTAATCCAAGCTGCTGCACGCCCAAGCTATGCAGGGACTTCGATTGCGACAGCGGCTTCCAGCTTCGGAGCCTCGTGATGAAACAGAAGGATCCTGGAAACCCCCCAGTGTAGCAGTGTAGCATCCTGTGGGTCCCCAATGCATTCCCTGTCCGCCCCAAAAGCACGGTCACTTGGCACACATCGAGTCACATTCCTCTTTTTGTTTGAAAAGAGCTTCGTTTCCGTGACCCATAAGACAAGTTCACAGTCTCAGAATCATCTGACTCCCCAGGGCTGGTGCAGTGATCGGTGGAAAGGGCCTCCTGGGCAGCACTCACAACGAATGCTGCGAGAAGAAGTCCTGCCACGACTGGAAGTGTGCCTTTTCCAGCATCTGGGGATCTTTCCTCGCAACGGGCTTCTGAACAGATGCAACCGTGCAACCTTTTTTGTTCTGTACGGCTCTTTTTTTGCGCTGCCCGCCGGTTGCCTTTGGTGGCGTGTGTGGCCCAACCCAGTGAAGGCTGCCACCGATACCGTAGCGCCCTAGACAGTGCAAAGGACACCCATGAACATGCCCAGACCCGTATGAGGCTTACATAGCAGATTGGTTTTTATTGGCCACCGCCCTACAAGCCCAGGATGCAAGAATAATAAGGTAGTGGGAGCTGGGAGGGCCATGCAAAGTTCAAAACGCCGGCCTCAGCTTTGGAAGCGTTGTCTGGCTTTGGAAGCCGGGAATTCTAATGCCGAGCACAGAGTGCCAACGCCCAATTTGCTTCTTTAAGGCCCTGCCCCAGAAACAGGCTCATCGCCACTCGGGGTGATATTTCTACAGCTGAGGCAGCGATCCAAGCAAGTGGGTGCAGCAGGCCGATGAGGGCAGCCGGGGCGTGGAACGCCACGGCTGGAGCGACGAGGACATGCAGCGCTGCCGTGTAGTGCATATCTTGTGTTTGCCACTGACTTAGGGCATTCGCAGCATCAGCACAACTATAGGAGTGCTGCACACCCCTCATGTGCAGCAGCATTGACTGCGTGCCGGAATCGCTTTGGCAGCCCAGTGCCTCGATTGCGGTCAGCCTTTTTGTGCAGTCGTGCACGTGTATGTGCGTGTGTACGTGTATGTGTATGTGTATGTGTGTATGTGTGTGTGTGTATGTGGGTCTGTGTGTCTGTGTGTGTATGGCTTGTGTTTGCGCCGTGTTTGCCATCCGAGAATCTGCGGAAGAACTGGAGGGCCTGCTGGGCAGCACGAGCAAGCAGACGCACGGCTGAATGCTGTCACGGCAAAGAACCGCGAGATTAGCGCAGAGCTGAACATGCCTGAAGCGAAGGTGCTGCAACCCCAAGTGGTGCAAGGACTACACCTGCACAGGAGACATTCCTGAACAGACACCCGGCTTGGCACAACGACTCGGGAACACGTCCGCTTAGCTCACTCCACCTGCGTCGCTGAGGAATGTTACCAGCACCAAGTGGTACAAGAAAGTTGATACCAATCACTTTCAGTTCCGGGGAAGCACGGACGAGGAGTGCTGCCATCCGAAGTACTGCAGCGAGCTGCTCGGCTGCAAGATGCACAGCGCTGCTTAGGCTCAGCATTCAGACCAGCCAACTTGCGATGCAGGTACACAACGCAATTCCCGAGCAAGTTCCGCAGGAAGCCTGAAGACCAGGAGAAGCCCAGGTCTTTGGCTTGCATGGCCACGGCTTTTGGTGAGCAGCAAACGTGCCTGATGTCCCAGAGAAATTTAGTGAAATTTACTAATTTGCAGGCTTGGGAGCACCGAAGCCGAGTGTTACGATGAGCTCAAGTGCAGTGACTACTGCTGCAAGGGCAAAGACGTGCAGTTGAAGGCGCGAAGTTGGCTGCCGGCGAAGTGTGCAGTGCAAACGCTGTCCCGCACAGGAAGACGCAGCACAGCTCCTGGGAAGCACAGACGTGGAATGCTGTGAGAAGCCAAATTAGATTCTTAGATCTTGCCTTGGATCTTGTCTCCAGATCTGGGGCTCGGTCTCGTCCTATAGACTCTAGGTCAAGGACTGGGCCCGAAGTGTCACCGCGTACGGCGCCAGATCATCTACAGCTGCGCCGCGCCAAAAAGCGTTGCGCGGATGATGAGGTTCGTGAGTTCTCTTTTCTGGCTTCGCCTTATTGCCAGACAATGCCACAAGATGCCACTTAAGAACGTGGCAGCTCCATGTGAGACAACCTACAGACATGCTTTCTCGAGTTGCAGGTTCCAGGCTCTCTCATTGGAAGAGAGCCAGCGGAGAGCATAGTGCCGTAGATGTCGATGGAGTGAGTTGGCCAAGCCTGCCGGAGTCACGGAACATGCCACGACGATTAAGGGGCACGACGCCAACAGCGTTGTGCCTTGCGACTTGTCAGAAGCCCCCAGGTTCTCTCCTTGGGTTTGGGAGTGTGAGGGCCGGAGAACACAAAACAGGGGCCGTCTCAGAATCTGGACACGTTAACTACTATGGACCCACGCCCTCGGCAACGGCTGAGCGTTGCCTGTCAGGTCCTTGCGACAATAAAAGCAGAATTCACCAGCGCGTGGCGCCTGCACCACTGAAGTCACGTTACCGAGGCTGCTTTTTTCTACATTTGCGTCGCACGCCTGTCCGGCTGGATTTGGCAGTTGGCAAGCAATGACCTCAGCGACCCATCTACGGATGCCTTCTCGCTGATGTTTCCCAAGTCGTATCGTGGCATCCCTATCTCGACTGGCACTCGAACCACGATGCTCAGTTGGAGCATGATCTGGCATGACCCTCGGCAGAGGACAAAGAGAGCAAGCGTGGGTTCTACATGCAATGTGTTAAAGCGACGGCGACCAAGGACTGCTCCATCATGATGATCTTTGCAACCGTCGGATATGCCGCACCTCGGCTTCAGTTCACGTCAGCACACCGGGCAGAGGCTCTTCCAAACTTTCCCAGGTGTCCTACTCACAGCAGCGATGGCTTTGCGTTCCGCATGTGGTCGAGGACACCAGCCCAGCATACATGCCGAAGCGACATGCGACACACAATCTAGCCCCTTGCAACATGGCCTTCTGCACATGGGTCCCATTGTACACCAAGGAGCATGTGCCAAATCCCCCTAGCCCCCAGAGCGGAGCATTGCTGGCAGCTGGGCACCTGGGCTTTGTCATCAAACTTCGGGGGGCTCTGAAAGCGCTGCTTGCGGGTTCAGCAGGGATCGGACAAAGCATCGTGGACGGAGTTCGCTAAATAGCTGTTGAAACTTTAAAGCCATGATCAGGCTCTATGGTGCAAACATCGCCTACAATGTGATCAACAAGCGACTGCTCCTTGCACATCCGCATCCCCTCCTCGAGCCTTGGATCCCGAATTGGCAAAAGGGTAGACCTTTGCACGTTTGCTCTGTTGGACTCTGTTGTTCCGGAATGTTCCGGGCGTTCGAGATCACTGGCGTCAACTTGGCCTCATCGTCTGTTTGCGCCATCCTGTGCTGGGTCTGCGGGCTGATACGTTGGCCTGGGCGGATGAGTCTCGACTTCTACTTGTGCCTCAGCTGCTCTTGAGTTTGCGGCCGCAGTTGGCCTCAGTTCCCTGGCGCTTGCAGAGGAAACGAGTGTACAGTTAGATTGAGGATGGCACAGCAACAGAGAGCGAGAGAGAGAGAGAGAGAGACAGAGGGGGGGCCTCTTCGCTGGGCAGAAGAAGAGAAGGAGGGAGGGAGGGAGGGAGGGTTTTTTCAACCACCATTGCACAGCTCAGGCGCTTGTTTGGGCTCGCCATTTTCCATTGGGGAGGGATGCTCTTTTCCAACGTATCGGTCTCCGAAGTCCACATCTCCTTTACTCACACAGTGAAGGCCTTGTTCTGCCTTTTGTTTCTGGCCTCAGGGGCTCACAGTTGGCCAGGGATAATTGCTTGCACAGGCAAGCACAGGCACGCAACCTGTTGTGAGCTTCGCCTCCGGTCAGGGGGACGCGCATGTGCAAATGGCGCGGTTATTTTGTTGATGGGACTGCTTGTGAGACAGACTAGATGGGAAGTGCATGATCTGTTTCGGATCAAAACAAAGATGCATCAGCCTAAGGCTGAAGCCCAACTGGCGCATGCGTAACTTGCATCAGATAGATCTTGGTCAGGGGCTGCAGCACAGGGCCACATGGAGATTTGCGTTGGCTGTCCTGTTTTTTTTGCGGTTACCAAAATGTCAGCAGCATCAGCTTTTGGACATGGAGATCATCTTCCAGATCGACAGGGTGACGAAAATGAGATGCAGGCAGTTTGATTCAAGTCGGCGAGCCGACTTAATTTTACACTTCGATGTCTTGAAACCTCGACATCACGCAGGTATCTCTGCACATCATGAACACGAACCGACCGATTGAGTAGCGACGACTGTTATGAAAGGGAATGCGATAGAATTTGATAGCAGCTGCCGGCGGGACGGTGCTCCCCATATTCCTTTATAGGGAACGCACCTGCTTCTGAGGATGGCGCTAAGGCGTAAGGGAGGCGCAAAACCAAACCCCACTGGAAATGCATCATCTCACTCCGAGAGAAGCAACAGCCTGTCCATGCGGGCTGGGGTCGCGCCCCTACGCTGAGTCCAGCCGCGCTCAGCGTTCCGTGTCCGCGCCGTGTAAGTTTACGAGCGTGCATGTGCATGCACACATTGACATGCGCAACACATTTCAACGTGTTCCTTCCTTTATATATATATATATATGTATATGTATATGTACATACTACACATAGTGTTCTCATTTCACATCAGACTCTGAAGCTTCTGTTCGACTTCCGACTCCAGAGAGTTATAGGGACAGCTTGCAGGCCGCCGAGCCATTCTTCACCGCTCTTTTCACGGCCCTGCTCATAGGGACGTGGCCCTCGCTCCGCTCCCCTGCAGAATCAGAAGAAGTTTGACTTCGGGTTCTGATGGTTTGTTGCAGCGAAGGGGGCATCATGTTCGGTTGCCGGCTTCCGGGCTTGGTGATGATTCGTGGTCGAGGGCACAGCACAACCTGGAAAACAGTTTTGGCCTGGCCTAAGCAAGCACAGGTGCGTGGGCATCTCTTTTGCTGGTCATTGCTGGTATCGTTGTGGCTTCGACGGCGGAGATTTCGCAGCCCGGCATGACACCAGATCTAGGCTTTTTGAGGCCTGCGCTTGGAGAGACGTGTTGGAAGATCCCAGGTTCACCTGGACAGGTTTCTGGGCAGCTATGGTCTCAAACTTCTGCGTCTCGCTCAGGCTACTCTTCTGCAAGTCTTGGCAGGCAAATTAGCAGCCATCAGCAGCCATTAGCACCACTTAGCACCCGCTTGTGCCAGGACTGTGCTGACCAAAAAGAGCATGGACAATCACATCATGGATCCGCTGAACTTCATGGCGCACCTTCAGCTGTCTGCCTGCCTAGCCGCCGAGCTGCAATGAATTGTCCTTGCACTTGGGCCTCTCGCGAGGCCTCCTGCGACTCTCGACTGTATGCACTGCATGCACTGTATGCACATGGCGAAGATACAGTGAAGCATTTAGCCGAGCATTCCAAGCCAAGCAGCCTCCAAAGCGAATCTGCGCCGTGCCACATGCCACATGTTGCAGGTTTCCCTGCCAGCTGCTTTGCTCTTCAACGTGCGGCCTTGTCCGCATTCTTGGGGGAATTGGGCAGAGTTGGGGCGAAGCGCGGCGAGCTTTGTAGAGCCTCTGAGTCCGAGGCACGCAGTGCGCGAGCTCGCCGAAGATACCATGGCTTGGCCACTTGCGGCCACGATCGGGCCATTAGCGACCTGGCCTTGAGCAAGTGTCATTACGGTTAGGGCCTTACTTAGGGTTCAGGGTTCAGGGTTTAAAGGGTTTATAGGGGCTTTATAGGGTTTAGGGCCGAAACAGCTGCGATTCCTGGACACCTGGAGGGATTTTGCGGAGCTTTTGGAGAGTCGGGGCAGAGGTCTGGATTTTCAACGTGGCTTCCATCATCATCCTGGTCCACACGTCCACAGTGGTGCACTCGATGGCCCGGTCCTCGGACGTTCCAGGGTTGACTGTTATTCTCTAGATCTATACAGTCCTTGTACAAGAGGCACAGATATTCTGCCAGGTGGCATGTGCCATAGTTTTAGCAGCCCTCGTGGAGAGTACTCGCTGGTGACATTCTACCATGCAGTTGGCTGTGGATGTCCCATGGATGGAGTCAATGAGATGTGCTGAGAGGTTCGGTCCATGCGAAGACCGCTCCTGGTACTAGCATCGATCATCACGCACCCTGGCACTTGCAAATATGTGCAATGATTATCTTTTCGTTCCTCTTCGTTCCTCCTCTTCCCCCTTCTTGTTTTCTTGCTCCGACACCGAGAGTGCGCTGGCCCAGTCTCTTTCGTATTCTGTCTCTCTCTCTCTCGCTCCCTCTCCCTCTCTCGCCCTGCATAGGTTTGGGACGAGAATAACTCCCTTGAATGCGTTTGGGATCTTGATTACGCTGCTGGGCGCGCTATGGTATCGCTTCGAGATCGACTTGGGCAACCGAAAGGTCACTTCGGCTCCCCAAGTTCTAGGCGCCGGCGTTGCCAACCGTAAGCCTTATAAACCCTACACGATGACATGTATGACTCCATTGCTCTCCACAGCCCCCGCCGGCGAGACCGATGTATTGTCAGGCCCCCAAGGAAGCCTTGGCTCTGCCATCTGACTACTGAAGTGCTGAGCATCCCTAAGATGGGGATGCTCTCTCTTTCCAGTTTCTGGACAGTTGTCAGGTGACCGAAATTCACCCCTAAACAGCCCCATCATGCCCATCCCGCAGAATCCTACCAAAACTCGTCAGCCTGACGCTAGCCTCACGGCGTTGGGGACTTGCCTTCGTGCCTTTGAGGAGTCAGCCAAAAAGCTCTGCGGCAGGATTTCTGCGGTTGTGCGGTTGTGCGACACTGGATTTCTGCAAGAGAGCGGTTGCCTGAGCCATCTGGCTTTGAGCCTCAAATACATGCGCCTTGCTGAAGCCTTCTGTTCACGAACAGCTATGAATCTGACGTCTGCCAACCGCAATGCAGACTTGGAGCATCTTCGAGCCGCCAAGAGGAGATATTGTTTGGAGCCTTTGTACACGCCTTTGTATAATTTTGTATACCTTTGGGCATCTGGGGCCCTGAGCCATGCGAGAATTCCGGCGCCTTGCTGTTCTTAGCCTGCTGGGCCGCCTTCTCAAAACGGTGGAAGCCCTCACTCACGGAGCCCCTTGCCTACTGACCTGCTGCTATAGGGCGAAGCCTTGCTTGCAATAGCTTTCCATGGCTTCGGGCCAACAGTCCAGGGTACGTAACTTCAGGATGAAGGTGATATTAGGATGGTTAGGTCGCGGGATGTTGGAAGGGTTGGAAGGTGAGCCCTGCAGAAGTGGCGAGATACCACGGGGACACCTTCGCGTGCGAGGAGGGGCGACTCGCGCTGCACTGAAGCTAGACTTTCTTTCAGCGGCCCAATGGAGCGAGATCAGTGTTCAACCAGGCCATGGATTAGAAAAAGCTTGAAGTAATTCTGAAGCTTGTTCATCCAAATCCCCTTTGGGGGCGTGCTAGAATCGCGAAGAGCTGCATGTTAAGCAACTCGCAGCAACTCGGTGACAGCATCAGCGGGCCAAGGCTACAGGCGCTTGCTCAAAGACCCGTCTCTGTTTGTCTGAATAAATGGCGGAAGGTCAACATGGATTAATCCCTTCCTGCAAATACTTAATCCCTCCCTAATTAATTTTTTTATTGCTTTTCCCGGACTCTCCCGGCACCCAGCCCAATACTAAACCTGTTTGAGAATGAGGGGGGGGGTGGGGGGGGTTGAGGGCCTCCGCCCTTGAGTTGAGCCATATAGGGTTTCAGGGTTTAGGGCTCAGAGGATTTTCAGGGTTTAGGGCTCAAGGTTTTAGGGCTTGAGGCTAAACCCGAAGTGAAGCCGGGACAATAATTTTAAGATTTTAGGGGTCTGATTTTCAATATCTTTCCGGCCGAGGCGAATTTCAGATTTACGGGGGAGGGGGGGTGGGTTTTAGTATTGGGGGGGGGGGGAAGGGATTAGAAAGGAATATCATCGACGGCTTACCAAACTTGGAATCAGGAGGCATGATCACGTGTGGCGAAGAAGGATGCTCAAAAGTTCTGCGCCGCTAAAGAGCAGGTCCACTAAGCTCCCCGCCGCAGCCGTGAACGACGACTTCTGCGACTGTGAGGACACCCGTGCCTTAAATACTAACAGCACAAGCCCTAAAATGATTTCTGCTGCGAGTCTTCTGAGCCTCGCGAGCTCGCGAGGACGGCAGCGATGAACCTGGGACCGCTGCCTGCGCTGGCTGGCCAGGTACTGATGACAGGCCATTGGGGTGGGTCTTTTAGAGATGGCAGATGATGGCAGATGATACCGTGGAGTTGCGGCTACTCTATAACACTGTAGAAGTGTTCGCTCCCAAGCAGGTGGTTCTACTGCCCGAATGCGGCCGGAACTCCGAGATATGTATATAGGTCACGATGCTCGGCTGCATCTGACTGCGTCCGTAGTCTCGGAGAGCTGATGGGCGCGCTCAACGTCCTGGTGGCTTATAAGGCCAAGGGCCTCTGATGAAAAAACATATCCTTGCCGTTTAGTTGGTTTGTTTGTGGCGCCTTTGGGAACATAGGCTTCCTAAGCCTGTGAGCCAGTCGAGCTTGCAGTATCGCCAGTGCGAAGCACAGAGGTGCTTGACACATCTTGACACCAAGTCCTGAGGGAGGGTGCATGGCGTGGGGGGGAAGCCGGGGGCAAAAGCTTTGTGAGGGAGAAGACTATTGTTGTTATCTCTGCTGTTACCTTAGAATCATCTACAGCTCTCAGGAGTGGGCGATGGAGTTTGTGACTGCTGCGATGGCTCAGACGAGTGGCAGCGGCCTGGACTCTGCCCCTTGAGCTGATCTGGGATACAAGGAAGAGGTGTCAGCCCATTGGGGGGGTGAGTGCCTTGAGGTTCCGACACCTGCGAGGAGCAGGGCCGCGCCAGAAAGGCAGCGTCATAGCTTTGGTGCGGCTCACTCCTTGAGATGTTTTTTTGGGGGGGGCTTTCGAGGCGTCGGGGGTCCTTTTTGCAGTTTCCCGAAAGATGCGTTTGCGAAAGGCTCGCATGGAGCAGCGCCGTGCCGAGATGGAGCGCGGAATCCAGCGCCGCCAGGCGGCCTTGGCCAACTCAGAGGCCGAGGCCAGCCGGGCTTTTGGGCTATGATATACACACGCACACACACACACACACATATATATATATATATATATATATATATATCTGTGTATGTGTGCGTATGCACACATACATACATATATTTTTGTTTTATTTTTCTATTCATGTATTTTGTATACTTTGTTTTGATTAGTATTAGCATTATTCCCTTTCTTGTTTGGCGGGGGGGGGGGGGGGGGGGCCTGTGGCGATGATCTTCATCTATCGTGCTTATCAGTAACTGTATTTCTGTGCGCCTTGCCTTTATGTTCATGTTTCTCATTGGCTCACTGTGTTCAGAGCACCAGAGCAAGACGTGGTCACACTTTTTTTGGGAGCCTCTTGAGGTCAAGGACTGGACCGCCAAAGTGGCCGTCCTGGAAGCCGAGGAGGCGGAGCTCTTGAAGAGCCTCGAGGTCCGCCAGGAGACCCAGCGCCAGAAGCGAGCTGCTGTGGTCAAGGAGGCCCCCCTGCCAAAAAACCCCGAAAAATGCCTTGCTATTGAAGGTTGAGAGTTGAGAGAAGCAGTGACATGTGAGACACGGCTGGGTGAAAGCGGAAGAAGGCTGCGAAACGGCTTTGCAAGGATGCTGACAAAACAGAAGCCCCAAAAACACCCGAAAGCCGGTAAGTGCCAGGAAACTTTGACAGTATAAGCCGAGTTCCTTTGTAAGCGACTGAAGGGGCGCCTCCTTCATGACACATGACCCTTTCGCGACGCTCTCAGCGTAATTCTGCCGGACCTCCGGCCAAGAGTGCGGTGGCAAAGCTTGGAATCTTGCTGTGATGTTAACAAAGATGAAGATGTTTTTGGCGCAGACGGCGGTTAGTTTCCGCATCCGAGCCCTTGCTTATCTTGGCGGAGTACAGTGACCTTACGTGGCGCACGCACGTAGGCGGTCGCAACGCTCCACAGTCTGAAAGTGGTGCGTATCATTGTAGAGGTGTGGGTATCTCTCGAGCAGTTGCCCGCAACCTGGGGATCGGAGCGGCGTCTCCGCAGCATTTCCATGGTCGTGGCGGGATGGTCGCTGCCTTGAAGGGTCAGGCTCCGTATATTGGAACCCTTTCAGTGGTCTGCGAGGCTGTGGGGGCCAGCTCATTTTCTCAAGCAGATCACTAGGTTGATCCACATCCAGCTCGGTGGATCTGTGATCAAGTTCCATTTCTGTGAGTCTTGCCATCTTGCCCCTTAGCATACTCGGTGGTGACTGGGAGTTTGCTTGATCAGATGCCATGGTGCAAGCCGACGCACGCCTGCCACATGCCCATCCCCCATCTCCCGTTCTTTAAGACAAACCCTGAGAGCAAAGCCCCAAACATGGGCTTTGCTGGTCCCCTTGTCGCAGGTGCACATGATGTCTGGATGAGTAGACCAAAGCAATGACACTTAGGCGTGGTGTGCGGCTCGTTTGCCTTGGGCCACGGCCCGTGAATGCTGACGAACAGCTCGGTTCCTGCTGTGGCATGGAATTTTGGTGGAACAGCGAAACTGGCAAAGAAGAGGGACTGATAAGATAGACGGGGACGCCGGCGCTTTCAGCGTAGGCATGCACATAGACGTTGCTTCTGGCAAGGCAGAGCAAGCTGGCAGGGAGGTGGCTCCAGACTTGGCCCTAGATTCTTGGCCAGACTCGGGCGGGGGGGGGATCGGGGTCTTTGTGGATGTACCACATTGATCGGCGTCTCCCATGTTTCTATCTAGCAGCCTGCACTTGGCAACAGAGAGAGGGAGCTTGGCTGCTTGCAAGATGGCCCAGGAAGACAAGAAGGTGTCAGAGTACGCGAAGTGGATGGAGAAAGGCGGACAGAATGTGCTGTGGATGTTTTGGTTCTCTTCGTATGCACGGGCGTGTGAGGTCGAGTGAGCGGTAAAGGAAGACACGTGATCCTGCAGGAGGGGAGGCAGCTGGCACTGAGGGTGGGAGTGCGACCAGCTCGGAGCAGGCCTTTCTGCCAAAGGGGTTGCATTTGGTTGCACTGCCAAGCACTCGTAGATTCCACAAGAAATTCAGACCCAGCAGGCATGCAGCGGCAAAGTCTGCATATCTCGGGCAACCGTCCCACGGAGGGACCTGCGCCAGATCAAGGTCAAGAGCTGCCGCCTCAGCACTAGCCCAATTCATGCAAAGGCCTGCTGCTCCTTGCTCCTGCTCCTGCTGCTGCTCCTTGCTCCTGCTGCTGCTCCTGCTCCTGCTCCTGCTCCTGCTGCTGCTGCTGCTGCTGTAGTAGTTTGAAGTTTGAAGTACTTTCCGATGTGGAAGATCGAGTTGCAACAAGTCTCCGGCAATCTGACCGAGAATGCAAGTGCAAGGTGGTGCCCTCATCGATTTCGTGGAGTTTGTCTTTGTGTCGGGCGAGCCCCTGGTGGTCGGCGAAGGGAACGGCGAAGAGCAGGAGCCCTTTGACCTGGAGCCTGGTGAGGCGGGGACCGGGTCGAGGTGTAGCAAAAACTGCCCTTATTCAGATCTTCTGTTTCGTTGAAGTGTTACTTCATGTTGCTTCTCTGCGGTGGGCAAAGCAGGTGCTGGCGGAGCTTCGTGGAGGCCAGGGTGGGCTTCTGGACCGGCTGCAGTTCGTCACCAACCGCGGCCGAGAGTCCAAAGCCTACGGCGGCAGCGGCGGCGACGACTTCAGCTTCAAGGTGTCGCCTCTGGGCCTTTGGCGTCGCCTTTTTAGGATCCCATGGGTCTTGAGCCCTTTTCACTGAACGTCTCATGGGCGTTTGTGGAAGGCCAGCGATGGCAAGATGATCGTTGGCCTCCGCCGTGCCGTCCCACATCTGCACTCATCTAGCTGTTGCACGTCCATTTACCTGTAGTGGAAACCACGGAGAACCACGCCATGACCATGCACCCGAAATGAATCTTCCGGAAATCTGCCAGCCGGTTCCAGCCCAAGACTTCCAGAGCCGGTAGTCCGAGGTCGGCCTGGCCGGAAGGATCACCCACATCGAGGAGTGTCTGACCCGTCCCCTGACAGCGGCTGAAAAGGAACTGGACGAGGCTTCATCGCGGGTGCAGGCGCCTTTTTTTGGGGGGTGTAAAGACGAGTGCTCTTTGGAAGCAGCCAGGGCCGTATTAGGCAGTTGTGAAATGTTGTGAATCTGGGACAGGAGGCTGAGCGAGGCCTCTTGGCCAAGGCTGCGGAGATGAAGGACCTTGGGAGGGTTTTTTACATGTCTCCCTTGCTACACGATTCTCTGATATGTTCAAAAGGAACTGCGGCAGAAGATCGAGGCAGCCACGGGCGCCCATGCTGCCTACCAGAGCTTGAACGAGTGCGCCACGGGCCAGCTCGGCCAGTACAATTACAAGATCTGCCCCTTCGGTGAAGCCACGCAGGGTCACGTGCCACTGCTGCAACGAGGTAACTAGGCACCCAGCGAAACCCTCAGCTTCAGGAACATGTCAGGGTGACATTTTTTTGGTGTATGTTGCTTCCTCTCTTGGTTTGTATGTTCTTGTGTCATCATATGCTTAGGTGCGTCTTGGCAAGTGGAAGGGCTGGGCAAGCGACGCCCGGCACGTAGGCCTTTTCGAGAACGGCGAGCGATGCTTCTCGGGCATCGTGCGCTCGATCCGGGTGCACTTCGAATGCGGCCAGGCAGCAAAGGCTCAACTCGTAGGGGGTTTTGGTACTCGTCGTGGAAGGGCTGGATTTCGAAAACCAAGGTGGGGAGAAGCATGTCATTGAGACGGCCCCTTGGCTCCAGCTCGGCTCCTTTAACTAGCATTAGCTGGCATCAACTCCTTCGTTCTTCCGGTAGCACGCGCGTAGGCTTCAGCAACCGATGATGAACGGTCAGCTGGCTTTATGGTTCATGTGGTACACTATCAGAACTTTTACGGACGCTCAATGGCGATGTGGGAGGAATGTTGCTTTCAGGCGTTCGCAATTGAGGTACCGTCGCTTTCCAGGCAAGCTAGAACAAACAGTGCTGCATGCGGTCAGTTCATAGACTTTGGGGTGTGGCAATATCGGCCAAGTGTGATGTTTGGCTTCTTTTGGTTGACCGCTGCTGGCTTTCGGTTGGTTGCGCTGGCCTTGTATTGCTTGATATATCTTGATATGGCTTGCTTTCTCTTCTTTTCCGGGAGTTCCCCGAACAAACTCACGCGCAAAGTGCCTGATGCCCTTCAATATGATCATTTCGGCACACTGATGTCGTCGGTGTTATCGCGTGGGATATGATGCATGCGTGTGGGAATTGTGGGTTCCAGGTGCGCGAGCCGAGCCAATGCGTGTACGAGGCGACCATGACGCACCCGGCAGCCTGCGATCCCAAAGAGTTCGAGGAGAGCAACCGTGTCCTCCAGCCCCATGAAGGGCATCTCGAGTTGTGATATCCATCTTGCGGAACCTTTTGCAAAGCCCGAGTTTCCTCAGCCAAAGTAGGCGCACATCAAAAATGTCCCTGCTGAGCGTCTCACCGACCAGCCCATCTGCACCATGTAGATCCGAGCGCTTCTTGCAAGAATGCAAAGCATGCAGCACCATGCAGCTCGGCGTCATGAAGTTAATGATGTGGTGTTCCGATTAATGTTGGACCTTCTTTAATAGTACAGTCGAGGACCCTGAATAAAAAAAAGACCCCAAACAGTCAGGCCTGGAAAGGTCGAGGCTTCAGGCTTCGAGTAGCCCTTCTTCTCGAGAAAGCTTCTGCCTTCCTGAAAACCGAAGGACTGAGCCCCGGGCCCCGGGAGACTTGCATTATAGCGGGCCCCCAGACAAAGGTATTATATAAAGTATGTCCGGAGGCCTCCGTAAGGTACCCCCTTTCCGGATATGATTCGCCTATATGATCATACAGTTTGAAGTAAGTTTGAAGTAAGGAATTTATAAAGAAAAGGCGCCCTGACACAAGAAAATTTTCGGAGATCCTGGAAAGGTCGAGGCTTCAGGCTTCAAGTACCCCCTCTTCTCGAGAAAGCTTATGCCTTCCTGAAACCCGAAGGACTGAGCCCCGGGCCCCGGGAGACTTGCATTATAGCGGGCCCCCAGACAAAGGTATTATATAAAGTATGTCCGGAGGCCTCCGTAAGGTACCCCCTTTCCGGATATGACTCGCCTATGGAATCATATAGTCTTAAGAAAGGATTTTATTAAGAAAGGCACCCTGAAAAAAGAAGATTTCGGAGATCCTGGAAAGGTCGAGGCTTCAGGCTTCAAGTACCTCCCCTTTTCGAGACAGCTTATGCCTTCCTGAAACCCTCAAAAACCATGAAAAAAAACAGCCACGGCCCGAAAACTTTTCATTATAGTGTACCCCCAACACAAGGGCCAAGATCCTGAATAGCCGCAATACGTTTCGCAATAGCATCCCCCTAGAATATTGCGGGTGCAACATTAGTACTCCCCGCAAAAAAACAGAAAAAAAACTTGGTAACGGAATAATAGTAGGGCCCCTGAATCAATATTGCTGTTGGGGCCAAGTACTCTCTGCGCGCTTCCATAAGCAGCGACAGCGCAACGCACAACCCAAGCAACTAGAAGAGTTCGTTCTATGCCCCCTCCCCATGCCCAGCATATACCAACAACCCAACCACCCTATAGGAAGGAAGTGTTATTGCCCAACATGCCACAGCGTTCGGGGCTTTGATGCAGACTTGAGCTCACTTGCGCGGGGCAGCCGCATGGCACTGAAGCCCGCGCTGAAGATCGGCTCGTGGCAGCCGCATCCCAGCTGAACAAGTCCGAGGGCTTCGGATGGAAATGCGTTTTTTGGCTGGTGGCGCAAGCTGCAACGCGGGTAGATGATGCCCGAGAGGCCTGGCAGGTGGAGCAATGCCTCCCTGCCTTCCTCGCTAGGGCAGTGGCAAAGCTTATCCACTTTGAACGATGGCTTTGCTTGCAGTCCATACGGACAAAGCACTGGAGCACGAACCCGTGCTGCCCCGGTGGTGTTTCCCGCACCGAGCCTCGCATCGATTGCAACACCCTCAGCTCCCACGACTTCTGCGGCCTCGCCGCAAACAGTGCCTAGCGCCCCAAGCATCCCAAGCGCCAGCTGGACCCACTCCGCATCCTCAGATCTCGGCTCCAAAAAAGCCTCCAGCAGGCTCTCCCGGGGCTGGGGCCTCGGCCAGTTTGAAGCTCCAAGCATGCTTCGCCAGAGCGCCACAACCAGGCCGGAGAACCTCACCGAGCGCAACAAAGATAGCGCGAAGAGCCGAAGAGCGTCAGTGCAAAGATTTTGGTGCAACTGTATATCAGCCCATAGATTCTGTTTTTGTGCCTGCAGTGTATGTTGGCAAGAAGCAGGCCAGCTGCGCAGACGCCTGCCTCTCTGCCGTCTTTGCCACCTCCGCGTATGCCTCCGGCTTGCGTCGAGGCCTGAGACAGACTGGGAGCCTGAGTCTGCAGTACTTCGTGTGTTGCACTCAGCACCTTCAGTACCTTCCACCACCTCTCAGGACTTGGAAATCAGTCCGGAGACCAGGGGGTCCGAGCCGTACATGCGACGAGTGCACGAGATCTGCCAGCAGCTTCTGGAGCTCATGCAAGCACACGGCAGATTGCTGCATCACGAGGAAATATCCCAGCTAGCTGCACTGCAGAACCGGCAGAAACTCCTCCTCGAAGAAGTAGAGAGCCACTTGAAGCAGCTCCAAATACCTGAACGACATGACCCACCACCTGCACTATGCTCTGCTCTTGAGGCTGGAAGGACGACGAATGTGGACAAAACTCACAATCTGTGAATTGTTTTTTCTCTCTCTCTCTCTCTCTTGTTGTTTTTTCTTTTTTTTTCTTTTTTGTGAGTGTGTGTGCATCTTCGAGTCGCGCGGCAGGGTCATGGTTGCTTGGCAGGGTCAGTTGTTATGGTCGCTTTGTATCGAGGCGAAAGTTGGTTTGGGCGGGCCCACGGCCATGGCCGACGTCAGCTTCGCTGAGCCGCAGGCGCAGTGGGCGCAGTGGCGATCGCAGCAGCCATGGGCTCCCAGCCATTCGGCCAGCCATCCCAGCCATCCCAGCCATCCCAGCCCGCTCCGGGTGCTGGTGCTGGGCTCGAGCCTTCTCGGCCGCGAGATCTTTCGTGAACTTGCGGATGGAGGGTGGGAGGTTCAGGGATTGTGTGAGAGGCCCGCGGGCGGTGCACGTGCACCTCGCCTTGGGCCACTGTGGGCTTTCGTTGACTTGGCAAGCGCCGGCGCGACCGAGCTGCAGAGCCAACTCCAGCGCATCCAACCTCAGGCGATTGTCAACTGCCACACCTCTGCGGCCCTCCTCGACCTCGAGGCACTGGAGTCGGAGTCACCCGAGAACGATGCCCGGTCCCGGGACTGTTTGGCCTTTGCAGCTACCTTGGCGTCAGCTTGCGAGGCCTGGCGCATCTTCCTTGTACACGTGAGTTCCAATGCAGTCTTCGGGGGTGGGGCAGCCTCAGCCGGACATCCATCTCCGTCTCCGTCCGCGTCTTACACCGTGGACGCGGAGCCGCGCCCCTGCACACCACTTGGATGGCGCAGCCTGGCAGCCGAGCAGGAGGTGTTGAGCCGCTGCGCGACCCATGCTGCGGTGCTGCGTGTGCCGCTGCTCTACGGCCCCGTGCAGTCCCTCGAAGAGTGTGCGACCCGTGCCTCTCCCAAGCTGTCAAGTCGATCTTGCCCGCAGGGCCCACTGCGCTTTACTGACTGAGAGCTTGCTGTAGGGAACTTAAACTTTCAAGTAGAATACATACATACACACATACATACATACATACATAATACATATATATATATATATGGTTGATGTCCGGGTGTGCCGAACCAAGTCTGGCACCAAGGCCTGCTGCAAGACCTGAGACGGGGCCACTGTGAGTTCGACGATTGGCAGCGCTGCCATCCAACTCGGGCGGAGGAGGTCGCTTTCGTTGTCGCCAGTGTGCTGCAGTGCATGGTGTGGGGGCCATGGCAACAGCGGCCGCGGGGCATTTACCACTGGCAGGGCAGCGACCCTCTAACAGAACTTGAATTGGCCAAGCTGGTGGCCGAAGTTTCAGGGATGGCGGTCTCTGTGAAGCCTTCCCCAAGCAAGTTACGGGACAACTGTACATCATGCTCCCTTGACTGCTCCAGGACTGCTCGCACGATTGCTGTGCCCAGGACACTCCCAGTCCTGCATGGATTAAGGATGTGCCTGCAGACCTCGCAGGCATCGCGTAGCCCCAGCTCCAGCGATCCAGCTGGCCTGACCCGGCGGACCGAGCAACATGTCTAGCGAGGGGCAAAAGGCAGAGTGACGCAGTGAGCAACCGGACTCGTGAGAACAGCATCGCGTCTCGTGACGCTCCGTGCCAGCACTTGCCGCATCTTGCCGCCGTCGCAGCAGTCACGTAGGTGGATATACATGTGTGCACATTTTGCCGCCAACTTCGGACAGGACAACAGCCGAGGTGCATAGCTCGGAGCCGGCGCCGAGGTTTACAGCGAAATGACAAAAAGAAAACTCCCAAGCAAGATCAAGTAGTTGTAGGCACGATGCAGCAGCGAGGGCAGAGCCATGGAAAGGTTTCCTGAGTCTGCAGACTCGCCGTAAGCGCGGGATGTTTTCCTCCGGCAGGGGCCTCACCAACTCTGAGGGTGAGACAATGTGAGACACCATGACATGAGATGCTCAGAGGGCATGTAAAGTGATCAAGTCTCTGCTCCCTAGAAGCTGTCTAATTAAGCTGTCTCTCACTTTAGTCTTAGGTATTCCCCCTTTTCCATTAGGTCCTGAATTGTGCTGCGACTTAGAATCGACTTATGTCGGGCAAAGGCCCTGGGTGGCAAACTTTATGAGTCTAAGCTCTTAAAACATCGGGTGTTGACTGCGAGAGTGAGCGTCGAAATGGAGATGTTGCGTGGCAAGGCCACAATATAAGCTTGATGTGCGAATATTGAAGTGGGTGTTTGGCACAGTGCAACAAGCCCTACCACCCTCAAAGAAAGTGGCAAAAAAAGAAGATGTGGGGTGAGCTGGCAACCCCAAACCCTGTATGCCATCGAGCACTGACTCATCGAATGACCTGCTGCCCCGCACATGTGAGTTTGCCATCTCTCACTCTCTCTTTCTCTTTTTCCCCTTCCCGTTTGAAGGCAACAGGAGCCTGGAAGCCAGCTATGCCAGCGCGGGGTCCGTGAGAACGGAGCCGCCTGTCACCAGCTCCATGCGGAGCCAGGGCCCTGCCATGTCCGGCCACCTGCGCAGCTTGTCAGGAGAGCGGTTGCGCCTCACTTTTCTGCGTATTGCTGCAGATCTGAAGTGACCCTTCACATGGTAATTACAACATTCAACAACAGTAACAAGGCAAGAACATGGTGAGTGAAGGACTGCCATCAGAGGGGGAGGAAAGCCCCGAAGCCATGGCTCACTGGCAGACCATGGTGCGGGGCATTTGGAGCAATTTGGGGCCTCGCAGCGACTTGTTTTGGTGCCCCTACGTAAAAAGCACCGATGGCCAGGTGGACAGCGGCTGGATAACGGATCACGTGCAGGCCCCCCCGCCGCGCTTGTGCTCTGAGAGGGGACCCGGTGGACTCCAGCTCCGAAAACACATTCACGGTGACCTTAAGGATGCATGTGAGTCCATGATTGAAACTGCTTCATATCCGGTCACATACGTGCTTGTGTTTGTGCGTGTGCGTGTGTGCTCTGCAGGTCTGCATAAGCAAGCTGCTGGACTTGTCCGGGCCTATGCAATGAGACCGGAGCACGATTTTGGGGGGGCATGCAAAGCTCGGCCCACAAGTAGCTGCCAAAGCACACCGAGGAGGACCCGATGTGCAGGAATCCTTGCCTTATACCTTATATTGCCTTACATGTCTGCAATGAGTCAGGCCACGGGAGTTCCGCAACGGCCGGCCCTTGCGGTACACTTTGCTGGCCTCGGATGAGGAAAGGGTGCTGGCCAAGCTGGAGGGGCCCTGGGCTCAGAAGGGTTCAGGATCCACTTCTTGGATTCCTGTTCGGAGCGCCAAAGATCCATGTCCCATGATGGAAAGACGAGAGCAGTACGAGAGCTATATAGGGCTTAGGGAGGTTATGGGACGTCATGCCATCGGAGTTGCATGCTGAGGCTTGGAGGTAGGGCACCCGCCCAGGAGAAGAAGGACGCCAGACTGCTTTAGGATGTTTTTTGCGCCTGTCTACTGGCATTCAGCTGAAGGAGACCTTCAGCCTCTCGGAGGAGGAGGGAAGGTTGAGCCTCTCCACCCGCTGGCCACTCAGAGGATTTGCGGCGTGGGGGTTTGCGAGGCGTCCTCTTTGGCCCAGTCCTCTTCGAAGTCAGGCAGCGTTGGGATCCTGATCGAGCTGCAGTACGAGGATGGCCGCCGAATTGCCCGGTGCTCCCTCAGCAGGACTTCGGGATGAATCGAAAAAGTCTGCACTTTGGGGGGCCTCGTTCCAGGAAACCGGTCGCATCTTGTTCTATCGGATTCTTTGGACACTGGCTGTCTCAAAGCTCCCGGACGGAAGCCAAAAGGATGTAATCGCATTTAAGAGCAGCTGACCTCAACAACACTGGCGCAACTGAATAGCGCATACCCGGAGCCCTTTTTGTTACCATTTACGAGCCACAGCAAGTGCAAGTTTCATCACGCCGAGCCACATGAAGTACGCGACGTTCAATCGAAGGGAGCTGGGTTCTCTAAGAATGCTCTCTAAGAGGGAGCCCCTTCAGCTTGTGTCTTGTTGCCCTCGTGCTGCAGGATGGACCCACGGTCCGCCAAGAAGAACACTTACAGCTGCTGGGAGCATGAAAACAGTGAGACACCAACTTGTGGCGCTGGGAGCTCAACAACTGTGTGTTTAAGTCCCCCTCGGCACGCGAAGAGCTGCGAAAGAGCCTTCTGAGTTTGTGTAGATGCGCGTCTCCGAGGTCGAGCTGACAATTTTCGAAGGGGCTCAGGCAGGTCAGAGAATAGCTGAGTCTTCGGAGACAGGGCGTCGTACCTGTGGATACAGGAGCTGGACAAGACGTCCCTCCCAGAGCCAACGAGGCCCAACCAGACCGCTGCCAGTTCGCCCCGAGGTCCAGGGCTTCAGCAGTGCAAAAAAGGCATATGCAACATATGCCTTCTCAGCTTCATTGTCAGAGGGTTCTAGCTCGGCATCGCTCAGCAGACTTAACATCCTTCGATATTGCCAAAATGCAAAGGCCCTCCGGCAGACTTTCCGCCGGGAGCCGGGCAGGCCAGACCCAGAGCCGGGAGCCTCAGAGGGTTTCAGAGGTCTTTCTGTGAGAAGCGCATATGTGTATCAGTGCCTCGCGCCAGAGGCACCTGGACCACAGAGGGCCGCAAGCCTAAGTGAGTCCTTTTTTGGCAAGGTTCTCTCTCTTGACACTCTCGTCTTTCGCGGTTGACCAGTATCGAGGACCCAGCATTCGACGTCTCCTTCGGCCGGCAGCCAACTTCGCCATCATTTTGCACTTGCAAATTGAATTGTCTTCCGAGTCTTCCGAGTCTTCCGAGTCTTCCTCGGTGTAATTCTGAGACCCACCACCGATGGCTCGGAGCAACGCGCCTCCGCCACCGCCGCCACTGCCTTCACCGGGGGCGATGCCGACGCTTGCTCGGGAACTGTCTGTGAAGGCGTTCGCAGGGACTCCACCCCACACCCACACCACCCAACCACCCACACACCCACACACCCACACACCCACACACTCACTCTCACTCTCTCACGCTCTCTCTCACTCACTCTCACTCTCACGCACAGGCACACTCGCACTCACACTCACACTCACTTAGGCACTCGTGCGTACAGACACCGACAGATCGATGATCGATGGAGAGAGAGGGAGTGAGGAACAAAACGACATAAAGCAATGTTTTACTTTGAACACCCCCCCACTCTACAGTGAAGGAATTTGCAGCTCACCCTGGGGTTGGGCACTCCAAGGGCACACGGGGTTGGGCAGTCCAGGGATTGTGTGGAGATACTCTGGGCTTGGGCACTCCAGGAACAGGAATTTTGAGGAGATACTCCGGCGGTTGGGCACTCCAGTGACTCGGTGGCACTCCAAGGACTTGTGGGGAAACTCTGGGTTTGGCATGACTCTGTCGGGAATACTCTGGGGTCGGTCACTCCAGGGACTCTGTCTGGGATACTCTGCATTTAAAACTCTCTGGTTGGGCACTCCCGGGACTTTCTGGGGTGGGATACGGGTCATGGGCGAGGAGTAGACCGGGCGAGGAGAACTCAAAATCAGCGAGGGTGGGCAAAAAGAAAGGGGGGCTAGGGCAGGCTACTTGTGGCAGGGAGACTTGTGCAGGAAAACTCACCCTCTCCACACACTGCCAAACCTGTAGTGGTGGGAGGTTCGTTTTGGGGAAGGGTCTCAATTCACGGGCGGGATCAGCAACCTCGATCCACACGTAACAGCGCACGTTTTTCCCAATACCAAGCCCAAAGTGGCAATGTCTACACATCTGGGAGAGAACCTACCTTGCTTACCTGTTTGTACTTGGGTGTCAGCCAACCAAGATGTGTACACACCTTTTCACACCAACAGACTCGGTAACGCATGCCCCTTCGGGGGGCCATATGCGCTGGAAGGAAGGAAGGAAGGAAGGAAGGAAGGAAGAAGAAGAAAAAGGCAGGGGCTGGACCCAAAGGCCCCATGAAAGAAGGAAAGAAAGAAAGAACACAACAAAAGAAAGAAAGACAGACAGAAAGAAAGAAAGAACACAACAAAACAGAGCTTGCACGCGAACGCATCTACGCACACATGCACCTGCATGCACACGCAAACACAGATAGACAGATTCAGATATGCATCATAAGCATCTAATTCATAAGTACCGGGCCATGCACCTGCACACAAGGTTCCCCGTCTCTGTCTGAGATCAGAGCAAGACCGTCCCAGAATGATTTCCCGCGTCCTTGTTCGCTTTCTCAATGAGCCGCCCAGCCCTGATACAGAGTTGTGAGCCTCCCAAGGCTGAATGCCACGTGCAGCACAGGTTGTTCATGTTGCAAGCGTTCTGTATTGAAGCCTGGTTGGGTGCAGAGTGCGTCCCCATCGGGCAGGTGTCTCGGCTGCTGGATGTGCCCAACCGACTAAAGCAGCGCTATGTGGCCCCCTGGCACAGCAAGTGTAATGTGCATCAGAGCACCTTTGGCCCTATAGGCCCCAAAAACACTCTCTTTAGTACGGGCTCCCAAAACAAATTTCAGGGCTGGAGCTTCGCCCACGCCAACATCTACGACCCACAACACCTAAAACTTTAGTCTGCCCCCCGATAAACCTCAAGACTACACGTTGTTGAAACCTCCACCGCCTGACCAGCTATTGGCTCTTGTCTCTGAGCACAGGGCAGCAGTTGTTGTTATGAATCGGCAAGCAAGGTCGCACAAAGATTCTAGGATGAAGGGTCAAAAGGCATTCAATGGCAGCCTGCTTCCCGGTTCCTCCAGAGTTTTAAGGTCAGGGTGCTGGACCAGCTTGGGCAGCTCGCTGCATCTCCGCAGGCATGATCCTCGGTAACGAGAAATAGCGAAGCCCCAACCCAGAAGCGTGTCTGGTTGTTTGTACGGGGACAATGTTTTCTCCTTTTCTCTGACACCTTCGCCTTAGCCCCTGCCAGCACACCCATTTTCGGAGGTTGAGGCAACAAAAACTTTGGCAAAAGTCCTGGACCTGCCACGACTTCTGTAGTGCAGCCCGGCCGAAGAAAAAGCGCGCTGGAAAAAAGACCTGCCCAGGTGGCAGCTTCAGAGAGTCATGGGCCCATTTGCACCGTACAGCTGGGGCCGGAGGGCCACCTGGCGCTGCGAACGGAGCCCCGCAATTTTCCGGGATTCCGGGATGCCTTACAGGATCTTACAAGGCCCTGAGGTGGCAGGTTTCCGGAACTTTGGGCTGGGTTAGGGCCGGGGAAGTGTTTGGTTGAGGCAGTTGTCCTGTGCCGCTGAAGTGAAGGAGTCACCGATGCTCACCGTCCGCGTGGAGTTCTCGGATGGCTTGCTAATTGGGCCGGAGGCTTTGCTTTCGATGCATCTTCGAAAGGTGCGGCGCTATAAATAAATTGTAGAGAACAAGCTGCAATCACTGAGCACTTTGCTCCAACACTGTCGCCATTTGACCGAAGTACTGCCTGTAACTTGCATGTCGCATGCCCTTGTCAGGTCATGCCAGATTTATCGTCCGGACCCCCGATCTCAGAAGATGTCGCAGTACCTCTTGACGGACCGGGGTCCAGCCTGCAAGTGCCTGGATCCTGGAGAATCTGATCTCTGGCGGGTCTAAACAAAACCCCCCCAGGACTCTGCCGGCGGCTCGGCGGATTGCGGCGTGGAGCTGCAAGTCTTGGAGGGGCTCGCAAAGGCCCGGCTTGTTTGAGCCGGCAACCACAGTACTCGTATTTGTCGCGTGTACCCGGTGTACCCTTTCTCCAAGTGCTTTAGGTTGGGCATATCGGTGCATCATTCGAGTCTCATGTCAGAAGGCCAGCCGAGAGATGGGCGGCAACCTGATGCCGGGCAGCCGCGTGGTCGGGGACCCGAGCGAATGCAGATACCATCGCTTGTACGGGCCCAGATGGCCTTTGCCGTTGCTCTGCTAGCTGTAGTCACAGCCGTAGTCAGCATTGTGGCAGGCCTTGTCAGAACCGTATATCTTGTGCCTGAGCTGATTCGGAGGTGCCACACAAGCATGGAGACGCGGCAAACATTGACAATTCCAATCTTCGTTTCGAACCCTGCTGTACGCCCCATATGCGACCCATCACCCAGAGTTGAATGATTTAATGGGCTGTACCAGCTCTGGCAATGGTCCGATTGAGCCAAGAAAGCCAGTCACCGGCTTGCGCAAGCACGTCGGAGTGCACGACCTCCGGCGAAGCCACCGCGGCGTCGTCCGCCTGCGGAATGATGCGGGCGAGGACCTCCAGGCGCCTCTTGGGCTACAACTCGACGAGTACGGACACATAGAAATGTCAGAACGTGCAAGTACTGGTGTTCCTTTGTGTATATGGTCATGCATACTCGAGCGCATAGTGAGAGTTTAAGCAACTATTCGTATTAGCAGTTGATGCTGTCTTCCGAGTCTGTGGAACAATTCATTTGGTTCGAAGCATTTCCTTACAGAAATGATGTGCGGTCAAAGGAGCAGTCAATGACTGAGTTTCCGCGTAATTAAGATTTGCGCAAACACAAGAGCATTCAGTATTTCTTGCCAGAGTCAGCCCTATGTAAACAGAGAAAGGCCATCACGCACGCACATCCACCGCGATCTACAAATACCATCAAATACCCATAGACCCGTCCACTACGTTTAGTGGGGCATCACACGATTGCATTGCACCCCATGTTCAGCAGCTTTCGTAAGAGAGCGCGAAACAGCGCTTGACCATCGGGGGGTGGTCTCAGCGTGGACGAGATGCCGGTTACTTTTCGACGTGAGAAGAATGCCGTTCTGCCGTTCCGCGTCGTAGAATTATTCGGCCACAGACTCAAGTTCTCGCGCAGAAAAGTGTTCTTGCTGTTTGTGCGAAGTTCGTGATTGGCAAGTGCAAGATCGAATTTGCCAATTGCTGCGTCATTTCGGATGCAATGTTGGCCCGCTTTTCATGTTTCGTCATGCCTTCAAATGCTCTGAACGACAGTCTACATGTCGGGAAAAGCTCTACTTTCCCAGCTGTAGAATGCTGTAGAATGCGTTGCGTGGGGCACTTTTGCCTTCGACAAAAAATGGGTGCCAACGAATTCAAGCTGCATGTCCAGACACGGGCGGTGTGCGAGGCATGGAAGTCACCAAAATCTCGCGAGTGGCTCTCAGAGAACCTAGGTACTTAGGTAGCATTCCCGTCGACTCCAGGGGCTTTTGTATCAAGTCAGCGGAAGGCCAGATGCTTGCGCAATGGCCGAACCTCGGTTTCCATTGCGAAGCGCTTTCGAAAGAAACCTATGTAAGTTGCCCGCAGGTTCGCTTCGCTGAGCCGAACCTCTTGGGCAGATCGCTGCAGGTCTTGGATTTGCCAAAAGGCACACAGCTTCAGCCAGTAGAGAACCAAGGGTCAGCGTAAAGAACTTGCACGGCCTTGGCAACCCCAAAGCATGTGATGTCCAGGGGAGTTCCTGACCTTCGACCCTGGTGACTCTTGGAACTTCGACTTCCATCTTTCGGTGAACGAGGGCAAGCTTCGTGCTCATGTCTTGCGCGGGGGTTCGTATGCGGTACAACGTTCCGAAAACTGGAGCTTGGAAACTTTGTCACTACCGAGTCGGCAGAAGAGCGAGAAGCTCTCGAAGCTGAAGGGCCTCACGGTTTCGCTGTCGGCGTCGGGATGGCTGGTGATCTACCAGCTCGGAGTCGCGGAGTGCCTGCAGAATCATGGTGGCTCGCCCCTGATAACGCCCTGTGCATAGGCTTTTCACATGTGAGAGCATGTATGCGCGTGCTTGAGTGGGCGTCGGCGTGCCTCGGCGTGTGTATATATATATATGTTTATACTCTTATAATTGTATGCATGCTTATCCTGGGACTTGTTTTGAATCTTCAAAGGCATCACCCAGAACCCGTACGTGCGCGTCTCGGGGGCATCCGGCGGTGCTTTGGCTGCCTGCGTCATGATGTACGGCGCCAACCCCCGGAAGCCTTTGGAGGTGCTCCTCCGGTGCGCGCAGATCCTGCACGCCAAGCCCGAGAAGGCGTTTTTACTGAGGAAGTTCGTCCTGCAGGCGATGCAGGAGGTGATTTGCGATGGGTCCTTTCAGCACCCGGTCTTTGAGACACAACGCCTGGAGATCGGAGTCTCTTCCACTCAGAGCAAGGGCCCGGGCCGCTTTCTCAACATGATGTGGAATGGCGAGGAGCATCGGCTCAAGGAGTTTGCGAGCACTGCCGACATTGCCGTGGCCTTGCTGGCCTCCCGGAAGAAATTCGATTGTCAGCAAGCTTTGTGAAAGCTTAGAAAGCCAGAAAACCCCGTAGACTTGGTAGACTCCCACTTGGTGTGGGGAAGTGAGGTAGGCTGGTTGCAGTCTTGCGGCTCCCTTTATTTGGTGCTTTGCCATGTCTGAGGCATCCTCCACCTGCGGCATCTCTGGTCTCCCATTTACGTTTCAAGACGAGAAGGGTGAGGAACGGCAGGTTGCAGACGGTGCCTTCAGGAACTTCCTGCCGGCCTTTGATGAACACTCGATCACGGTAAAGCCGTTTTGCGCCGGAGTCGACATGCTGGGTTTCACAGGGGACAAGGCTGACGTGGGGCCTTCCGAGTATGTGCCAGCCTCTTTCGGGGTTTTCCCACCACCCGTCGCGATGTTGGAGCACCTTTACGAGCTCGGCTACCAGGACATGGAAACATGGCTGGACCTGCATCTGGAAGAGCGCGCAAGAGAAGTGGCCCAGCAGGCTGCTGAGCAGGTACGGTTGGTACGGTTGAACTGTGCTTCCGGAAAGAGCTTCAACCACGCACAAGCATCCCTCAACCCTAAAAACAATCTCCTAAACTTCCCCTACACTGCTACACACGTGATTCTCGAGAGTTAGGAGGCTTTTTTCCGTTTCTTGAGCTTGCAGGATGACCTGCCGCCCGTGGCATTCACCTGTGAGAATAATGGCATGCTGTGGCACAAGGAGGTTCTGCAACGGGTGCCCGTGAAGTGGGCGGATGCTTGGCTGAATACAGAGAACGCAGTGCCTGTGATACAACGCATTACAATGCCGAACATGCCACACAGGACATGCTCAATTCCCGCAACTTCCTTGCGGACAAGACGACGCCAGTCTTACGCCAAGGCAAGGCGATCTGGAGCCTACTCGTGCAACATCGCTGCCACCATGATCTCGGCACATCCCTGCTTGTGACACCCAGGCCCACTGGAGTTGAGCGACCTCGGCTTTGTTCTGCCGGACGGACAGACCGGAGCCAACACTGACCCCACAGAGGTGACCGGTGTGAAGAGATGGATGGTGCCACCTGGCGCGAGAGATCTATAGGGTTTTTCTGCACATCTGCACACTTGCTATGTCACTGCATTAGCCCGATACCTCGGAGCCTCTCCGTTTGGTAAGGTCATGTTAGGGCAGTTACGTCAGGCTGACGGGCAATTTAATCATGCTTCTCTGCACATGGGATTTACAACTTGTAGCTCGTCGATGCACAGAGTGTTGTAGAAGAAGATGTGGCCTGCGTTTTGGGGCATGTGTAAGGGCAGAGGGGGGGGGGGGGGAGGGACCCAACAGCTGCTCTACTTTTAGCGCCTGGTTGAAGCTACCTTGCGGTCACTTCTCGGGAGAGCTGCCCTATCCGCCATGCCAAGGTTGACTGACCTGGATATGCGATGGCAAGAAAGCGAGGTCAACGTGGACCTGACACTTGTCAAGATTCAGGTATAGAGCGACGCCTAAGGCTGCCGCAGGGTGCATTCAGTGCATGAATGTGCAGTCGCTCAAGGAGTGACGATGAGGAGCAGCAGAGGGCGACTCGCCTTCCAAAGTGGTCCATGTACGAATTGTATACGGCTTGGGAGATGTTTCGGGTTTAGCCCGGCCTCCCACCTCCAATGCGGATTGGATGGAGCCTTGTCTGAGTCAAATGCTGAGGTCGATTGGATGATTCGGGAGCTACAAGCTCCAGCTGGCTTTGAGAGATCACAAGAGAAGTTTCTCCGAAGGCGCTCGGGGCGGTAATGCAGCTTGCACATCGTTACATGCTCGCACCGTGATCGATCACATGCTGCAGGCTCACCTCTGGGCGGATCCACTTGTCCTGGATCTCGGATGCGTTCGTCGATGAGAAGTGCCGCAGGTGTTCCATCGACACTCCGGAGAGGCACTTTGTGGTGATCACAGTCACTTACTTTGAATCTAGAGCTCTTCTTTCTGCAGGATGCACGGAAGGATAGTAATCAGAGTACTAGTATGCTGAGGTCAACTATTCCCTGACTCTCAGGGCCCAGTCGCATGAAGATGCCGTTGCTTGGACTACAGCGTTGAGGGATGCACTTGCGGCCGTCGGAGGCTATGATCCCAAAGCGGACAAGGTCAGCCAGCAGCAGCCAACCACTGTGTCCCTCATTGACAAGGAGTAGCTGCGCATCGCAGCGTGTCAAGTCAGAGTAGCGCCAAAGTGCGCTCCAAATAGCCCCCAACTGTCTCACAAGATCGCTTGTGAAATTCCTGTTCAACTTCATGCGGCCTTGGCCACGTTCAGAGAATCTCTCCTGAATGCCATCCTCTCTGAGCTTGGCTTATCGCTGTAATTCCCTTTCTTGTCCTCAACAAGGTCGGCCGACTGCAGCTTCGCGTGCTGGGAGCCTTCGATCTTCAACTGCGCGCAGCGCACTCAGACCTGCGCGACCTGCTCTTGTGAGGTCCACAGTGGAGTCCAAAGGCTGTCACCGACCCACAGAGTGCAGAATGCAAACTCTTCCTTCACTCCTTGAGGACCGCGATTCTTTGCGGCGTTCTCGGACTCATGCTGCTGTACAGAACACGGGCAGAGACTAAGAGACATCGCTACAGGCCCGCGATGTTTGTGCAAGCATCTGTCGGCAAGACGGTGCACAGGCCAGGCAGAGTGGAGTGGAAGTGCAAATTCAGGTGATGTGTTGCTGCCTCACTTGGCCCTTAGCAGTCGTGGCGTCGCTGTTGGTTGCAGAGCTTCACACAATCTCCACAGGACGCTGATGGCAGAGGGCAGCCTGAGCCCCACGTGGCCCTCAAGCAATGAGCCACGCTCTTAGCATCTGCAGAGGCACGTGCACATGCAATATAGTGTAACCATATCTTATTCTCTGTAACAACTAACCGTCAGTTGGTTTGGGTGCGTACGTCGTTTCACCTAGTTCGCCTGCAGGGCTCGTGCGCTCCGGTTTCAATTCTCAGGTTCACTTTCCCAGTGGGCGCCGAGGACGGTGAGCTCCAGCTGGAGGCTCCAGCTCATGCGCAAATCGACTTCTGTGCGGGTTTTCGTGCGACCGCCGTGCATGGACATCGTGGGTTAACAGGTCATCAACTCCTCGGTGGCAGCCAACGAGAATCTGGGATCAGTGGGTCCAGGCCACAGGTCTGTCCGGCGACAGCATGGCGCAAGACAGTGGGGATGCCTCTCGGAAAGACGCTTCACCGCGCCACTCAGGGCTAGCGCTTTGGAACATCCCTCAATCTCAGTGGCTGCAGCACGCACCTTAGTCAGAGAGTCTTGCAGAGAGCTCTGCAAGAGATATCTATGACAGGAGGCGGTTGTTCGCGCACTTAGGAGACGAGAGAAGCTCGGGGGAGGAAGGGGCGAGTTGGAGTATGCCTTCCTCTTCCAGCCAGCAAAGGCGGGGGCTAGGGAGGCCTTGAGCCGGCCTCGAGAGATGAATTTAATTTCATATCTGGGAATTATCCGCACTGAATGAAGATGTGGTTCAGGGCAGGGAACAAACAGATCCAAACAAAAAGCACGCGGCGGGAGAAGCCCTCATCATCGAAATCCTCTAGGGCCGGGAGGTTCTGACTAGGGAAGCTACAAGGAGATGTCTTGGAAATCGTACCAAAAAGAAGGAGTCAGAGCCAGGCTGTGTATAGGTTTGGCTCGTGGCCAGCACCCCCACACGAACCAGGAGCCATCCTTGAAGGATGACTGTCCAGACACGAAGACCATGTAGCAAAGTATAGCAAAGTGCAATGTCCTTTCGGCAGAAAGCCCTATAGGACTTAGGAGCTCTCGCTTCCTGTCGGCGCGCGACGGCACACGTGCTGCTGTTGAATGGGGAGGGGCATCGTGCCTCGTCCAGGTGTCCACGGAGGTGCCCCAGCCAGGAGTCGCAGCACCGAAGGTGCTCTGCGTGCTTTTGCCAAGTTTGCAACTGCCATCGATGTGACGGTGATGTGGGAGGCTGAACCTGAAGCTCCACCAGTGCCACCGCCGGCACTGGGCGGACCCCATGCTGGCAGCTACGGAGGCTGAAGCGGCTGAAGATCTCACAGAGCTATCGCATCACATCACACGGCCTGCTCCAGGCCCGGCTCTGGTTGGCGCTCCCTTGGGCTTTGGCCCACAGTGTCGGAGCCATATATGATCGATTCAACGCGAAGTACGAAAAGAATGTGCATCAGTTGAAAGCCTGGCCTGTCTACACCTTTCTCGCCCAGTTTCTGGCCAGCTTCCGGGATCTCTGGTGGCGGGAGAGCTGGTCCTGCCCCCTTTGACAGCCGGCCCGGCCCTCGGAACATCTCGGAACAATTACTTGCTGGTCTTGTCCGGTCTTGGTGTCCGACGAGGGGCTTCCTTGCGCCGTGTCTCAGCCTGACGCTACGGCTGATACATCATTCGTGCTCGTAGTGGGTTGAGAAAGGGCAACCTGCACCTTGAAAAGCAGATACACCTTCTGAGTACCCATGTGTAGAAGGCTGTAAGTTATAACAGGCTCCCAAACTATGAAACCAGTTGTGTTAGAGACCTCCCCATACCATGTGTGTTTCCGGATCCAGGCTGGGAGGCATTCAATCCTGTCCCTCGTGCGCCCGGAGCCCTGCGGTCATTGCCGCCGCCTCCAGTGAAGGAAGAGCCAAGGCCGTTGCTTTCTGCTTGGCTCAGAGAGGGATACACCTGATGCGGAAACCACAGCTGAAGCGCCCGTCTGGGAGGATGGAAGAGCACCAGGCGCTGTTTCCGGACATGTTCCACTATGTGCCGGCCTCAGCAAAGAGAAGCCAAGCAACAAGATGCTGGCACATACCAGTGGGATCCAGTGGGCACTTGATTACTTGATCGTCAATTACGCGGCTACTTCAACCATTGAATTTGTGATAATTTGTGATGAAGGGTTCATGCTGAATCCGATTCCACAGGCTAAGGCTAAGGCGATCCTTGCAAGCCACCCAACTCAGGAGAAAGATGAGCATGAAGCTGAAGAGCCTGTGCCCCGGGAAAGCGCTAGAGAAAAAGACTTGCGGGAAAGCCGTTCCGACCGACGCAGCGTGGCAAGTTCAATTTCAGGCTCTGGCTCAAACCCCCGGAGCGTGGCAAGGCTGGCAGATTCTGGCCAAAAAGAAGTACAAGATTGCACAGAGGATGGTAGGCTTTTGAGTGAACAGCCGTGTCTTGATTCAGATACAACTGCCGTCTGCAGGCAGATGAGCTCCTCGGGGCGGACCGGGACTTCGAAGCCCCTGGGCAGATCTAACTCCCACAGCAGAGTGCACTTTGTTGTGAGTTCATTTTCGGAAGGGGGGGGGGGGGACCCAGGTGCTGGCTTCCACAGCGATGACCTAAGCCTAAGTGATGCAAAGTCGGAGAGTCGGACGACCGTCACTCAAATCCTGGCAGGCTGAGAGGTGGCGGGCACCGGTCTTGACCCCTGTGCACCTGGATGTCTTCCACGACAAGGCCTGGTGAGAAAGAAATAGAAAGAATGGAGATGGGGAGATCATGAGCATCTGTGCCGGAATGCAGGTCTTCCCTGACATGGATGCCCGCGGGCTGCAGCTAGCTGGATGTCAAAAGCGAACGTTGAAAATGCTGGCCTCGATGTCGTGCCCATCGCGCCATGAGGTGAGCCTGGTGATTCAGCCCGAGGGCCAGCAGAGGAAGAGGGAGATGCCGGAGTCGACCTCGGGGCTGACATGTCCTAGACGCATACTCTTCAATTGCACACAGTCTGGAGCCCTCGCGATTCAAGGCACGGGAGGTGAAGACGCGGAGGAATGAACGGCGCCCGAAGCTTGATCACAGAGGTCAGAGGTTGCACATGAATCGCGACTCGCAGAAGCCGTCATGTCTCTTCAAGGCAACAAAGGGCTGCCCGAGGTCCCCGAGATCCTGGCATGATTGCAAGACAGTCGAGGAACAGCTCTCCATGCCCTGATCCCGCCATGCCTTTGAGCCAAAAAGGTTGATGGTTGGCTGGACAATGCCCAGATCGCCAAGAAGGGAGGGCAGGGAGGGCCTCCCCAACGTCAGCCTCTGAGGCCGCCGTTCAGCCCCAGCCGCAGTCGGCTGCCTCGGGTCCTGAAATCTCTGAAGCCTGAGCCAGGCAGCTGAAGGGAGTTACGGAGAAGCAGAACCAGAGCGAACAACCCCATCCACCTACTGGAACGCAGGACTGAACGGGGGTGGGCTTTGTGTTAGGATTGAGGTATGGTGAGCTTAAGGGGTGTGAGATATGCAATGCCTGCAGAGTGCAGATTGCGGCGGCCGTTTCTTTGGTTTTCGCGCCTCTATTCTGGCTGCAACTGACCTCACTGATCACCGATTCAGGAGGCCAATTTGCCCAAGTCCGTGTCGCCGATCTTGGAGGCGACAAGTGCAAGCGTGTCTGGGCCATTCGGGGCCATTCTGCCAGTACCCGCCGATTCACTGAAAGTCGGCCCGGAGTGCTGTGCACAAGATCTTGACACCTGATTTACGTATGACTCTCTGTTATTCTCTGTCGGGGCGTAGTGTCTTTTTTGTCTGTCGTCCTTTGGCTTCGTTCGCAAGCACTTATGCCATGGCTGACTTTCAACGGTTGCCTGGTCACAGGCGCGCAGCAAGCGCCGTCGCGCGAAGCTGAAGGCCGCGCAAGTTGCCCGTCGGCTCCACTTATCCCAGAGAGCCGCTGCTCTTTATGATGCAACTGAGAGAACAGAGGCCTACTGCTGCAAACATATATATATATATTATATAATATCACTATATATATATATATATGTGTATATATGCAACTTTCCCTTACAGGGAGGGTGGTTCTTGCTGTGGCGCTGCGGAGGTGGAGCGGGAGCTGGTGCGTCCGGAGCAGGCGTGGAGTGACGGCCATGCCTGGACTCGAGTGAGCCCATATATATATATATACATGTATATCATCCGATAAAATCCCATATAGAATCCCATGTAATTCCGTGTTTAATCAAATACTGTTACAGAATCCCATCCAAGAGCCACGGGGGAGCTATTGAGACTACTGCGAGGCACTCGACATCGACCAGCAGCTGCAGAGCCGTCTCGCCCAGAATCCGGCAACATTGCTCCCCCCAAACATGTAAGACGACTCCGGAGAGAGTAAAGCCGCAGGACACCGTAAAGATCATCGAAATGTGTTTTTCATAGGCCCGGAGATGGTCTCGCTCGACCCGCAGCTCCAGCCCAGGCAGTACAAAGCGCAGGCAGAAGTTGAAAAGAATTGAAACTGGAAGTGCCGTTTCCAAAAAGATGTTCTACAGGTAGCTTGAGTAGCTCTTTGCAGCCTTTCCAGCGGAATCGGATGTCTGAGCTGTTTTCGTGGCTTCTTCGCACCCGGAGGTGGTGAGCCACTTGGAGTCCGAAGAGGCTGCTGGCGAAGAGAGGCATGTCTGGGTCCGGGCCTTGCAAGGCTCAGCCGGGCAGCACTCTTTTGCATTTGGTGATCTTTTCAGGTGCGCACGCCTGCGACGGAGCCGAATGTCATGGAGGCACCGCAAAAGTGCGCTGTGGGAGAGCAAACATGTCTGGCACATGATGAAAGCACGAGCTTCTGCCATGGATTCCAAGCTCAGTCCAAGCTCAAGACGGCGCCCAAAGTGGCCCTGGAGATGAGGAAGACATTTTGCTGAATGCATCAGCCAGCAACTAGATGCACAGTCGAACCATGCGTTTAGACAAGGAAGCAAAGAGAGCACGTGGCCCCTGCCCTGGCCCCTGCGCCCCGCTCGTTGCTTTTCAGCGTGCCCATGGATGACCTCTCCATCAACATCTCCGGCCTGGCACCTGGCGCTGCCCGCGCTGCCGCTGCCCTGCAGCGGCCCAAGAAACAACGGGGCCAGCCAAGCGCGCCGCGGCGCGAGCGGCGCGAGCGGCCCCAAGATGCCTCGGCTGCAAGGGCTTCCAAAGCGAGAACGCCGAGAGTTGAAGGAACAGCCCAGGGATCCGCAGGATCCGCAGGCGAGGCCCCAGAGGGTTCAGCCACATCCCAGCGCAGGAAGCGGAAGCCCGCAGAGCCGGAGCGCAAGTCCAAGCAGGCCAAGGTGATGGAGGCCTTCAAGCGGACACAAGCTTCGGTCACGCCTCAGACTCCTCAGGCCCACCAGAAAGATGGGCTCGGGATTGCGGACCCGAAGGAGAGGAAAAAGACACAAAAGAAACGAGAGCTGCGAGACCGGCGAAGAGGAGAAGTGTCGAGCAAGGGTTCCCAGCAATCGGGCTCGAAGATCAAGAGCGTCAAGCCCAAGCCGGCCAAGAAGCCCAAGACGCCCGAGGCCCGTGAGAGGCCCGATGCTGCCGCTCTCAAGGAGAGTGGCATCGTGTCGGAGACCTCCTTCGCTGCCTTGAAGCTGCATGGCTCCTTGCTCCGTCAACTCGATTACCTGGGCTTTGCAGACTGCACACCCATCCAGGCTCTGGCTGTTCCCAGGGCCCTGACAGGAAAGCGGGATGTGATGCTGCGGGCCCCAACGGGCTCGGGGAAGACCTTGGCTTTCCTTCTGCCTGTCTTGCATCAGCTGCTGGTCGTCCCCGGTGGCCTCGACCGCAGGACCCGTTGAATTCTTGCTAAGGCAGCTGCGAATGGAGGCACCGGCATCTATGCATCGAATCAGAACCAGATGCTTCTCAAAGCAGTTCTCTCTGAAGTTCCTTCAGGTGCCCTTTTGAATGCTAATTTGGTCTCGCAGGAAGGGGACCCTGGCCACGGTCCTGTCGCCCACGAAAGAACTGGCGCTCCAGACGCTGAAGGTGGCCTCTGATCTTGCGCGAATGGTGCCATCCCTCGTCTGCGGCGCAGTGGCAGGAACTGTGGCTTTATTTGGCCCAACCCGTCCCAACCCTACACTCCCAACCCGTCCCAACCCTACATTAGATTGAGCTCACGATGACTCATGGCACGGTCGGCGCAGCTGCCCTGCAGGCGGTGAGAAGCCCAAGAGCGAGAAGGCTCGCATCCGCAAAGGGCTCGTGCTGCTGTGTGCTACTCCCGGGCGCTTGGCCTACCATCTCGAGCACACTGCCACATTTGTGGCAACTCGTTGAAAAGAGTCGACATGTGATACTCGTACCAAAAACGAATACCCATTCTATAGGACATTGCCGCCATTGCAGCCATGCTCTCAACATCAACCACAGAGGTCCGCAACATCAAGTGCCTTGTGCTGGATGAAGCGGATCGGCTTCTGGACATGGGCTTCGAGCCGCAGATCCGGTCGATTCACAAAAAGATCTTGGAAGCTGCCAAGGAGAGATGAAGAAAATGGGGTATGGGCATGAGGCTAAGTTTCGAAGTCAGCAGATGGAGGGCCTTCCTAAGTTGAGTTTGTTTGAGGAATTCAGTTCTGAACCCCGCACGTTCCATATACAAATCCCTGCGATGTACCATGTGACCGATGTGGCCGGCAAGGAGGGAGAGAATGGTGAAAGCCTTACTGGACCGGTACAGACACTCCTGGTGTCGGCAACACTGGTCCCGGCAGTGAAGCAGCGACTGAGATGATCATGCCGAGGGACATACGTAGACACACCCTTGCGTGTTCTGTGGTGTGGGATTTACGGCGCGTCTCCTTTTTGTTCTCTTTTCATGTCATCCTCTGCATCTTGGTGAAGCTTGAAGCCAAGGCTTGCAGAGTTCTGCCTGCGTCCAAAGGCCTTCTGGGCAGATGCGGAGGCCGATACGAAGGAGGAAGCCGGCGAGACAGGGACTGTGGCAGTCGGCCGGGAGCTGAACTTCGCGGCCCCTTCCACTTTGACCCAATGGTACGCCGTGGTCCCAGGCAAAGAGCGGCTCCCTGCACTGCTTGCTGCGATCCTGTCCAGGGTTGGGGACAAAAAGTCGATTGTCTTCTTCTCGACTGGTGCTTCGGTGGACTTCCACTGCGACCTGCTTCAGGACGCATCCTGGCCTTCGCGCAGCGGCCTGCAGAAGAAAGCAGCAGGCCCAGCCATCAAAAAGCTGCAAGGTCGCTTCGTTGGCCTCGCAAAGGATGCGAAGCTTCTGAAGGAGGACGAGGAGGACGAGGAGGACGAGGAAGACGAGGAGGAGGGGGAGGACGCTGACGCTGCCCAAGAAGACCCCGAAGGGGTCAACACCGGTAAAGGCGGCGGAGGTGGTGGAGAGAAAATGCTGGCGAAGACGAAAATCTTTAAGCTACACGGGAGCCTCTCGAAGGAGGAACGAGCCGGCTATATCTCCGATTTCCTGAAGGTTCCTGGCGGAGTGCTTCTGGCAAGCGATGCTGCTTCGCGCGGGCTAGACTTCCCACAGATAGATTGGATCATCCAGTATGACCCACCGCAGAGGACTGGGCCGTTCAGCCTTGCATGACTCTGGCTTGGAAGCTTTTCGCACAACACATGCTGCAAAAGTATGCATGGAGCGAGTATATCCCTGCCGGTCAGGACAGAAGAGTATCTACACCGTGTGGGCCGCACGGCTCGCATCGGTAAACGCGGCAGCGCGCTGCTCTTTCTACAACCGAGCGAGCTCGGCTTTCTGGACGTCCTCCGTGGCCGTGGCCTCACAGACCTTCGGGAAATGTCTTTAGAGGACCGACCATGTTGAGAGCCTGTGTTTGCCGCTGTCTGCGAGCATTTCCTGAAGGTGTACAGTTTGCTTTGGTCTGATGCCCATAGATTGTGCAGGAACTGTTGGCGGGCCTACGGAGCACGGCACCCGCTTCGCTCCTGGGCGCCAGGGACTTGCAGGACGCGGGTCGCCTCCAAAAAAGTATCGGCTTCCGGCGCTAGCCCTCAAGAGGGTTGGCATTATGATCATTATGTTTATGGTTTACGGATGTTTACGGACACTTATGGCCCATTTTTGGATGTTGATGAGGGTTCCTCTGTCATCCTTGACTCCCCTTCGGGCTGTAAACGTTCAGCCTTCGAGGCCCTCCTCTCGGCTCACCTCGCGGGCCGCGTGGGCGCACAGGCGGCGCTGGCCTCCCGGGCACGCTCGGGCTTCTTGTCGTCTCTCAAGGCGCGTCAGCAGCAGGAGCAGCAGCATTCGTGATTAAGTCCAAGGAAAGAACGAAAGCAAGACGGGATGAAAATGACAACAGCCAGTTCTGATGAGCTGTTCATCTTAGTGGTTGTTCCTAAAAAGAAAGAAGCCCAAGTCCATTTGATGTCTCGCTCCTGAAAGTGAGGCCTACCGTTCCTTTCCCCGGGAGCTGCGGGCATCCTTTCCCTTCAAAGAGCTTCACCTGGGGCACTTGGCCACCAGCTTCGGGCTCCGCGAGGCACCCCGCGAGGTGGTGCAGAGGGACCGGTGTCGCGGCTTAACGAGAAGCAGCAGAAGTAGCAGGCAAACAGGTGGAAAGAGTTAGGCATTATGCAAACTATGCATATCTACGTATATATATATATATATATGCACACAACTAGTTAGGAGAATTTGCATATGTGTGCTTTGGAAACGTCGATGGACGTGCACGGCTGATAGACATGGCCCTGCGAAGACACTAGCAGTTCTTGGTGCAAAAGCTGCCCCGGTTGTGCACCCAATGAGCAAGGATTGTTAGTGACTACTAACTCAAGCGGGCATTGGTGCATCATCGCCACGGGTTCGTTCGACCACGTGTGTGGAGAATGTGTTTTTGGAGCCATCCAGATTGTTGTTGTTTCTTTTGTTCTCTCTCTATCTCTCACTCACCTTCTACAAGAGTGCTGTCTGCCCTGTGTTATGTATGCATGAGTTTGCACGTGTGCATACTGCGTCTTGGATAAGAAAGGCTCATTTCAATTGGGGTAGCTTGGCCTTTTTGTAGGGCCCTTGACTGTTGGCATTTGTGTGCCCAGGTATGAGCGGACTGCTGCGGCAAGCGAGAAGGGCCCGCGCCGCCCGAAAGACGGGGGCCCGAAAGGCAAGCGGCCAACTGGACTCAAGAAGGGCACCGGCAAAGGCCGAAAAGGCCAAAAGGGCCCCAAGGGCCCGAAGGGCCAAATGGTGGGCACCGGGAAGTCTGGCAAGTCCAAGGCTGGTTTCGGCCGCATGGATGCCGCAGACGAGTTTGCCGCCTGACGTCCCTTTACACAGCCCGGGTCGGGGCATGCGCAGTGGCCCCCCGAAAACAGTCCAGCAGAATGCTGTGAGCCCGACTGCAGGAAGCCTGAGATCTGAAAAAAAATGGAGGAGTGCCAGGAGTTTATTCTGTTCATTCAGCAGCTTCTTTGTCGAGCTAGCAGGTGCCGAAGGATGACCAGCACTGGCTCGAGCCATTCCAGTCACCGGACATGCTGGCCAGGGCCCCACTGATCCAGAGCTTGCACATCTTGCAACCTTGCACAGCCTCAAAGGCATCGCCGAAAGAGTGGCAGGGGGGGAGGGGGGGGGGGTTAGAGGGTGAGCAGGCATCACCAATCTTTAGTAACTTTCAATGCTTATGTTGTTTTTCCGGAAAAGTGAGGTGGGCATCTCGAGCCGCAGGGGCAAAAGAGGCAGTGGGCCACCCAATGTTGCCTCCCTGCGTGCTGAGTTTTGTGTCCGGCGCTGCTTTTCCAAGGTACTGACCCGCTGCCCTGCCAGGCCAGACTCTTCCACACAGACTTTCTTGGCTGGTGGTCACATGCACCACCAAGGACTGCCTCAGCCTTACGCGCTTCGATGAGGATGTCCTGTACGTGGTCAGCTTGGCTCCGAGATGCTGGAATGCGCACGAGAAACCGAACAGACAAGCCACAAAAAGTTGTTCATTTCTCTTTTGTAGGCGATGGGCACGGCCCATTTGGGCACTTGGTCGCCTTCCGTGTCGCGTCACGCCTGCCTAGTTAAGAAAGCACCAGCGCAAAGTGCCCGCCACGACCTAAATGTGATGTTCCTTCATGTTCCTTCCGTTGGCAGAGCAGAGCCAGTCGGCTTGCCCCAGCCCCCGCCCCCCCTGCCCCGCGCCACCATTTCCGGCCACATCGTGAAGAATGAGGTCGCAAAAGAGACGGCCGCGTAAACTCTACGAAGGTTAAGCACCCCCAAGCACCCACATAGAATCTGCCACAGAACTCAGAATTCCGCCAGGCAAAGTTTGCCCTGTTTCCTGGAGCGACTTCTGGCCGCGGGAGCGCAGCCCGAAGAAGCCCTGGCGTGGCTCCTAATTTCCGGGCTCTCAAAAATCGAAGTTCGAGGGTTTTTTTTTTTTTTTTTTTGGGGGGGGGGGGGGGGAGTTCCTTTCAATTTTCATCAGGATGAGTGTTTTTCGGGGTAGCTTAGGCCTGGGATGTTTAAGGATGCTTTTCGCAGAGCCACATCCCGGCACTTTGACATCTTGGCCTGCCGTCAATAAACAACGAAACAAACTCCCGCTTGGAGTGTCGGATGGCGATAAACATGTAGGTTCAACTTACCGTTTGGTTGCCGTTGTATACATGCATACATATTTATATTTGTATCTATGATTAGTCACATAATACTACATGCATCTGCATGAGCGTATGTGTGCGTACACGTAGAAATATATACATATACATAGTGCTCGCATATATTTCCATATAGACGTATATAATTACAGATATACATGCATCATGCACACACACATATTTATATATACATATACAAACATACAGTATCTATCATTTATTTGCACCTTTGCACATAGAAGTATGTGCCCAGGCTACGGAGAGGAAGGGTTCTGGCATGAGTAATGTTGAAGGAACGCATGGTGCAACTTCTTCCGCTTGTGCACAAGCTGTTTGATCGCTCCGAGGTGCAGGTCTTTCCGCAGGTGGCCGAGGATGTAGCCGCCTTTGCCAAGGCAAGATACATCGACATTTCATCGCCAGGCAGCCCAGACTATCACAGACTGGAGGGCTTTGGAGGTAACTCTGAAAGAGTGGGGCAGAACTCAAATCAGAAATCATGTCAAAAATGCCGACGTTGCCTGTCGTGGCAATTCTCTTCGCCTCAGGTCCGGAGCAACCTGCAGCCTGGCGTTCCGGCGTGGTGCCGAGGTGAAAGTGGCCTCGGTCTCAGGACAGAGGCTCCCCTTCAGGTCCTATATAAGGGTCAGGTGCTCAGGTGGTCCATCACATCCATATCGATCAAACCTAGGCTTGGCTTGGGGACTCGCGCGTCTTGGTGGCGACCGCCGCAGCCTCACAAAACCCGTCAAAGCTGCGGTAGAGATCCGCACCTGGGTACAAGCTGCGCTGCAACTGCAAGGGCATCAATGATGAACGATGCTTGGGTAGAAGCCTGAAGAAAAAGCAAGCGAGGTCACCGCCACAAGCCGACGGGTCGACTTGGCCCCCGCCTCTGCGAAGGAGATGTGGCAAGATGCAATAGAAAGAAATGGGCTTCGAAGCATGCAGCTGTGGACTCCTGCAATGCTTCGCCAAGTATCTCAGGTCACTCCGCCTCACACCACGGAGGACGGCCGGGATCGTTGCGGCATTGTCAGTCCGGCGTTTGGCATGTTGCAGAGTGTGCGTGATGGACTGCGACTCTCCTTCGTAGGCATCTGTGTCAGAGGAAGCCTTGAGCGCACGGATTGCGATGCCTCAGGACGTCAAGGAGCTGCAGCGTTCTCGGAACAGCGGTGCCAAGCTGGTTCAGGCGGACTGCTTGCATCCGATACTGCGGCTAGGGCTGGCATTTGTTTGGCGCCTTGGCCTGCCAACTACTCGCCTCATATGTCTCAAAAAGCGCAATGCAAGGTTGGCACATGCCGGCTGCCAAGAACACGTCGGAAAGCGAGCCATGGAAAATGAAGGCCCACTTGAGGAACCGGGTGTCGGAGAAACTTCCGACTGCACCACTGCAGTCGCTGAAGCAGAGCCTGCCTCCAGCAAAAATCCAGTTCTTAAAGCGCTACTGCATGTGAAATGGGCGAACTGGCTCCAGAAGGCCGGGCAGCATGAGCGTGCAGCAGAGCACTTCGCGGCTTCGCTTGCGATCGTTCCCTCTGGCCAAGCCTTTTTCGGGCAGGGAGTGGCCTTGGCGAAGCTCCGGCGGCGCCAGGAAGCTGCCGAGGCTTTCCAATCCGCACTTTCACGGTGCCCACGGATGGCTGGTGCTTGGATCAACTTGGCGGGTGTCGAGCTTGCCTTGGGCCGCTGCGAGTCTGCGGAAAGTCACTGTCGCCAGGCTTTGGAACTTGAGCCCGGCAGCCGGGAGGCGGTGATGAACTTGGCAAACGCCTTGCGCAACCTGGGGCGTCGGCAAGAAGCCATCGAGGTGGTGTGGGAGCACATCCTGCAGCATGAGAAGAAGGAGAGGCCATCGGCCCTGAGACTTGCTGATGCGAAGATGGCGGAGCCACACCAAGATCCGTCGTTGGTTGTGACGTGCCTCAAGTGGGGGAAGCGCTACTCTGCCGCTTACGTCAACCGACTCTACACAGCCTCGCGGCGACAGCTACGAAGGCCTGCTCGGTTCGTTTGCTTCACGGAGGACCGAGCGGGATTGGATGACGGCATCGAAGCACGGCCGCTGCCCGACAACCTGCCGCTCTGGTGGGGCAAAGCGTATCTCTTCAGTGAGGAAGCAGGCCTCGATGGCCACCGGGTATTGTTCTTGGACCTCGACCAAGTCATTGTTGGAGACCTTGATCCTTTCGCTGATTACACTGGTGCATTTGCTGTGCTTGGCACAGAGGACGTCGCCTGCGAGCTGGCCGTCGGAGGATATAACTCGTCAGTGATATGCTGGAAAGCCTCGCCTTTCTTCCGGCAGCTCTACCAGTGCCTGACGCCTTCTGTTCTTCGGTTTGTGCATCGCTTCGACCACTGGCTCGAAATGATGGTGGAGGACGCCGACAGATGGCAGCAACTTCTGCCGGGAAAGGTCCTGGACTACACCGCCTTCTTCCGAAACGGGGTCTGCTTGGGATGCGAAGCCGATGACGGCAGCTTTGCAGCTGGGGGATCTGGGGGTCCAGCCGAAGGCCAAGAGGCTGTGGAGGCTGTGGAGGTGCACCAAGTCGTGGATCCAGTGGATCCTCCTGAAACGTGTGCCATTGTGACTTTTCCCCGAAGCCCCAAACCGCATGAAGTGGTGGACCTGCACAGCTGGGTTCGCACCCACTGGCTGCAGCCACGTCTGGACACTCAGGGATATGTGGCATGATGCATCTGGGCGCTGGCTGGAGCCCAGTACCTCTTTTTGGCAGGAGAAGGGCATCCGCATGGAAGAGGCCACGGGCGAGATCCACTTGGACGTCCACACAGAAAAAATTGGTGGCAAGGATTGAGAGCTCTCAACTGTCGAAGATGACGACCCAAAGTGAGTTGTTTGCAGCATCCAAGGAACTGGAAGATTCGCAGCAGCAGTGCTGTAATGCTGCGCGTCTGTCTTCAACCAAGACAGAGTCAAGTTCTAGCAGGTGATCTGGATGCTGGGATGCTGTGCAAAAAGCCACCCTAGGGCGATACCCTGACGGACCATATGCCATAATAACCAGTAAAGGTTGCTGAGGTGCGTGGTGACAGGAAGAATCTTGTGGGAAACAGATGGAAACAGCTCGAAATAGCTCGAAACTAGCAACAGCTTGTAGCCTCCCGTGCCCGCCTGTTTTACGTTAGAGCAAGCGCTTTGCACGCACATGCGTACCGCACCCTGTGGACAAAGAACCTCGTTATTAAGTTGTACTCTTTGAATCCTGCCACCCCCCCCCCCCCCCCAAAAAAAAAAAAAAAAAAAAAAAGCAGCAGCAGCAGCAGCAGCAGCAGCAGCAGCAGCAGCAGCAACAGCAACAGCAACAGCAACAACAACAACAACAACAACAACAACAACAACAACAACAGTTGTCGCCAGCCAGGTCCCACCAAATTCCGGACATGTCCGGAACTCAGAGAACCCTGTAAACCCTTGCAACCTTGAAACCCGATAGACCCGAACAAGAACCCTAAGAACTCATTGTTGTGTGCGACATCAAGTCATCTGAAGGGCCTTCAAAAAGCATGACGCGCTTCCTCTCGAGAGCATCTAAGGTACGCCTCTTCACGCCGGTACGCTACGCCCCCTTTTCTTTTTGCACATCCCAGGCTTTTTTCTTGGTAGCTCTGCTCTGCTCCGCTCTTGGTTTCTTGCACAACTGCTGTCAACCCCCTGGATTTTCGCGCAGATCTGAGGGTTTTTTTGAGAGAAGGTCGGAGAGGGCCTCTATACTTTGAGGCGCCTGTCTGCCTTTTGGTCTCGGCACGGGCCACGCAGGGCGAGCGCTACCCGGGCCTCTACGCAACCCGCGCTTTCGGAGATCTCGCTGGGCAGGCGCCAGGGGACCGGGCCTGGGACCCACATGATATCATGATGGGAGCCCCAACTTTTTTCTCCCCAGAAACCCCTCTGCAATCGGGGCTTCAACGCTCAAGGCGCGACATCGCGTGTTCTGAAGCAGGAAGTCGCGCAGTTGGTGGGATGTGGGGGAGGCATGAGCAAGACATCCCGTTGATGGGGAGGGCACGGGGGAGGCGGAGGGAGCGCCATCTTATATGTATATGTATGTGGATATATATATATATATATATATATGCATGCATGTATGTATGTATATACGCGCCCACTCATTCCGTCGTAGCAAAAGGGTTGGGTTTTATCCGAGCTTGATCTGTTTCTGCTGTCAGGCCCATCACCCTAGCTAAGGTTCAGGGATACAGACTCCCGTGTCGGGCAGTTGGCTCGCACAGGTTCAGAAAAGGGTACCCGGTAGGACTGAGCTGTGGGAGTCACCCGGGATTTCCCGACTATAGGGTTCAGGGTTGGGTCTCGCGGGTCCCATGCGCGATGTGTGGGGCATCATTGTTCTCGGTTGGGCTAATGCAGTTGCTTAAATGTGACTTGCAGAGCTTGTGCGCCAGGCTCTCGGCGTCATCTCGCAACCCGACATCCGCAAGACATCGTTCGAAAGGACTCCGACGGGAATAGCTGTATGACACCAGGGGAGCCCCGGGAGAACCAGGGACATTCTTAACACCATTCACAGGAGGTATCACAAAATGGCATGAAGACTTCAGTTCAGCCTCACGTTTTCTGTCGGATTTTCATGTAGCCTTGCTTGGACTGGAGGACACCTGGCTTGGTCTTGCTGGGGTCTGGCGGCTTCTGGGAAATGCTGGATGACTCCAGGCTATTGTTGCTCACAGCACGAAAGAAAGTTGGTTCGAAGGACAGCTACGCTTCAAGAAGTCTCAAGGTTAGTTGCTGTGAAGGCCTGGCGAAGAAGCCTTGCAGCTGCTGACAACCTGCCGCTTGAAGGAGTGTGGTGAGAGCCTCAACTGGAGACGACAGCAGCATGTCCTTCTGACCGAGAGTGCTTTTCATGCGCTGCATGTTGGAGGCCCTCGCATTGCGGCTGGCAAGCTTGCGGCAGAGGCTCTGTCCAGATGGCACCAGGCACGTGGTCATGGGCAGGATTCGGTCCTCAGCGAGAGGGGTGCTGGGTGGAGGCAGTCAGCGTAGGTCAGAAGTCACAGGCCGCCGACGGCTGCTCAGACGACGTTTCCTGCATCCTGCGCTGGCCTCAGCATCCCTCAGCGACATCTCACGAACCTCAGGCCCCCAGACGTACGTCCAGGCAGTCTTCCACCTACTTGTAGCCTATGCACGCTTCCCTATAGGCTGCACTGGACGCAATCGCCTGCGCTTGAGGGAGGCAACGGAGAGGGTCCCACTACACTCTACACTTGCAGCGTGATCTCTTTTTGCGCACGTCTTCAGCCCAGAGACTCCGAGATGCTTCCAGAGGACCTTGTCCGCAGCATGTTGCGGGTGCCCTTCCGGCAGCGGCTGCAGTAGCGGCAGCCTCACCGCAGGAGTCTGAGAGGTGCTAGCATTTTCTAGCGCTATGCACAAGCCAACTCACGCCCCTTTCAGAACTCAGAAGTGATGAGGTGCCGCACAATGCCTCAGGAGCTGCCAGCACGTTGAAAGACAATCATGCTTTAGTCGTGCAAATTGTGTGTGTGTGTGTGTGTGTGTGTGTGTGTGTGTGTGTGTGTGTGTGTGTGTGTGTGTGTGTGTGTGTGTGTGTGTGTGTGTGTGTGTGTGTGTGTGTGTGTGTGTGTGTGTGTGTGTGTGTGTGTGTGTGTGCTTGTGTGTGTGTGTGTGTGTGGTGTGTGTGTGTGTGTGTGTGTGTGTTGTGTGTGTGTGTGTGTGTGTGTGTGTGTGTGTGTGTGTGTGTGTGTGTGTGTGTGTGTGTGTGTGTGTGTGTGTGTGTGGGTGTGTGTGTGTGTGTGTGTGTGGTGTGTGTGTGTGTGTGTGTGTGTGTGGTGTGGTGTGTGTGTGTGTCTGTGTGTGTGTGTGTCTGTGTGTGTGTGTCTGTGTGTGTCTGTGTGTGTGTGTCTGTGTGTGTGTGTGTGTGTGTGTGTGTCTGTGTGTGTGTGTGTGTGTGTGTGTGTGTGTGTGTGTGTGTGTGTGTGTGTGTGTGTGTGTGTGTGTGTGTCTGTGTGTGTGTGTGTCTGTGTGTGTGTGTCTGTGTGTGTGTGTCTGTGTGTGTGTGTCTGTGTGTGTGTCTGTGTGTGTGTGTCTGTGTGTGTGTCTGTGTCTGTGTCTGTGTCTGTGTCTGTGTCTGTGTCTGTGTCTGTGTCTGTGTCTGTGTCTGTGTCTGTGCGTCTGCGTGCATGTGCATCGCGCGCCCTCAGTGATTATTTACTTTACTACGGTAGGGCCTGATGTTGAGGCTTCCAGGCTTAGCTTAGCTCAACGAGCCGACCCAGGACGATTCAAATTCATCACTGGCCGGCGACATGGGATTGTATTCAGATACCTCACATCTTTCTTTCTCTTGCGGTGGCCCTTCCCGCATCTGGACAACTGGTGAGAAAGGTGTGAACCTCGGGCAGCGGCACAAAGACTACACAAACTCTCCCTCCTCCGTTGTGCTTGGGCGGCCGTGCAGGCTTCAAAAAGTAGGGCGAGACCGAGTGGGCCCTACACCAAACAGCACGGAAGTAGCCCATAGCAAAACTTCGTCGTTGGGGATGGGTTGAGCATTGGCCGGCATCCGTCTTGGTGTCGAGTGTTCGCGCTCGGTGCTGGAGTGTCGGGCCGGCTCACTGTGCATCTGGTGCATGGTTGGTCGGGGGAGCGGTGCTTGCCCTCTGTGCTTGGAGACGGTATCAGCACATGGAATTTGCATGCGGCGGTAGCTCCCCTCGGCGTGGAGTGTGTGTTGTGAATTTAGAAGTTGCCATTGTGCTTAAGCTGCAGACTTGAGTTGAAGATAGCTGGGAGGAGTTTCCCAGGCATTCATCCCCAGGAATCTTGTATCTTCAGTCCGGAAGTGTTTTCGAAGATTTGGAACACTTTTGATGGCCGGCAAGCTGACGTGCCCTTCGATGTGTTTTTGTGACAGGACTCAGCTTTGGCTCCAGACACGTCACTCTGTCCCAAGGACCATGCCTTCCGACTTAGGCAGTGAAGTTTAAGGTTTAAGGCTTAGGGTTCAGCAAGTCCAGCCGTAGGGTTGTGGATTTGTGGCTGAGTTGTGCTGGGGTAGCACAGGACTTCGAGCAACAGATCTTGACCACCGCGGAGGCACAATGCTCAGTGGAACGAGAGACATGAAACACCCCACCAGAGGTTTACGAGGATGGCACAGTACAAACAATGTGCATCTCACATCTCAAGCGCCATAATGTGTATAGGACCTGTTAAGGCTTCTTTTCGAGCCACAGCCTTTTGCGCTGCCTTTTGTTAAGAGGAGGTTCAAGCGCCACTTCCGTGAGAGCTCATGTTGATCGCGAGGTCTCGGGTGCTATCGGCGCATGGCTCCGCGAGCCGTGCTTCGGACGAACGTAGGGCTGTATAGATATATATGATATAGATATTTATAGGGCTTGAGGAGCAAGGCCGGATGAATTGCAGGGTTTCAGAAGGCGAGAATTGCACTGCAGTCACTCCTCATGAACAAACGTTGGTTTGGGGGTTCGCTGTCCCGTCGTGCGAGCTGGGGCGTGGTCAGCGAAGCCGCAGAACTATAAAGATGAGTTAAGCCTTGGGCCTCGGACAACCCAGGCTTTCGGACAATCGAATCAGCTTGAAGCGCTTGGACACCGCAGGACCGGGGCATGTTGGGATAGATTCGTATGGGTAGCGCGGGTGGCAAAAAAAGGATGCAAAAAGCTGGGTTCCCAAAGATCTTTCTAGAGAGATAGGGATTGTAGTATCTGCATGAGCCGTCAAGCCGTGGCCCTGTGAGCCCTGAAGCCAGGACTTATCCAGGCGCTTCCAGCGTTCCAGGAGGGCTGCCGTGCTCAGGCCGGCCAAAGAGAGGATTTCACAAGTCCAACGGGGAGGTGCGCGGCACTAGCGCCGAAACAACCGACGTTTAGAGGCCAGCTTTTGCAGCCGCCGCGGCGTGGAGCAGAGCAAGGCGCGGAGAGGGGAGCCGGATGCTGCCTCAATCATCTCTGTTTCCGTCGAAGGGCTTCCATACGATGTTGCGGCTGCGTTGTAGCTGATTCTTTCCACTTTCTCCACTTTTCACGAGAGTTGGACGCGGGGTTGGATAGCAACATTGCGCTGCCAAGAGTGAACCGGGACCCAAGCCCAAGTGAGGCGAGGAATTGCCGTTGAAAAGACGCTCCCAGTGTGGGCATGTGGGCACCCGCCAAGGATTGCTTCAGCATTACCCGCCGGGCTGGTATGGCCCTCTATGTAGCGAGATGCTTAGCTTGCGGGAGGTTGGCACAGGAGGGTTTTTGGAACATATTTTCAATGCTACCATTTTAAATTATTAGCCATTCAGATCTCGGATGGCAAGCTGAGGTGTGCAACGGCTTCGGTCCACTTGGCCAAGTCGTGGCCTTCCGAGTCGCGCAGAGCATCCCAAAGTACCTCTTCGAGGCATCGCAGGAGGCGCCAAGCTGCCCCAAGCTGAAGCACAGCTCTCTATGAAAGAAACGTATTTAGAGAGACACAAAAAAGCGCGAACGCCGCAATGGACTTGCGGAGGAGGGATGCGTGCAGGTGCCAGAGCAGCCAGAGCAGCTCGTGGCCCGCGCCTTCCAAGCCGCAGCTGCCGAGCTCACGCGCTTTGCAGATGCCGCCAAGTGTGACCTCGCGGAGTCTGGCAGCACGGCGTGGAAGACGAGAAATGGAGCAAGAATGAGACATCCGCTGTATCGCCCTATCTAGTGAAAGTTACCGTACCAATCTGCGCAATGCAGAGCCCCATCAATTCATGTGCCGTGTGCTGCTTCATGCAATTCACGCGTCAGAGCTTTGATACCCTTAAGGCGCCAGCGTGGCAGCCGTCCTCCGGCAGGTGCGCTTCGACTTGGATTGGACAAGAACTGATCGGAAGGCTCCCTGAAAATGGACAGGACAACTCCGTCCACTTGGCTTGGCTGGGGGAAAGCCGTGTGCTGGTGGCCACCACCGCTGGGCAGCAGAGCCCTCAGCATCACCAGGCACCTTGAGGAGTGTGAGTAGTCATGTCAAGGAGCCCGGATAAGATGCATATTCAGGTTCAGCCGCGTGGATCTTCTGAGCCCTCAACACACGTCGGAAGGTTCGCTCTTGAGGGCCTTTGGCAAGGCTGCTCGGTGACATTCGACTGTGCCCCTTGCAGCCACGTGCTTAACCACGTGAGCTCCCACGCGAGTGAGCTGGTGAGAAGCGGCTCCCCAGGCTTCGTCAAAGCCCGACTTGGCCAAGACCTCCTTCGACTCGACTCCAGGACTGGTCCTGTTCGGAGCCCAGGACATGCGCTACTCATACTCTTTCTAACACTTGCGGCCTGCTATGCCCTGCTGCTGTGCCCTTCTGCTGCAGACCTCCCTCTCTGCCCATGTTGTGAGAGGCTCGGCTCGGGCCACCTCTACCAGTCCATGTCCGGAGAAGCTGCTTGGCGGAAAATGCGTCTTAGACTCTTCGGACTTGAGATGTGCAGGGCACCTGCTTTTGGCATGGCCGAGGAGGCTTTGGGAGTTCTCCGCCAAGATGCTCCTCTTAGCACGGCGGCAGGCAGCCCTGCCAAAGGCAGACATGGGATTACTGGGCGATTTATTGTTGACACCAGGCTTTTGATGTCTCCACTCGCTCCCAACAAGCTTGTCGGCAGGGGGCACTAGCAAAAGGAGGGCGTGCTTTGCTAGCAACCATATTGCGATCTTTTGCTTTGCTGTTTTCTTGCGTGGCCTTGGTCCAGTCCTTGCTGCTGTTTCTATCATCCACGCTTTGGAAAAACAATGGTGAACATAATGCCAAGCCAAGCCAAGCCATAATCACAAAGGTCTACATCTTGCATCAACGTGCAATGCCTGGATTGACAGTGTTTGCTACGTGTTGCGCGTGTGGACTGAAGCAGTGCCAGCGCTGGAGCAGCTGCCAATATTGATGGGGACTGCAATCTAAGCCAAACCATGTAAATGCAGCTTTGCGAGGTTTCTTCGGTTGAGTTTGCCTCTCCCAGATGACATGCTATACCAAACACGAAGAAGCCTTGTGGCACCCTACTGTACCAGGTGAGGACCCAGAGTTGCCACATTGGAAGCAAAGTGGTTGATGCCATCTTGAACTAGTCAGCTTGCATCGGCTACTTCTTGCAAGTACCAGCGTCCCCCCCATGCCCCATGCCTCCACCCTGCCTGATGATTCCCACCGGGATTCTTCGCTTTCAAGTCGGAGGTCCGGACCTGGGCAAGCTGTGCGACTCCTGGCAGAAGACGTGGGATGGCAGGACGAACCTGATGTGCTTCCTTCTGTCGCTGTGCAGCAGCCAGCCTTGTACTGTAGATGTAGATACTTCTGCAATTGACACTGCTCCAGGCGGAGCATATGTGAGATACACATCTCTCAGTATTGTGCGTCCTTGCCGTACGTATATGTATTTTATCTAGTCACTTACATGGTTTAGTCTGGAGTCTAGAGTCCGAGATATTCGGAGCCATATGTTTCGTTCTTCCGATCACATGCAGAGCCAAGAGCGACGTTGCTGAGGTGCTGGAGCGAGGAGTCTTCTCAGCCCGCCCCGCAGGTGGTGCCAAGCAGCAAGCTGCCCAGTTGTTGCAAAGCTGTACAGAAAGCAACGCCGGTAGTGGTCTGGGTTAGGGGGGTTTGCCGCTCGTATACCGGGCACGGTTGGGGGTAAGGTTTGCCAGCAGCTCCAGCAGATTCTTCTCCTACAAGGCACTGGAGACATGTGGTAGTGCCAAGGGGCCACTTCCTTCATGGGCCGCGAGGTCTGCCCATGAATCTGCGATTCTGGCGGGCAAAGCACGTGACTGGGTTGCAATGCAGGGTTGCAACCCGTTACAATGTTTTGCCCCTCGCCACCTCGCTGTTCGCTTGCTCAGGCTACCTGCAGGCCAAGCCCCTGAGCGAAGCTTTGCAGGCATCTGCCAACACAATGAAAGCACCTGCAAGACACATCAAGCTACCTATGTAGCTACCTGCTTTTGCTGTTGCCAGGCATGCCCTGAAGCGCCGACTCCTCCACAGCCAGCTTCGCCAACCAAGGCCACGCCAAACCGCTAAACTCACATCTATCACACAGCATGGGGCCGTGACTATCCGCGACTGCTCGTGAGGCGGAGGCCTTCCATTGCCCGCAGTGTGGCACAAGGATCCCGGCAACCGCGCGGTTCTGCAAAAACTGCGGACACAAGCTCGACTTGTCGGAGCCGGAGGTGGCCACACTGAGCCAAACAACCCCATATAGGAGTAGCAGAGATGGCGTCGGGGTTTGGAAGAAGGCTGGTTTTGAGTTTTGACATTCTCGAAACGGAGAGATGATCAGCCCTGGAGGCGCCGGCGCGGCAGGCAGCTGCGGCCACCCAGCCGTCCCTTCCGCACCTCAGCGAGGCGTCCAGGACGGAGTGGGAACTCTGCAGGGGTCCGCAAGGGGCCGAGCTGAGATATCCGACATGACTGAAGCGCCCCGCGCGGCACATTGCTTCGAGTTGCGTCGATCACGCAAAGAACTATTTCAAGGCCGCCTTCTATAATGCCAACAAGGCGATATCCCTTAGCAGCTGACATATAGCTGATAGGGTGCTTTTTCCACTCCTCCGACCAATTTACCCCGCATTGCTGTGGCTAGTCGGGTGGCAAAAAAAATAAGCCCACTTATATATAACAGGCACCAGACATGGGTTATCCTGAGTTTGCTGCAACTCGGTACCACACCAAGCTGCCACTGATCCACGCAGGACATACCAGGGAGCCGGCCCTTCGGCAGTCCCTCCGGGCCCTATGGTCGGGCCCACGCCTACGGTCCCAGCCGCATCGGCCGAGCTTGCCAGCGGCCCTGTGCTGACGCCCAACTTTGCCCCAGTGACTGCCGGGCCCTGATGAGTTGTTGGGCCTTCGTGTACGCTGCGTGCGAACTATACTCTATAAATACGTCTAAATAGAAACAAGTAGTACTCACGTGTCTCATAGCCCATAAAAGCCATCTGAGGGGAAAGCGCCAAGCTTGGCGGCCCTGGCTTCAGCGCCCGCGAAGCGCCTGGATGCTGCACAGAGGCCAGTTTCTCTTGGGAGCACGAGGAAGCAGATATAAGAAGACCTTCAGACTTTCAGACCGCAAGTGCACGAGCTGCCGCTGAGGTATGCGCTGGCAGCCGGCATGCCGGCACTCACGCCACAATTTGCTCCAGCGGCTTGCCCAACGAATCATTGAAATATCAGCGCATACCGGCGTATGTCAGATCCTGCAGAACACGTTTCGTGTCATCAAGGAGCATGTATATGTTACCTTTCGCCTCACTACCGCTGGCGCCTGTCCATGAGGTTCGCCAAAGTTGAAGGACTCCGCAGATGTCGCAGCCCTCTATCGCAGCGCGCACTGTGTCATGCTACAGCACTCCATGTGCCGTGTCCTTTTTGGTTTGTGCGCTGCTTTGGATGGTGGCGGCTTCCGCTGCATGTCGAAAGTTTAATGCTTAATGTCGTCATTAGCCACCGTCTCGTGCTCCGGCGCAAGGAAGCCTCAAAGGGATTAACAATCCAGGCAGATGCCCGAGGGCTATGCGCCGATGCGTTTTCAGCGTGTCCAGGCAGCTCTTGAATGCAAAGCGTACCCCGTTCATTCCCATTCCACATTTCCACACTGCAGCTCAAGCTCAGCAGAAGAGGGTTGGCCAAGCGACCTGCGACACGCACACTCTGCTATAGAGCAGACCCAGCCTGCCAAAGATTTGCAGATGGGGTCGCGAGCCTCGATCGCAGGGTTGAATCACTGAATGCAAGAAGTGGGTTGAATGCGGCCAGCTGCAAAAAGGAGTGACAGGTATGTGAGAGGCATTTAACAGGCCAGCTTTCGTCCCAGTGGCCATGTGGTTGCTCATGTTAGTTGGTTGTCATTTCCCGGGACTCTTCTTCTCTTGGTACCAAACAAGCCCTCTTAGCCACTATTAACCGCTAGAACAGTCTTTTGGCGTGCAGCAACTAGAAAGCGTGGAATTCATAGATCATGCAAAATGGGGCTGTTGGGGGGGGGGGGGGTTTGAAATGTTCATTACTATGGTGGGTTCAGGGGCCAGACCAAGATTACTTTCATGGGGCTGTGAGTCAAAAATCAGTTGATATTTAATAGTGCAGCCCAAAGACCCCTAAAACCTGGTACAAAAAACTGGTTTGTTTGGCTCGCGAGAAAACCTTGCAAAATCAAGTTGAAAGGCCCAACGAACGCACGACTTTAGCACTGGGCCTCATATATTTTAACACATAGTGTGAATACGTGTGCGCACAAATTTAACCTGGTAAGCGCACAAAATGAGGGTACGAACGAAATTCACTGAAGAATAGGAGCGCCCCCAAAGTCGTTTGTTTTTCATGGGCTATGAACGTCCAAAATCCTGTCTAACGTACATTAACAGGCCCTGGATGACTTGGTCCCACAAAACCCAATGGCAGTGTGTGGATATATCTACAAATAAGTTTTGTCTATCAATCTGTTTGTTATTTTTCCGATGATGTCCTATGGCGTGTTGGGCTCTAGCCTTCGGACGCGCCTTGTCGGCCTTTGGCCGTGAACGGCCTCGAGCTCAGTTCAGCTTTGGGCTGCGCGCCTTACACGCAATGCCCTGACGGGTACACGCACACGCGCGCGCGCGCGCGCGCGCCCACACACACACACACACACACACACACTCTTGTGCATATCTCCGCGCCAAGTCTCAAATCCTTTCACCTGAGATTTCACCTTCTATCCTGTCAATTAGAAGCATGCACTCACTCGCAATCACTCGCAATCAGTCAGACCTAGTCATGCAGGTACGTTTACACCCCTCCCTGGGGGCGTCTTCGTTGGCCAGCGACCCCCAGGGAGAGAGCTGGCCCCCTGCTTCAAATCTGGCTTTCAAAAACAGACCTTGCACAACAGCGACTGACTCCCTTGGTGACAGGGTTGGCACACACACACCTTTCAATCAGAAAGGTGGAAGCAACTCTGACGCAGTCTTCATAGAAAAATTGAGGCGCAATCGCAGGCACTCTAACGCACATGTCAGAAGAACATGTCCACGAGAAATGCAGCTACACTCTTCACTTTTGTTACGTATCACGTTCGGCACTCACAGACGCGGTGAAACCGGAGCGCTCTCAAGCAAGCAAGCTGTCAAGTGAAGTGTGTCCCTGTCCGGTGAGGACTTTGTATGCTTTCGAGTCTGCAGCACGCTCTGACCAAGTTAAACCTTCAGCAGCAATAGCTTCGGCTTCCAGATTTCTGAATGTCTCCAGTAATGAACCAGCAATCCAGCGGGATCCTCAGACGAGCTGCAAACGCATTGAATGTACTACCAGCTCATTGCTCAGAACACATCAAAGAACAAGCAGCCACGTCAACAGCAGCCCTTGGGTGGAGATATTACGGATTGAAACATGCAGTCTGAGTTCATGCTACCTCCTGAGGTCAAACCTGTTCAGCATCTGTTCATTGAATCGTACTGACTGTAAGCACAGTCGTAATGACAGGCAAGAGACTGTGTCTGGTGCAGACGCACTTATGAAGATGAATTCTGTCAGACTGTGGCCCCGATCAAGGGGCGAATGACTGGTCAGCCTTGACCAAATAGACTCAGCAGGCAACCCTGCCGCAGACAGCGCGGTCAACGAAAACTGTCTGGAGCACACTTGTGCATATCTCCACGCCAAGTCTCAAATCCTTTCACCTGAGATTTCACCTTCTATCCTGTCAATTAGAAGCATGCACTCACTCGCAATCACTCGCAATCAGTCAGACCTAGTCATGCAGGTACGTTTACACCCCTCCCTGGGGGCGTCTTCGTTGGCCAGCGACCCCCAGGGAGAGAGCTGGCCCCCTGCTTCAAATCTGGCTTTCAAAACACCTTGCACAACAGCGACTGACTCCCTTGGTGACAGGGTTGGCACACACACACACAGACACACACACGCACGCACGCACGCACGCAAGCCCACGCCCACGCCGCGCACTTGCACACCAACACACACGCACAAATAGATACATGAGCATATATGTATATATGTATATATATATATGTATGTATGTATATCTGTCTACGCCGAGAATGGAATAAGACCAGATATTTTTGAGCATGAGAAGTGCTGCCGGAAACTCAGTTCGACTAAGAGCGGCGCATCGCACACCGGGCGCCCAGGCTTCCGAAGGAGGTCTGCCGGTCTGCCTGGCATTCTTGACACCGGGAGTTGCCCTGGAGGGTAGTTGGACTTGTTTAGCCTGTGGTTGCACAGCATGTGTTGAGGGGCATTCCCAGCCAATTTTACGTAGAGGTGCCCCCTCAGACCTACAAGGCATCTGCTCGAAAATGGAATGTCTTACGTCCCCAGCATTTTTCGCCCCATGCAAGTTGCAGCAGTTTCTACTGCAAGCCATTGCTGAGCATGCATGTTCGGCAATGTACTTTCTTTGTCTGCGGTTGTGCTTAAGACTCACGGCTCCGAGAAGTCTTGAGCACAACTTGGGCAGCCTTCTCGGCACATTCAATGTGAATACATGGTTCAAGATGACGAGGGTTAGGCTTTTCAATCTCGAATCCAATTCTGCATTCAACGGGAATCTGGGCCTTTGCGATATAGAACAGAGCATATGAAATGGAGATGGATGGGAAACATCGCTGAGAGATTTCAGGGATGGCAACACGAATGGGACTATTTGGACCTTAGCGAGATTGCAGCATCATCATGAAACACATATGCGCCTGAAGATTAGTTGTTATTAAAGGAAGACGGGGGCCAATGTTGAATAGAGAGGCCTGTATCGTCCTCTGTTGCAAGAGTCCATGCAAGGTCAGCACTGCCAGATGCCTCCCGAATATGGGCCGGCATCAACCTCCTCGCGGAAGCCAGGACGCTCCAACATTCTTTAGTCAGTCCAGCCAGTAGTGCAGGAGTGCAGGAGGAGCACATGTGGCCAGGCTAGGAAATGCTAGGAACAGATGATATGCAAGCCGTCTCTCGATTGCTGGCGGCCGCAAAAGGGAGAGATAGAGAGGGAGGACACCCCCCCCCATGCCCAACAGCAGAAGAAAGTGGAAGGGTCGCAGCACGTGTTGCAGTGCAAGCTCTGTCGAGGAGGTCTGGAGGCAGTCGAGACGGAAGCCCGTTGCCAGAGTTACTTCAAGTGGTCCAGAGCTCAGAGGGGCAGCACCTTCTTGAGATTTCTTAAGCCCATTTATTGATGCCAATTAAGCGAAAACGTGTGAGTCGTTGCCCCAAGGCTAGATGACGTGCTGGAGAGCCCACACGGCCGGGTGTTTGCTGGCGTGCTGGGACTCTGGGTCGCAGGCCATGGCTTTTTTCTTTGCCGTCTCTTGCAGACTTCTCGCAGAAGCAAGTATAAAGGGCAAACATGTGGGGCCTTCCGGGGCCTTATACTTTGAACTAAAGATGTGCTGGAGATTGCATTGCCCCAAATGACAGGTTGGACTTTGATGCAGGTGAACATGTGGAGGGAGCCCGGCGCTCAACAGCACTACCTCAGCTGCACTAGAGGTCCCTAGCTTGGGTCCCCTCCGGCACTAAGGCTCACGCCGGTGTACCGGGAAACCTCCTGTGGCCGGCAGGAGTCCATACTCAAGGAGTTCAAGGCGGCTTTCAACAAAGAGCCCTCTTCAAAGCAACGGACAACTCATGCCGACCATGGTCAGTTGGGTTTGGACGAGATCTATGTCGACTTGCAGATCAGTGTGTTCGGACCTCGGTAATGTGCATGTCCTGCCATACGGAACCTTGCCGAAGCTTCCGACATTCCAGGCACTGCCAGAACCCCAATCCGTACAAGATCAATATCCTGGATTCAGAGTCGCTGACTCAGAAGTTCTTTCTCGTTTCCTCATCTTGCATTGAACCACTGCTTGACTTTTGAGGCCCGGCATAGTCCAAATTGTCGCTGGAGCACGGGACCTGGGAAGAAGCCGTTGTGCGTGTGCGTGAAGATCTTCAGGCAACCCCGGTCTTTTCCTGAGGCAAGGCCCCAGGACAGAATCGCGCAGCGCTCAGTTCGGGGGGGGGGGGGGGCCTTCTCTTCTCTTGACCTCTTTTGATCAGAACTACAATATAGTAAGTACATAGTAAGTATACGTGATGAGACGAAATTGAGGACGTCGGGCGGCTCAAGGTGAAGCCTGGCTCCAGCCTCTCCCGCTATGGGAAGGGGTCATCCTGGCCTCTTGTCTCTTCGAGGACAGCCGCGACTTTGCTTGCTTGATCCTTTGGCCAGGGTGGTCTTTGTGGACATGAATGCCACGATACAGAAGAACATCAGTGAACGACTCTTGCCAGTCTTTCTGAACGTTCGGGCCTCAAAAATCCATGCTCGGACAAGGGCACGGTCCTCAGGGGGTATTCCGGAAAGCCAAGCAGGGACGCGCACCCCCCGGGCAACCCGTGTAGACCCCACGAATCAAGAAAGAGAGAGCTGAGGGGGGTCAAGTGCACAGGAAGGAAGCAACGAGAGAGAGCCACGTTATTGTTTGTGTAAGCCGCCTATGGATAAACCTGCCAAGCAAATGTGAGAAGATTGAGAGTTATTGAAATTTTTGGTAGGGCTCGCGACAATTTGAACCGGAACAGCGTCCGATCCCATAAATCTGGTTATCCGTCCGATCCCATAAATCTGGTTATCCAGAATCTGATTGGCTGGTGTTTAGTTTTCCTGAAGCTAAGTAGCACCTAGTCGTGCCCTCGTTGATTAGTTTGCGCTATCCATTTTTTGTGCGGTTTTGATCAGAATCTTCAAAGACAGATAGAAACTGAGCCTCATTGCCCAAACATTTACAATCACCTTACTCTGTTTGGGTTGAATGCTTGAATGACTCGGAATTTTGAACGCTGCAGGCCTTCGAGTCGAAAGTTTAAAGCATTGCTAGGAGTAATTGAAGGCTTCCATTCCGAGGAGGTGAACTTTCGGTTCTTCCGAGCAAAGCAACCAGGGTGAATGTCCTGCATCAAAAATCAGTTTTCTTCAAGTTCTGGCCATCCTAGCGAGTGCAACTCGAGTGAGAACGCCTCGAGCGAGAGTGTGTGCTTGACCGGGCCACTTGCCCAACGCTCTGGTCAAGCGTTGCTTGCAACTTGGATTTACAACGGCATGTCCCTCGCGCGGTCTGCCCGTCCCCTGGCGGACCTTAGTCTTCGAGGTGGGGGAAGGGGGTCCATGTGGGAACGCTCACTACGAAGATGCAGATGCACAAAAAGCATTGTTCGCAGATCTGAGGCCCAGGAGATCCCTATCCTGATGCAGTTGCGATTTCAAGTCGGGGCCTGTCCCTCAGAGCGCATGCTTTTGCTTGGTTTCACCCTGCCAGAAGTACACAGAGAACCTCGTTTCATGCTCGGCTTCTAAGATTCGGCTCTTCTTCGGCCTGGGAGGAAGCTGGCAAGCCAGGGCACCCTTTGACAAGGCGTGCTTGGAGCTCTGGCATTCTTGTTGGTGACCAGCTTGGTGACGTGGCTCCCGATCAGGCCTGCGGCCTGCAGATGATGGGAGTTTTGGTAAACTCCTTCCAGCAGGAACTCCGAAGAGTCTCCTTCCCACACGTTCAGAGCCTTGCGTGCCTCCACTTCAGGACAAGGAGCGCAGTCGCCTGGGGCCATTGGTGTGCGCCTTCCTCAATAGCCCGTGCAGCAGAGACGTGCAGAGACCTTTTGCAGCGCCTGTGTGTCCTGACATTCTTGCGTCTTTCTGGTCAAAGCCTCTGCGCATAACTTCCAATAAAATTCACCCCTTAGCAACCCCCAAAGCTAACTTCCAATAACAACCCCGCCTCAGCAAGCCCCGAGGCTAACTTCCAAGAAAGTTCACGCCATACCAAGCCCCAAAAGCTAACTTCCAATAAACTTTCCCCCTTAGCAAGCCCCAAAGCCAACTTCCAAGAAAATTCCCGCCCGCCTGAACAAGCCCCAAAGCTAACTTCCAATAGAATTCCCCCTTAGCAAGCCCCAAAGCTAACTTCCAATGAAAATCCTCGTGACTCGTGAGGCAAGGACACCTGGGATGAGCTTCTGCTGCCGGGCACCATCCCTGCTGCGACAGAGGCAAAGCTCAGGGCCATCAAGAAATGTGCACTTCCCCTTTGCAGCTTCAGCTAGAGGGTGTGTATGTGTGGGGGGGGGGATTATGTCAGCACTGAGATTGGAAGGATTTGGAACTTGGGTTCCAGCAACAGCGCAACACACCTACAGTGGGTCAGAAAAAGATCGCATTCGAGGACCCTTGGCTCCTGAACCGAAATTTACAGCGTGACCGTGCCCGAAAAACCCTAAACCCCTGTCTTATGGTTGTCGTCAATGAGGGGATCGTGGTATGGAAGGGCGTAGATGGGTGTTGTCGTGAAGCTTGCGTAGCCTGACTGCCCAATGTGGCAAGCCATGGATGGACATGGAACCCCTGCCATCCTTTTAATGAGTGTGAGCACCGAAAGCCCTTCGTTATTGTTTTGTTGGGTGTGTGTGTGTGTGTGTGTGTCGAGATCTTTAGATTCAAGACCAGTGGTCGGAAGGTTCGTCCAGTCATCTGGGTGTGGGAGAGACAACCCTGACCTCCATAACCCCATCAACCCTGAACCCGGTGGTGGCCCAACAAGAGCATTTTCTGCCTTTCAAACACCTAACCCTATGAACCCTAAACTCACAAAGTCACCATCTTAAACCCTTTCAACACCAAACCCTTTGATCCCGAAACCCTCATATCAGCTCTCATAAGCCCTCAGAAATGGCTCATTTCAACCCCTAAAAGACAAAACAAGTCACCGTTCCCACAGGCGAAGGCCATCGACCGCATGGACTTCGGGGCGGCGCAGGTGGCGCCCATGGAGGCGGCCACCCCGTGGCTCTATGCGGGGGACCCTTTTTCGTTAGATGGGCTTTTTCTTTAGGGCTTTTAAGGGTTTAGGAGTTTAAGAGTTTAGGGTTTAGGAGTTTAAGGGTTTAAGGGTTTAGGAGTTCAGGATTTTGGGGCGGCATGGGGGGGTTCTGCGCAGAACTTTGGGGTTGCATCGCAGGTGCAAACAGGTGAGCTGGCCGCAGTCTCAGGGGGAGCCGAGGGCCTTCGAGATTTTTTCTTGTGGTTTGCTGAGTTTTTGGTTCTCAGGCGAAGAACGTCAGTTTCAGCATCCTGGTAGTGTGCTCGTGCCTGGTGGCCACCGTCTTCTTGCCCACGCCTCAAAATACAAATGTAACAGTTGCGCAGTTCCTGCGCGTGGGTTTTTGGGCACTGAGCCTGTCGTCTTCACCTGTGGAGTATGGAAAGCCAAGCACATCGAACTAGGAACTATGGTCGTGCTACAGAGCCTGCAGTGTTGACAACCGCGCTCCTTCCGTGTAGCACATATGGACGCTATGGACGCAGCGCCCGCCGGGAGCTGGCCTACTTCCGATGGGCATAGCTCGTCCCCTCAGTGGACACCCGCTTCCAACAACGACGGGTCGCTGACCATCGGAAACAGCGCTAAGACTAAGTCACAAAGCCATAGAAGTAGCAAAAAGTAATTAGCTGAGCTCTGCAGTCGGCTGAAGAGCTTGCGAGAGACGGAGGATGGCATCTTTCGGAAGTGCGCATGTTGCACGTGCAGGGGCGATGGCGCGACGCGTGACCGGCAATTTACAACGGAGGCCCCGCCGAATCTCCGAAGCTCGTCAAGCAACCACTACCGAACAGAGGGTCCTGGATCATTGCCGCATACACCTGGACCTGGAAATATGCTCTTGACTACTAGTGTAGAAATGATTCGAAGCAGTTGGTGCTTTTGATGCACTTGGGCAGCTTGCATTCGCACACCTTTGGACCCATTGTCTTTTGAGGGGGATGTTGGTATGACTCACAAGGCCTTTTGTTATGCTGAGGGTCGGACTGCCACAAATTGACAGCCAGGACCCAACACATGGGGGTCGCCTTGATGATGTCGTGGGTTTTGATTGTGTTCATGGGAGAATGGGGGGATGTGTTTTGAGAAGAAAGGAGGAAGGGCGACGCACATATTGAGCTGACGCAACCTGATTCAGACTTGAAATCGCCCTGCGATGCGGATTCGCCCCAGCTGTGCAGGAGGGAAAAAATAAGAGACCATCATGGCACTTTACGGGGGAGCCTCGGGTCACCGACCGGCGGTGCGTCATGCGCCGAAGGACTTTGTTTCGACCGCACCAGGCGACAGAGAGCAAAAGAGATCCATCTTTGCACACACGCAGCAAGCATCAAATCAGGACAGGTGGGGTGAGACCTTGGTCTTGCCAACCTCGCGCCACAGGTGGATCTCGAGAAACGGCAAGATTCCCGACGACTTGAAGGAGTACCGAGGCCGCATGGTGCACGTCGCGCTGTCCACCCTGGCGCCAAGCAGCATGGGGAGCCAACCTGAAAGTGAACCAGGCCGGCCCTGCATAGCGTTTTTCACAGAACTTGGTGTGGTTTCCCCTCCCCCCTCCCCCCTCCCCCCTCTCCCCCCTCCCCCCCTCCGCCCCCCCCGCTTTCCCGCCTCGCACAGGATCTGCGCTTCCTTCCCTGGCCAAGTCCAAGTCCAGCTCCAAGCCTGCGGCTGAGCCGAAGGACAGCCGAGCTCAGCAGATGCCAGCGTTTCTCTGGGGAGCCTGACGATGACCGACCTTGTTTTAGTCTTGAGCACTGGTTTAAACTTTAAGCCTTTGTTTGGTGTAGGGGGTACTTACATAAACACATGACATGTTTTTTATAGATGATATTGGACATTAGAGGGATTTATTGCAAGTTCCGGGTGAAGCCCGCTAAAGCCGCAGCAAAAAATGCGGAGAATGCAGCGCACCCAGGTACCCTACTGACCTGGGTTCCTCGCAGGCCAGTCCCGCATCTTGTTAAGTGGGCTTCGGGTCTGTTTTCATCCACACAGGAAGCCGAATTTCTAATGCTGGGAGTTGGGGGTGTGTCTGTGTGGGTGTGGATTTCTGAGGCTTTGTGTTCGCATTCCGCATGACGCAGAAGCCCACAGGAACAAAGATTGGAGACAGGACTTCCACCAGTGCAAATTCCCAGCATGGAAACACCCCGTGTGCAATGTTGGCCATACATGCCTTGATGAGGCGCCACATATTGGAACTGTCAAAACCCTATACAGCTTTGGTGAGCACTTGTGTGTGCTGCTCGTACTTCTCACCGTCACCCCTTTCTTGCAACCAAGCTTTGTCCTTGTTTGTGCGCCGTCGCAGCGGGGAGCGGGAGTGTGCTGCCAGGTGGATCCGGCTCCGCTTGTGCAATGGCAGGCTCGGGCTAGGCGTATACGGCGTATAAGGCATTGATTTGAGAACTGTTGCTGTCAATTTTCATGACAAGGTTCTTTGTGGTGAGGAATGTTATGCTGTCAAAATGCTGACTAGGCGGAGGAGGAGGATCCCGAAAGAGACGACAGGGAGTCGTGGACACGTCCGACCCACCAGAGGGAAATGGTTCGAGAGAGAGCTGCCACTGAGGCCGGTCAAGTCCTGATTTGGGCAGGTTGCCGCTTCCCACTACCCGGTCTACTTCCCTTCTTTGCCGAACCCCAATGATCTTTGCAGTCCATGATCGCGTCCATCCAGCACGCATCTGGCGAGACCCGAGGGCTTGCGACAGCGGCTTCCCGGATGCATTGGCTCGGCTCTGGTCGTGCGTCCCTTGACACTCGTCCTGGTCTTTTCTTCCTTTGTTTTGCTTGCTGTTTGGTTGCTTTCTGTTCTTTGGTCAGTCGGTGATCTTCAGCCGCGTGATCCGCTGGCTGGTTGGTTGGTCGGTTGCGGTTGTTTCGTTTTTGGTTGGCTGTTTTCATGTTTTACATGTTTTGCAGTTGGTGGTCGCTGCGGTTGTTGTTCTGGTTGTGGTTGTGGTGGTTGATGACTGATGGTGCTCCATGCTGCTCTTGCTGCTCCAGGCTGCTGCTGCTGCTGCTGGTATTGTTGGTGGTGGGTCCGCGTGGGGATAGCTCACTGTCGCACTTGCTGTAGGTGGTGCTTGTTGCTCCGAAATCAGGATCCATCCGCGGAGAGGCGCTGCAAGCTACCATGAGTACAATGCGATGGTCGAACTCCGCTGACGAGCAACTATAACAACAGATACCCTATTAAATCTATTCGTTTACGATGGTACATATGTTTCATGATTCTTGCTGCTGTTTCCCCATTGCCAGAGCTGCAGGAGAAGATCCTTATCCCGTGGGCCGGTGCTGGTGCCGCCGGCTGGCGGCCCAGGGTTCTTGAAGTTCTTGAGTTCATGACTGCTTTGCTGCTTTGCCTGTGGAGTTAACTGATGTTGCGGCTGATGTTGATGAGATGGCATGGATCGTGGTGTGGAGATGTGCAGCCATGCGCAGCCATGTGCAGCCTGCACCCAGGATCGCCAAAACTCGCCAGGTTCCCAGACATGGCTGCAGCAAAGCCATGCTGGCCACCTGAAAAATGAAGAAGGCTCAAAGGCAGCACTGCTAAGCAGCTTTAGGCCCGAAATCTCGCGTGTATGTAGGCTTCATGTGCTTTGTTCGCGGAGAAGGCCTCGACTTGTTCAATGTTGAACTCGAATACTGAGCTCCCGAGGGCGATGTCTGGTGGCACCACAGATTTGTCCCGGGGTCGCGGGAACAGCGACTCGCCTGGAAAACGAAGGAGTAGAATTCGCCGGGAGCCCCAGCACAGTTTATTTTTCATCGGCCCTTTGGATGTTTCGTTATGCCTCCTTGCATATTGCATGATAATCACGTCTGCGCACTGCGGCTCTTGCATCTTGAAAGCTTCACCAAACTACAGAAAAACGGCGTTGGGCACGCGCAGCAGGCAGCTAGCCGTGGCAGGAGACGAAGAGGTGGAAGCCATTAAGACTTAAGAGAAAGCAGAACTCGAGTCCGTGGAAAGAATGGCCTCTTCCCACTGGTGAAGAGCACACCGAGTTCGAGACAGATGCTAGCTGTGATGAGGTAAAGTTAGTTTTTTTTGGCAGTGTATCCGGAGTATGCTAAAGGGTCGCTAAAGATTCGCCCCCTCCCTCCCCTGCAGAAAACAGCGAGGAGGTCACACGGCATTCGGAAAATGCTTCGATGTTCGAAGGGTGACGGGTGTGATTTGGCCTGGGTTGTCCGATGTTTTCCGCACATGGTTTGTGAGTTGCTTTTGACGTACATATCTGCTCAACTCTGTCTGCACTGTTAGCCAGCTAAGGCCTAGACACGCGCGAGCGGAAAGCAAGCGACGGTGACGATGGCCTTTCTCGTGCTCCTTGTCTTGAAGCAGTCTTTCAAGTAGCTCGACCCAGGCGTCGGCACAAGCCCACCGGGGCGGGTTTCAGCATGTGCTGCGTGCGCTCCATGTGCTCTGCATTCACGCATGTTCACGCGTTTTGTGCCTCGCAGCTTCTGTTGAACGCGTCCGCTCAGCACAGGCTACCTCGCGTCGCTCTGGAGAGGCCTTGAGCCTTTGTGCTGCGTGTGAACCCAAGCCTGCAAAGCCTGTGGTCCTCTGCAGATGGCGCGAAGCAGCTCGCCATCGCCAAAGAAAGAGAGCGGCAGCGACGTGCTCGCGTCTTAGAGTCTGCCTGTGAAGCGCGACGAGTCGGCAGACGCCTGCACAGAAATGCATAGCAATGCCCCCTCTGTGCAGGAAGAAGTCTCGCTCACCATCGGCGTCGGGATCACAGCCTTGCAGTCATAGCCACGACCCAGCACCACGGCTTGAGCGAAGGTTGGGGAGGTCCTCGCCTGCGTACGAGACGGACATGGAGGAAGGAAAGCTCTCCGAGCGGCCTGACCCTGATGGCCCGGCCGGGCCAGTTGCTTGAGCTAGCCTTGCTGGAGCGAGAGCTCCGGCACTGGAGATTCCGATAGCCCATGATAGCCCATGATAGCCCCCACTTGCTGGCACGCGTTGTGCCGCGTTCAACAGCGCTGTGTGTATTGGGCAGACTGCTTGACAAGTGAAGTCTCAAGCACATTTCCCCCGAATGGACATGCCTCCTAGTGCTATAGAATCTTCTAGAACCTGTGATATCGCGCGAAGCAAATGTCCCCGAAATGCAGCGTTTTGCAGATGATAAGGAACCTGAAGGCTTCATGTTGCCCAGCAAACACGCAGAGCTGGAACCCGTCAGAACCACGTCTAAGACTGTTCTGTGAATATGGTGTTTGTCTCTGTGTGTGTGTGTGTGTATGTATGTATGTATGTATGTATGTATGTATGTATGTATGTATGTATGTATGTATGTATGTATGCATGTGCGTATATGACATGCACCGCACCACTGTGCGGATCTGGGCGCGCCAGCGCTGCAAAAAACATAAGAGTTTCGATGAGTTGCGGCTTCCAACTGCCGGAAGGCTGCGGAGGCAACTAAGGCAACTTGCACCCGACGGCAGGTGGCAGAGATCCTTTCAAGAGTGCAGAGAGTTGGTAGGCCTGGTAGGGCCGGTAGGCCCGGTAGGCCCGGTAGGTCCGGTAGGTCCGGTAGGTCCTACTCTGCCGGTAAGTCCGGTCGGGGCGCGTTTTGCAGGCACGCGCCTGCACATTGCCCGAACATTGCACCCCCGTCGCCAAGGGCGCACAATTCAGATGGCATGTTGCCCAAGTCTCGCGGGCAACTGACAACTGGAGGAATCGAGGAATCTGCTGGTTCCAGCATTCCGTCAAAAAAGGCATCCCATGACTGTAGTGATCGGCGAGAGCGCCTCAGCCATTCTCAGCCATTGGTGCTTGTTCCAAAATGCCTACTTGAAGGATGGTTCTTGCCTCTGTGCCACTTCTCTTGCCGCTGCCAGTTTGGGTTGAGCCATGTCGAGCCCTTTTGCAGAATGGAAGTATGCAGAGCCAACCCCCTCCTGAAGGGCCTATAAGAGATGCAAGACAACGGCATGACAAGTGAAAAGCCATGCCCGGCGCATGCGCACGCGGCATGACGTCGAATGATTCAGAAATTCTCAGATGGCAACAGCTTCTTATCCTACAGTGGATAGGATTCCTATAGGTCCCAAGCCAGTGACTGGTATTTCGCATCGCTGCTTCACAGCGTGGCCCTTTCAGGGAAAGGCTCCTTGTGCTGTGTTCTGTAGCGTTGGGTTGCATTGGGTTGTCTTGGCGCCTGCTTCGGTACCAGGCAGCTGCTTGACCCCAAGCTCATGGAGAAGCAGGGGAGGACCTGGATGCCACACCAAGCTTGTTTTTCGTGTCTTTCTCCATTCCCGCAAAAGCATGTTTCGACTTCTTCCTGGCAAGTGGGCGTCACCGCCCTGCGGCTTGGGGGATCCATCCCGCCGTTGTCGGAGAGGTATATTGAGGCGACTTGGAATTCTGTGCGGGTGGGCGGGACATGGCGGGACTCTTTTTTGCAGGATTTGAAAGGGTTGGGCACTCCAGGGACACTCGGCCGGGACTCTCTGCGGGCTTCTCTAGGGGTGGGCACTCAGCGGGGCTCTCTGTGGGCTTCTGTGGGGCACATCCACATCTACATGAATGTACAGCTGAATGACAAGAGCAGCAGAAGCGACTGGATAGCAACCCAGTCCAAAAAAAGCCAGGAGTCCCTCGGATGCACGCCTGGGTCGGCAGCCAAAGTGTCGTAGGGCCAGTGGGGTTTATTACAGGGTTTTGGGTTGACGCGTTTTTGTAGCG